CTACTCTACCTACTACTACTGCTACTTATACTTTACAACTGACTAGCTCACACCTATACAACTTAAAGGGAGAGAGGGAAAGAAGCAAAGCATACGGGGGTAAGAAGTGGGAGGCTAGAAGGGCGGAGGGACGCTTGGCAACGCTACTAGGTCCTACAAGGTAGAGGAGGGGGGAGGACGCTACTAGTGAGACTAAACTCAAAAACTAGCAAATGGAGCCTAAGAGAGCCTTACGACTAGAAAAGATTCTCCTGAGAACCTGGTACTAACTAACCTGAAAAAAAGAGGGCAAAATGAGCGGAACACAGAGGGCGGGGAAGGTGAGAGCCAGATTTAACCTGAGACGAGGACCATACTGTACGAAACCCAGATGGGACACCGGAGACCCACCACCACCACCACCACTACTCCTCCTCCTCCTACTGCTACTCCTGCTACTACTACTACTACTACTACTACCAACACCACTACTACTACTACTGCTACTACTGCTTCTACTGCTACTACTGCTACTACTGCTACTACTACTATTACTAGAAGTATTAATACTACATGACCCCCCTTAAGGGGGGGTGGGCCCCCCTTAACATTAAATATATTTAAACCGACGTCCCCAAAACTTTGATGCTTGTAGACCTAAGATTCTGAAGATTTAGATGGATCTAGGCATAGTGCATGTCACCAGGTACATGTCTCTTATACGTATGGCACTCAGGTGCAACTACACTTACGTGATTCTTTTACCTCATGTTTTCATGCTATGCCTTATGTTTTCATGTTTACCTCATGTTTTCATGCTATGCCGCTTTTTTTTATGGCGCTTCGCTTTTGTCGTTGGTTTTTCAAATGCGTTTGCTTGAAGTTTTCATAAAGTGTTCCATGTGATTTTATTTGAATTGCGTTCTGGCATTGCATCTCGCATACATTCTGACATGTAAACAACAAGCTTAAAGTTTGTCGATATTTTGTGTATTATCGTTCTTTACTTACGTCCTTTTCAAAATTCGGCGCGGTTTGCGTAAGGTCCGAAAATTGTGTTCTTCTTGGTTCGTATAGATAGTGTTCAACAAAGCAATAAGATAGATTGTTCACTACTAGCAATGACCGCGTTCAATAAAAGAAACAAACCACGATTAGATATTTGTCAGATTCTACGTTTTCATGTCTTGAATTTGGCTTTATACGTTTATTTTTGGATAAAAATAATCGCGGATTTAGATTCCTGCATCTGGGTCCCGGGATCCGGGTCCCGAATCCCGGGTCCCAGGTTCCAGAATCCACCTGTCCATTCTAGGTATAAATCAAGGTTTGAAAAACTATACAGATTTGTTTCGTCTCTGGACTTTCTTTAGATCAGACCTTATAGATGTAAATAGTTTTGGTATGAGTTGTACATTTCTCGCTTGTCTACACGGATGTATTTTTGAAATATGTTCTTTTTTTGAAAATTATAATTACATTAAGACACAGGCAGTCGATGATGGAAAATAAATTCTGCATGTCTTGGCATGGATAATGATATGTATATTGTCACCAGGTACATGTCTCTTATACGCATGGCACTCAGGTGCAACTACACTTGCGTGATTTTTTACCTCATGTTTTCATGCTATGCTATGCCGCTTTCTTTTATGGCGCTTCGCTTTTGTCGTTGGTTTTTCAAATGCGTTTGCTTGAAGTTTTCATAAAGTGTTCCATGTGATTTTATTTGAATTGCGTTCTGGCATTGCATCTCGCATACATTCTGACATGTAAACGACAGGCTTAAAGTTTGTCGATATTTTGTGTATTATCGTTCTTTACTGACGTCCTTTTCAAAATTCGGCGCGGTTTGCGTAAGGTCCGAAAATTGTGTTCCTCTTGGTTCGTATAGATAGTGTTCAACAAAGCAACAAGATAGATTGTTCACTACTAGCAATGACCGCGTTCAATAAAAAAAAACAAACCACGATTAGATATTTGTCAGATTCCACGTTTTCATGTCTTGAATTTAGCTATATATGTTTATTTTTGGATAAAAATAATCGCGGATTTAGGTTCCTGCATCTGGGTCCCGGGATCCGGGTCCCGAATCCCGGGTCCCAGATTCCAGAATCCACCTGTCCATTCTAGGTATAAATCGAAGTTTGAAAAACTATACAGATTTGTTTCGTCTCTGGACTTTCTTTAGATCAGACCTTATAGATGTAAATAGTTTTGGTATGAGTTGTACATTTCTCGCTTGTCTGCACGGATGTATTTTTGAAATATGTTCTTTTTTTGAAAATTATAATTACATTAAGACACAGGTAGTCGATGATGGAAAATAAATTCTGCATGTCTTGGCATGGATAATGATATGTATATTGTCACCAGGTACATGTCTCTTATACGCATGGCACTCAGGTGCAACTACACTTGCGTGATTTTTTACCTCATGTTTTCATGCTATGCTATGCCGCTTTCTTTTATGGCGCTTCGCTTTTGTCGTTGGTTTTTCAAATGCGTTTGCTTGAAGTTTTCATAAAGTGTTCCATGTGATTTTATTTGAATTGTGTTCTGGCATTCCATCTCGCATACATTCTGACATCTAAACAACAGGCTTAAAGTTTGTTGATATTTTGTGTATTGTTGTTCTTTACTTACGTCCTTTTGAAGACCCGGTGCGCTTTGCGTAAGGTTTGAAAATTGTGTTCTTCTAGGTTTGTTTTCTCCAGTATAAAAGCGTTTAAAAGAGCAAGAAGGCGGATTATGCACCAGTAGCAATGAATCAGCGTTCGAAAAATATTTCCTTGTTTTTTTCAAATGTTTTTTTTGCGTTTTGTATTTACATCTGTTTTTGTATTTACAATCTTTTTCTGCCGATCTGCAACTGACACCGGCTCCTTCACGACCATGACAGGCACAGACTGGGCCATAGACCGCATCCACTTCGGAAGCTCCAGCTGCAAGTTGAAAGCCATACGAAGATAGCAATACAACTTGCACGTCCTGGTGTGCCCAGACACATAGGTGAAGGTGTCGCTGTCACCCTGCCGCACGACCTTCATCGGGCCAAGCCGCCCTTCTGATTGGAACATTGCTGCCAGCTTCTCCTTCCAGTGCACGCCGTGAACGCTGGGAAATTACAGTGGGAGCATGCAAACTTTATGCTCCAAATCTTCCAGAAACAACAACGATTCGTGCGATCCCCATCTTGACCAATCTCTTCAGAAGTTGAGGTCCGGTGGAAGACGGAGGAAGAGAAGAGATAACATATGATCTAACAAATCTCACCTGACAGGTGGGGACTTAGTTGCTCTGTTCGCCTGCGTCAAACAGAGCAACCAATCGTTTCATAGAGCAAATAGCTTGGAAAAGAGTGGTTTTCGGGTGCTAGTTGCTTTGTTCGACTCCGAGTTGCTCTGTTCGCCTCCGTCCAACAGAGCAACCAAACGTTTGGCATGTGTCGGTTTTGTCTGGCAGGCCGATATGGGTGATGAGTACGATATTATCATTACTATTATTATTACTACTACCACTACTACCACTACTACCACTACTACTACTACTACTACTACTACTACTACTACTACTACTTCTACTTCTACTTCTACTTCTACTTCTTACTAACTACTACTACTATTACTATTACTACTACTACTACTACTTCTTCTTCTACTTCTACTTCTACTTCTACTTCTACTTCTTACTAACTACTACTACTACTACTACTACTACTACTACTACTGCTACTAGAAGTATTAATAGTACGCGCTTAATAGTACGCGCGGGTTCCGCGCGTCTACGTTTCGCGCGGTTTCCGCGCGTTATGCGCGTTATGCGCGTCTGCGTTTTGCGCGGGTTCCGCGAGTGTTGTTCTGCGCGGGTTCCGCGCGTGTAGTCGCATTCAAATTTCTTAAAGAAATTAATATATTACGACGAATATTACTACTTGGGAACCTTTACATAATAACCTTGGTGACCTTGAGAACATTTACGTGGAAAACTTGGGAACCTTGAGGGAATCTTTACCATACAACCTTGGGAGCCTTGACAACCTTTACTTGGGAAACTTGGGAATCTTGAGGGAACCTTTACAATGCAACCTCGGAAAGCTTGAGGAAACCTTGACAATATAACCTTGGAACCCTTGAGAACCTTTACAATGTAACCTTGGGAACCTTGAGGGAACCTTTACCATGCAACCTTGGAAAGCTTGAAGAAACCTTGACAATATAATCTTGGAACCCTTGAGAACCTTTTACAATGTAACCTTGGGAACCTTGAGGGAACCTTTACAGTACAACCTTGGGAACCTTGGAAAACTTGGGAACCTTCAGGGAACCTTGAAGAAACCTTGAAGGAACCTTGAGGGTACCTTTTGGGAACCTTGAGGGAACCTTGACAATCTAACCTTGGGAATCTTATAGAAACCTTTACAATGTCACCTTGGGAACCTGGACCACGTTTACTTGGGAACCTTTACATAATAATCTTAGGAACCTTGACAACCTTTACTTGGAAAACTTGGGAACCTTGCAGGGAACCTTGAAGGAACCTTGAGGGAACCTTTTGGGAACCTTTTGGGAACCTTGAGGAACCTTGGGAGCCTTGGGAGCCTTGAGGGAACCTTGGGAACCTTTACTTGGGAACCTGGGAACCTTTACTTGGGAACCTGGGAACCTTTGCTTGGGAACCTGGGAACCTTTACTTGGGAACCTTTACTTGGGAACCTGGGAACCTTTACTTGGGAACCTGTACTTGGAACCTGGGAACCTTGGGGGAATCGGTTTTGGAGCTGCTCCGGTCTGCTCCGAACTTTACTATGGCTGAAGACCCCAAAGCATTCTGCTGTTGGGGGAAAAAAAAACACTAATCTGAAATAAGGCCATTTGAGGATGATTTCCCTATTGTTCCCCCTACTAACCATCATTCCAGGGTTCGGTCGCAGTGGGGTCGTTGTAATTTATCCAGATATATAGTGGTTTCACAGATTAACAAAAAAGATAACAAAGTAAAATCTGTGTTCAAAAGTTCAAAATAGTGAAAAATACTGATATTCTATCTGTGTGGGGTTAATATATAATATTTATCATTTTTGGGGATCCAAATGGCGCAGTTTTTCTTTGGGTGACTTAAACTGCCGGAACAAAAATACCTCCATAGAGAATTGGGATGTGCTCACCAACCATCGATGATTTTTTCCACCGTGTTGACAAAAGGTAGAGGTTCCTACAAACAATTCCAAAGATACCCTCTGGTGAACTAACATAACTATGGAAAATCACAATTTTTAATGGGAAAATCAACGAACTGAATGGCAATTTTCAATAGCAAACTGTTTGTTTGGCAGAGGGTATCGCCAATGATTGTAGCTTGGTGGTTTCAACCCATTCCAAAATATTCCAAATGCATTGCTCCTCGGAACAACATGGAACAAGCATCCCAATTTCACGCGGGTTGGTTCTCGGTTGCAGGATAGCGTACTTTGCAGAAAGGCGCCTTCCCCCTGAACTGCAGTTTACGGCTTTTTTTTTAGGCTACCAGGGTATCCAATCACTGTGGGACTGTCCAGAAGGGATATGAAAAGTCCCAAACCAGCTGGATTTTCAGGGCCATAGCACGGATACTGTTGATGTCCATTCAACACCATTGCTGTGGTACCAACGATTGACCGACCATTTGCCCACGTTTTGGGACATAATTACACCAATTACACACTTGAACTTTCAGATGGAACTCCAAAAAACACAATGTTCTCTACGAAGAAAAGAAGAATGCTTGCGGTTCCATGTCAGTCTTCAGGAGTCTAGCCCCCAAGAAGTTCCTCTATCCCGAGCCGTATCCAACTCCAATCATTTGCCCAGAATTGTACCGAGGGAGAATCATTGAATTGTTACAGGAATCACTACTTTTCCCTTCAACCCAATCTGATCAATCTGGTGGCTGTTTCAACCCATATCGCTTAGTCCATTTCGACCTATCTTTAGGATGGAAATAACATCCTTAGCATATCACACCACACTCTCTGAAAAAATCACTGATACTCATCATCAGCACTGGAACAGTCGTCCCATTGAGTTTGTTTTACTCTTTTTACCCTTTGGCAAACGAACAGTTTGCTATTGAAAATTGCCACTTATAGGTGATCTACCTATTTAAAATGCTGATTTTCCACAGTTATGTTAGTTTGTATTTAAATTATTTATCATTGATCTACCCATGAAAAACGGTCGCTGGTTGATTTTCCATCGTTTTTTTTCGATGTTTACCCTCTGGTAATTTGTTACATAGCTATTGAAAATGGCCCATAGAAATAGTTGATTTACCTATGAAACATGGTTATTTTCCATAGCTATGTTAGTTTACCAGAGGGTACCAGGTCGGCTACCTATGACAAAATCACTTGCCCGGCTGGATCCTCCTTGGTGGCTGCCACTCCTTGACCTTTGGCCTGGCAAAACATCCGGGGAGCTGAGATTCAAGTCACTCACCGGTCTATTAAATAGAGTTAAATCCCATGAAATCACAATGTGCCATCCTGTTTTTTATCATTTTTTATCATTGATGTTCAATTTTTAGGATCATTTGACTGAAGTTATGATGACATTCAAATGAACATGTTAAACACTGTTTTTGATTTTAAATATGATGGACTCCATGATTTTCAAAAACATGTGATTTAAAGATCCAGTGATCAGCTTGAAAAATCTCGATGACCATCCCGGGCGTGATGAAGAAGGCGGAACTGGCTGATCTTTGAAAGTGTCAAAATGTGTCAACACATGGTAAATCGATTGAAATTGAAAATCTGATAGTGTCTGGCACTTGTAGATACTTATAGCAGATTACTATGTCGACATGAACTGACATGTCGACTGATATAGACCCTGCTGGACCCTGTCCTGCATCCACTGGTCGGCAGTCATAGGGTTCGTCTTCCCGGTGAGATGCGGATATGGGCACCTGCAGTAAGTTCAACCAGGGGAACATGTAGCAATTTCTATGGGAAAATGCTGATAACCCATGGGAAAATGGTCATAAATCATGGGAAAATGCTGATAAATCATGGGATTTGGGGCTAAAACCCGATTTTTATCAAGCTGCAAGGCAAAGGTGGTACCCTATCTTCTTGAATGGAAAGAACCTTGGCCCGATCAACCCTGCGCTATGCATGTCTCAGCGGCACCCAATCAGACGCATGCTATTCTCCCGGCGAAGCAAGGACAACATGAACGATGACATAACTCACAACTTGAAAAGAGCAGCACACTAAGTGCAGCACACCCTGGTCATTAAGTCCTAAATGCACTGATCCAACTATAAGTGGGTTATACATAAGTTATAACCCCGCAAACACTACCTGTAACCAGTCACGATTCGTGGGATGATCCTTAAGTATGCAACATTTTTTTCAAACTTTCGGAGACCATCAGAGGGGATTGCGACTGTGATCGTGAGTCTCTGCTCAAGCACGGTCAAAGATCCTGTAGAGCAACTGAGTCTTGAAATTCTATGTTAGATCAATTTCTACTTTGAATATTGTGATACATATATATATATATTATAATCATATATGTAGAGGTGTTCAGTGTTTACTTGTCCTTGCTGGTCTTTGCCCTTCAACCCCCCCTCTGTCGAAGAGATTTCATGCCTTAGCCCTTTGCTCTCTGCAGTGTCCCTAGTTCCAACCATGGACATAGTCTACCCATGGGCTCCACATGGTTCCCCCAAGCCACTCTCGAGGATAGGCGTGATGAAGCCATTGTGCGAACAAACGTCCATGCCTCACAACTGTTGTGAGGGGAATGCCAAGCCTTGAGTTGGCGAAAAGGTGGCACCTTGCAATATTTTACTCCACAAGGGCATTTTTCAACCCACACAACCACCGATGTTTCCACCGATATCCCATCCCCTCTGGGCACAGCCCAATTCCACTGGCTGGCGGAGTTCCGCCAAGGTGCAAAGGCACCATGCCATCATGGTGCGTGGCAACTTCTTCCAATCGCTGTGCCAGCTCCGAGGAGGGCCTTGGTGCTTGGCGACTCCAAAAGTTTGATGCAGATATTAAAGGATATTCCACCCTAATATGGCTTTACAGTAGATATATAGATATATATATATATATCATGATTAATATGGTTTTACAGTAGATATATCATGATATATCATGATATATCATGATATATCATGATATATCTGAGTTGTCTATAGTTTATGAGGCTTACATCACTTTTTAGGCTAGATGGAGATAGGATATTCAACAATAATCGGGATTCACTGAATCATGGAAGTTGGGAGGGCTACCCATTACAACATTGTGCATTAAAATCAACCGTCGTGGGAATATAATGGGAATATAGAAGGGTACAATAATGGCCCGCATGTATATCCAACAATAGGATGTTTCAGACAACCCCATTTACAAACTTTAGGGGTTGTTCCTGATTGTGCCATGAGGGGAGAGTGATTTCAAAAGAAGGGCCTTAGGGCCTTGCAGGGAAAAGGAACATGAGAAAAGTATATAAAGTAAGTACACACCGGTAAACCATAAGTATACCCTCTGGTAAACTAACATAACTATGGAAAATCACCATTTTCAATGGGAAAACTCACTATAAATGGCCATTTTCAATAGCTATGTTACAATCATCAAATGCAATGGATGCTGCCCAAGCCACCAAGAAAGTCCTCGTAAAAAATAACTACCAATCTAAACCAGATCTGATAAAATAAATGCACTGGCTAGGGCAGTCGCATGTCTCGAACATTCGCACTTCTATCTTCTGTGTGCATGCGCATATACGTAATGTCTAATATCTAATACAAGATCTGGAGGTTTCCTGAAATAGAGGTACCACCGAATCATCCATTTTGATACGATTTTCCCTCATAAACCATCCATTTTGGGGATCCCCCATTTATGGAAAACCCCATCTATCAATATCGCCGATCGATTCTGGGCAAATTGCAATACTGCGATTGACTGCTCCACGAAAAATGCTCAGCGGGATGTCATCCCCTGCTGCACGCGGCAACAGAAAGGTCACATGTGATCCCAACTTTGCTGGGTCCGGACAGGCACAGCCAGTGCTGCGGGTCGCATTAACGTGGTGGTTCCCAGCCACCTCAAAAGTCAGTTTAGTCAGTTTAGATCTAATCCCAATTTTTGTCAGGCAAAAAAGTTGAAACCAGCCAGTTTTTTTTGGTGTACCCTCTGGTTATTTAACATAGCCATGGAAAATCACCATTTTCAATGGGAAAATCCACTATAAATGGTCATTTTCAATAGCTACGTTAAATTACCAGAGGGTATTCCATCCATCCATGGATTCGCTAGTTCATGATTTGGGCTGCAAGATGGCCAAACACAACTGCGGAAGTGCCACGGTTTCGTCAGAACTTCCAGTCTCGTCAGTGGCCAAATCCTCTCAGAAAATCATCAAATGCAGGTCACTGGGAGAATCAATTTTCATCAATGTCTACGATCGCAGAATGATTCAAACGATCTATGTCTCTTAGCTTTCCGGGCAAAAACCTCATCTTTTAATACATACTGCTTGGTGGTTGTAACCATATTGAAAAATATGAGTTCGTCAATGGGAAGGATTATCCCATATATTACCCTCTGGTAAACTAACGTAACTATGGAAAACCACCATTTTTAATGAGTAAATCCACTATTTCTATGGCCATTTTCAATAGCTTTTTGTATGTTTACCAGAGGGTATAGAAAATAAAAGTCATGTTTGAAACCACCAACCAGCCATCAGTAATTTCCTTGGGATGATAAAAAAATTAGGCCGCTGCCAACTGTGGATCCAGTGACTAACTTCACGATAACATGATCTTCCCGGCAGATATGATGCTGCCCATGTGTTGTGATAATCCTAGATTTCATGGTAAAAAGAGGTAAAAAGCATGGCTTCCGGTTAAGATTTTCCCTTCAACTCATCCAATGACCCATGGAATCAACAGCAACTGTTTCTGATCAATGGGAATTTCAAGATCCTAAAATGGAGGTACTGTACCATATTTTGGGCCATAATTTGTGGTTTTGTGGGGATATTCCCTTACATAGGCCTTATATAGGCCTGACAATATGGTAGGTACCTTCAATAAATCGGTTCCTGAAATGGCAATTGTTGGGATCTTATCCTTGAAATTTGGTGGTAGCACTTTATCTAATTGAAATGGCAGGAAATGGGGAGCATGTTCAATTTTCCCAAAAAAAACAATCCAACAATCCAGCAGTTTCTGAGAAGACTTCACGACTTGGCCATGTAGAGAAGCACCAGCAGGCTCCAAAGCTTCGACCGAAAAGGCTCAATACTGCTGCTCACACTGCCTTGGCGATGGGATTCACCTGGCCTTTTCAAATGGAACAAATGATGGATGTTAACATATGTTAACCATCCAATTTTGGGGGCTATACCTCCATCATGTCCTATGGAAAATATGTGTGTTTCATGGTAAATTTCATCCGTTCACGAAGGAAAATGGAGGATTTACCAGAAAAAAAACAGCCATTATGGGGATAGAATGGGATCTCTCACCCACAATTTGCTATGCTTTGCTATGCTTTGCTATGCTTTGTTTGTCTCAAAAGAAATTGAGAAAAAAAATGGTGTATTTGAAAGCTATCAATATTTCTCGGTCTCCCCTGTCAGGCGAACCCAAGTGTAAAGCTGAACATCTTAAAGCCTTTTTGCATATTCTTTGATTCGAAAATGGGTTTGCAGTAAGTCAAATTTCATTGAAGCCTTTACAGATTCCATTTGAAGCATTTTCCAGATTTGATTGGTTTCGAATGGATATGTTCAAGTCAAACTCACCATTCCCGAAAATGCCTCAAAAGGTCAACAACAACTTCCTCTGGTAAACCATAAATCACCTTCAGAAGGGTTCCTGTAAATGGTGTGCCCCAAGTAGGGACCACTTATGGCTGGATAAGGGGTGCCATTTTGGAAGCACTTTGGAGGCGAATTTGGATTCCCATCGCTGCGATGAAAGGGCCCTTTTTAAGATGTCAAAGTTTCCACGTCTGCGAAATCTCCTAAATCGAACAAAGAATGGATTGGTTTAAGGGAAAATCTTAACCGGAAACCATCGATTTTCCCATGAAGATCTATGTGGCTTTCCGGTTAAAAATTTCCCGTGAAAACCAATCCATTGAAACGAAGAATAGAGTCTACTGATGTTTTTGTGGAGTACATCTAGCACTTTCTGACTGCAGTGTTTCCCTTTCAAACTAGACACCAACGTATGAACTCGTATGATTTCAACCTGACATCCAATCGGACCAATTTCAGTGCATGTTTGGCTTTTTGAATGCTCACCCAATGGCCATTTTAGGTCCCACCAGGTATAAGTTGGCTTATGAAGCCCCCATACTCTAGATGTATCCGCCATAGAACCTAGTTATTCCTATAGTTAGTATAGTTATAAGCCAACAGAAACCCTGGCAGCGGCAGATACTCCCCAGAAATTTTATACTTGGAGTAAACCCCATAAAAAAATATAGTTCTCCCTAGGCCCTTTTGTTACATCTAGTAACTATGTATGAGCTATGACTAGGGCTATGGCCAAAAACATCTAGTAACATCTAGTAACTATAGCTTTTTGGCCATCTGTAAATATCGTTTTTTGGCCATTTTCTTACAAAAAAACTATAGCTATGTAACTTAAATGGCCATAGCGGCCATGGATACCTCGGGATCATCCGCGCCTGCTTCGCAGCGTGGCTCTTGCCAGACTGGCCGCCTTACTTCCGAAAAAAAAGAGGGGAGAGATGGGGAACGATTCCCCCAAGACATATCCTATTAGTAATATAATCAATAATATTGTTACAATTGAGATATATTACTAATATTAGTCAATAATTGAATCTTATATTGTCTAATAATATAATCAATAATGATTGTTACAATATAAGATTCAATTATTGACTAATATTGACTATATATCATTATCTAGTTGATAAGCCAAATTACTATGACATATTACTATGCAAATAGACAGTGATAATGTGTGATAGTCTACTTTAATCTATGATGATTTTATGCTAAGGTGGCACCCCTCATAGGAAGAACGGCTCAGGGGTCTGTTGATCATGGTCTATATCACACGGCTTAACCAACCAAAATGGTGTGTATATATATATAAAAATATATATATATATTATACAAGATGGGTTTGCCTGAAAATAGGATATGTACCCTGCACCCTTGACTTTGATTCTCCAGTCACCATTCCCCAAAAAGTGAGACATCCCTTATTGCTAACCTATGGCATAAGCTAACGAAGTAGGGCATAATGGCCATACACCAGTCATAGTGGATGAATAACTCAAGCTGCTTCAGCGCTTCGCATTCCAGGTGGGACGGAACATGAAACAACCAACCAAGTAATGTAGAGGAATTGAGAAGGCCCAAGGGGCTGGGGTGCAAAAACAAACAAACGGGTCCATGTTTATTGCAGCGATAAATGCATATATATATATTAATTATTATTATTATTATCATCATTATTATTATTATCATTATTATTATTATCATTATTATTATTATTGTTATTATATTTATAATATTATATATATATATATTAGAAATATAATAATATCTATATAATAATAATAGTAATAATAATAACAAGAATAATGAGAATAATAATAATTTATATCAATTATATATAATACACACACCTTTTTTGCCATCATGCCGAGAATGAGCCAGCATTTGCAAATTCTGGTTAACAACGTGGCTAGAACCAGTCCCTTGCATCTTGCACTCTTGTGCCTCCACAAAATTGGCTAGATGAAATTTGGCTCCCACAGGTTGAATGTTTATCTTTCAGTGCATCACTGGTTGGTGGTTTCAACCTACCCCTCTGAAAAATATGAGTCAGTTGGGATGATGACATTCCCAATATTCTGGAAAAAAAATCATGTTCCAAACCACCAAACAGATGAGTGTTTGGAATGTTTGAAAATTCTCCTATGAAGCATCCAACTTTACTAGTACCCTTCATCCTTGGTGCACACGAAAGAATTGCACCATGACACCAACCCAGCCAAGAAACTCCTGCGTGGCCGTGCAGCCTGCCTAGGTGCGACACCATCGCCAGCGCGATTCAACATGGGTCGTGATGTTTGGCCCTCACCGCCTTCAAAATGTGATAACTGCACATAATTCCTCTCTGGATTCTCATCTTGTTGTGCCAAGACAGAGAAAACAATACCATAGGACGATCCTTTCCATTGTCCTTGATTTGTTCACATTACTTCGAACAAATGAAAGAATCAAGTAGATACAGCAAGGATGGCAAGCACAATGCCCGAGCGATTTTCCTAGCTAGAAAATAGATTAAATAGAACATCAAATCAATCCAAAGGTGCACCCACACCCTGGATCTTTGCTTAATGAAAGTACAAAAAAAAACGGCTTTAGAGTCAATCGCTCGATCATCCAATGATGTGATGGGCCCAACATCCAATGCCTTCATGGCAACTCATCCCTGGTGACTGTGAAACCCAGGGGATCCCAGGGGTAAGCCATGCTCCAGTTGCAGCATCGCACTGAATGATCGTCTTCTCCCGAGACAGCTTCACTTGCAGACTCGCAGAAGGTGGCGCCGGTGTTCCAGTCGGCGAATGCCAATTGTTCTCTCCTTCAACGGATTGGTTCAAGCGAAAAATGTGCAGGAAACCCTCGGTTTTTGTCTTACTGAAAATTTCAATGAAAAACAATTCTGGAAGTCCTAGCTTTGTTGGAAATGTCCGTAATACGTTTCGCCTAACAATTTACTAACAATACGGGCAAGAAAACTTTGGTTTCGTACTGCATCTGTACAAGGGACCATTTAGGGGTGGTTTTATTGTGGGGACACATAGAGACCATGTGCCTAGGGAAAAATGGGATGATTGAAATCCAAACTGACCGACACGCTGAGAACCATCGAGTTTTCAAGAATTTGGAATTCAGACTCGTTCTCTACCCTTGTACAAACAGCCGTTTGTGACTTGGGAACGCCAGTAGATGAAGACAATTTCCAGGCTCTGACCTAGGCACTGGTTAAGATCAAAAGACAGACTGCTTCCTGAAAGGTCATGGAATAGGGGGTCGTGTGTAGTTTTTCGTGACCCCAAAATGGTCTGATGGTGGTTTCGGGCTACAGTAATATACAGTAATCCTTTTCAAATCCCTGTCCCATCCATTTGGGGAACTCTGTGCTCCAAAATTCAAGATTTCACCGCAGCCGACTGGGCCATTTCACCGCAGCTCATCCAAATTAAGATGTCCATGTTCACCGATATTTACAGGGAAACCCATAGTTAAGAGGGGTACGTCCAGGTAGGTCTTGCCCGCACACTGCACCGTGCCAGGCATCCGAGGCAGTCAATGCAGAGGTTGTCGATGGGAGATGTGCCTTGAGTGATCAAGATACTGGTTACCTTAGCACTGCCAGGTGCGTCTGACAATGAGCTGGTTGGTGGTGCAATAACCATCTTGAAAAATATGAAAGTCAATGGGAAGGATTATCCCATATATTATGGACAATAAAAAATGTTTGAAACCACCAACCAGGCAACTCCCAAAAAGATCGAAGTGAGTGAATTCCGCTTCTAATCTTGTGGTAACGCGCCTTTCTATCTTTTTGCGGGGTTACCATCCATTTATGGCTACGTGATGCTACATGAATACGGAAGATGAGGTGTTCATCGGATCTTGGGATGCCGGGAACCTGGAATGATCCACAGTTTCTGAACGGCCACTGTGCAGGGTTGCTTCCAACCTTTGAGATATGTTGGGGGGGCAATTGTCCAAATTGGCCAACTAAAGATATAAAATGATGTAAAATATGGTAAAATCATGTATATAAAATCAACTATGTCCATCCGTTTCCCATCCGTTTCCCATCCTTTTCCCCCTTGTGGTGTAATCATTTACCACAGCTGGAGAAACCCTTGACATTCGACAACACGACAACATCACAGGTCCCGGCGGCGGAAAAATCACCAAGAAGGTTCAGGTCCAACGTGGCGTTGCGATACTTCGCCTGCAAGTTGGATCACTGAGCGGATCAAAAATGCGCCAGTCGTGGCCAGCTTCGATGTAGTTGGGATTATCACCATGGTAATAACCGCCATAAGTTGAGATGCAACTGATATAACCACTACAACATGCTGTTACATGCTGTTACTATGGTTATATATCTATATTATATTGTATATATTATATATTATATATATTATATTATATATATATTATATTATATATATATAATATTATATATATATTATATAATATATATATTATATATATATTATTATATATATAATATTATATTATATATAGATTGTATTATATTATATATATATATGATATCGCTATATGAACTATATATATCCACTTAGTTCAGTGGAACTGCAACCCCCAACCACACCTCTTGAAAGCAGCTGCAGCCCAAACCGACACTCCAATCATGCCACCAGGTGCTGGAGGCAGTGATCCTTGGAGATCAACGGAGACCTTTTCGGGCAAAACCAACAAGTTCAACTCAGATTGCAGTTAATGACCAAGAAGTCATTTTTAAGATATGGGGATGAGTCATTTTTCTTTAAAGAAACATATATAATGAAACATCATGAATATCAACTCACTTCGGAGCTTGACAGATCCCCTGAAATGTAGTGGATCTCTGGATTCAGGTGGGCGGGATCTACCGATGTCCACCCCGGATTTGTGAAAATTTTCAAGCCTTTTCTGTTTCAAAATTATGGAGCCATTTTAGTAGCAAATTTATGGCTGTTTGCTTGAAACCCCTAGAAAAAATCCGTGTTCAGAAAAACCAGGCTGGCTTTTATCAATAGATCCAGGCAGGAGCTGATTGCCATCGAACATATTGGGATGGGTCCCTGTATCCCTGTAGTTCACATCAAAATAGCTGGGTTAACATGGATGTGCATCCCCCCAACAAATTGTATCTATAGGTATTGATCCATTCAACATATCATACAACTGTCTTTTTTCGCTCATCCATTGTTGTTCCTCCAACTGTAGCAGCATAGCCATGTCAATGTGTCCCATCTCTGGGCTGATCTGGAAGCGAGCAACAAGTCAGTCAACCAGTTGCAAGATGTTGCAAGTATCATCATACTCAAATATATCCGACATGATGTTCATCATATCATGATTGTCTTCGTTATTATTATCAAAATATGTTAAACATCACCACAATCAGTATCTAAATGATCCTTCTCATCACAATCATCATCACCGCCACCACCACGACCACCACCACCACCACGACCACCACGACCACTACCAGCACCACCACCATGGTTATTAGACACATACATACATACATATTATATATATATTTATTTATTTATTTATATATATATATTCTGATTGTATCTGATTCTTACCATCCTTCATTCTCATCTATATGTTCATATTCAAAAAAATAAAACAAGATCATTCAAGATCATTCATCAGCCATCATCTGCCTAACCCCTTCCGCCAGGCTTCCGCTTGGGAGCACTCAGCTCCCCATCCCTCGGACGCGACGAGGACGCCACATCCACAAGGTGCCCGAAGGCGACCACTGAGCTAGGCTCCCAACCTCGGCTCCGATCTGCCACGCATTCCCAGTATTCAATGGAGGAAAACATAGGGAAAACATGTGCAAAACATACCGGAAAAAAAAGAGTAAAAATGGATCAAAATGGATCAAAATGGATCAAAATCTCACGAAGCATCGCAAAACATTAGGGAGCACTTTGCCAAAGATGGAGCGTTTTTCAGGAAAGAAAAGAAGTATAGAACAGTGAGAAACTATAGCGAACATACAGGGAATGAAGCAAGAAACAGATGAAATGTAGCAAAAAATGAGGGAAGCAATCGCAATGGTGGTTGTATGAGGTTCTATAGTTGTTTTGATATATTCCAAAATATTCCAAACATGTTTTGACATATTCCAAAGCATCCAGTCGATAAACTCCTAGGGTGTTTGGGATTTGCAAATGTGATACTGGGATGACGCAACTGAGTGGGAAGTTTGCCGACGAAGCAGCCCCATGCAAGCGAGAATGGAAGAGCAAGGGGGCTTGGATATATGGGATTATCTGAGTTTGGGTCATGATGGGTCATGTCTAGACTGGGAATCAAACTTCGATTCAACAACTACTTTACGTTTCCACATCTGCGTGTGTTCATGGGACAAACGGTTTTGACACGTGCGCCATACGCACCTTGGAAAACCTGCTGCGCAAGACTCCGCGTGCCCAGTCTGTGGCCCAGCAACGTGAATTGCAATCCGCATTGTAGACCGGTCCACAGTTTGACAGACGAAGATAGCCTGGGACGCGTGCGAAGATTGGTCAGAATCGTGGCCACATACCCTCTGCTAATCAAACATGGCAATTGGACATCCACTAATATCATCTAATATCAATCTATATCACTATAGATAGAGGATGATAGAGGTTTCAATGGGAACATCAACTATAAATGGATATTTGAAAATGGGTCATTGTCCATTGCCAGCTTTACCAAAGGGTTTTTGAGCTGTAGACTACCTATGAAATTCACCATGGATTCCCCCTGAAAAGATGACCCTGGTGCTACAATGGGGATCGCCATGTCAACGTCTCAATTGACTTGTGGATATGGCGAAGCCACAACGATTTGCAATGAGGATAAATGATGATAAATGCTTCTACACCTGCAACTCAACATACCAATAATGCGTGGTTCCTCCAATTTGTTGTAAATTGTGGGTTGGTCACCAGAATTGTTGCTTCACAAAGGTGCACACATGGCCCTATCCCCAACAGAGTTTGTTTCTAGAAGAAGGGGCAAATCATGAAAGTCACTCTTTGAATGCCAGATTTAACTCAGCCAGGAGCCCAAAGTTAAGACCAGCCCAGTGTAGCCTGACAAAGCAAAGGGAGGAAATACATTAAATCCTTCATGTGTGGATATCATGGTAGGTTTAGGAAATAGGTACCCGGTTACCCCTAAACTCATTGGTTAATCCCCCTAAACTCATTGGTTAATCATATCTACTGTAATTATCTTATCTAATTATAATCTGGTTATTTAACATAGCCATGGAAAATCACCATGCTATTGATAGGTAAACCCAGGTAAACCATCTATTTCGATTAGGGCCATCTATACCATGGCTATGTTAGTCATAACCAGAGGGTATCATATTCCTCTAAAACAGCTGTTTGCAGGGTTCAACATTCTGAGGCACGCGAGGCCAGGCGGGGGATCATTTTTCCCAAGTGGGCATCCAAAAGAAACCCAGTCCCTGAAGTCCCTGAACACAATTGGGTGTCCCTGAAAATGGTGTCGACTCCCAAAATGCCCAAAATTGCGAACCCTGCCAGTGGATTAAGGACTACCCTATTTCTAATAGTTCTAGGCAAACCTAATTCCTTGATATCACTCTCTTGTTTTCTGGTTTTACTGCCACAATCTGCCACATATTTATTTGTTTTCCTCCAACATGCAGACCAAAACCACTGGCCGCGCAACGTGTTCCATCGAATGGGTTGCAGGGATCCTGGAGAAAAGCCGGCTGAATTGGTGGCGACTTGGGTTGGAAGTTGCCACGGCTGCGAATGCTTTCAACCCCCGAAAATGCCTCGAAAAATCGGGGATCGTCCTCCCAAGAAGATACCAATAACATCCAATACCATCCAATGCACTGGTTAACCCCACCAATAACTTTATTCACTGGTTAATAAGCCCAATGAAGGTATACCATTTTAACATATTTTAACCAAACCCCATTTTTTGGTCACTGGTTATTCACTGGAGGTCACGGAAGTTCCGTGGTAGCACTAGCCAGACTCGGAAGCATACCACTGTTTCGTCCCTAAAGTGATGTTTAAAAAAATGTTTAAGCCCTCAAAACATGGATAAATGGGACATCCAAGGACAATGTGTTGAAAAAACAAAGATTTTTTTTTTGCCAAGCGCAGGCCAGACAGGCTGAGCGCAGAATCCAACGTAATCATGCATAAATACTGTGCCAGGGGGGTGAAACTGATCTCTACCTTGCAGTGCCATGTCAAAAAACGTTGGTGTAGGAGACAAACATGAAATTAGAAACAACTCAAAGATGTCAAGGGTGAGACAAAAGTAATCCCAATACCCACTGTGATATTGGCAGGGCAGGGAGAAAGCCCTTTGCTTTCGGTGATGATTTTCGGTGACGATTTTCGGTGACAATTTGCCACAATTTTCGGTGATGATTTCGGTGACGATTTTCAGTGATGGATCACGAGAAGACTCCAATTCTCTGGCAAGCTAGGTCGTTGACTAGCTGTCTATGCGCAGGATTATCTATGTCAAATGGGTGTGGCTGGTTCAGAGTTTGATAAGCATCATCATATGTTGTTGTTAACCATTGTTGTCGAGGTTTTCCGGGCCGCTTACGAAATTCCAATCTTGGGATTAAAGTTCCTTTTTCAAACAGAACTTGTCTCATAGGGTCACTAGGCGCAGATCTGATAATATGACCAAGAAGGGAAAGTTTGCGTTGTTGCCAAAATGGATGAGAACATTCTTAGGTCCGTGTTCATGTGGTTTCTAATTTGAGATTTGACAAAATCATTTGTTATTGTGCGGTCGATATATGTGGGGGGTAAATGTAGGATCCTTCGATATCCCTTCAACTGAAAACTATCTATTCTTTTCTGATCTGTCAAATTTAACTGTATGGTTTCTAATCCGTATAACAGCTTACTTCTGAGGATAGAATGAAAAACTTGAACTTTCCATTTGATGGATGTCTTCGCTTTGTTCCAAAATAATTTGAGTTGATTACATGTACGGGTACAATCAGCAATCCGGTTCATAATCTCTCTGTGGTTGTCCACGGTGTCAGTGAGCAATGTACCTAAATAGAAGGCTGACCTTTTTCTCGGGACCGGTGTGCCGTCCAAGTATTTGATGGATGATTGTTTTTGATTTAGTGTGAGGTTTACGCATTTGTCTAAGTTCAATTCCATATTGTAATATTTTGATTCTAGCTGTATTTCCTTTAGCAGCAGGTTGATATGATGAGTATAATTCCCAAAGATAAGTGTGTCATCCGCATACAATATTTCAGTATATTCAATACCACTTAGAGGTTCTTTTTGCTTTGGTGTGGTCAGTCTTTGTTTGATATCATGGAAAAGGGTTGACATTAGGATAACGAAGAGGTAGGGTGATAAAGGACAACCTTGTCTAATTCCTGAACGTTGTGTTCTGTAATTAGAACTGTGTCCGCCGGTTGCGACTCTGAATTTAGGAGAAGAATAGATATGTTCAATGGTTTTAAGCATCCTGGGCGGTACCTTTAATCTACGAAGAGCTTGTAGAAGTTTTGATTGGTTTACTTTATCAAAAGCCATTTTCCAATCCAATAGAACCAAAGATAGATTTGACCCTGTACGTTCTGAGATGTCCATCAGGCGTCGGGCAAGAAAGATGGCCTGAGCTGTGGATTTCTTTGGTCTGAAACCGAATTGACTTCTTTGTATCCATGGATCATATGTTTGTAAAAGGCGGTTTTTGATAAATCCTGCAAGAATTTTGTACAGTGTTTGTAGGAGTGCTATAGGTCTGTAATTTTTCATCTGTGTTGCATCTCCCTTTTTGTAAATCGAGACAATGTTTGCCAATTTAAAGCTTTCAGGGTATATGTCCCTGTCTAGAATGTCATTAAAACATTCAAGCAGAATATGTCTGTTTCCGTGGTTGAGCCATTGAAAGAATTCGGCTGGGCAATTGTCTGGCCCAGGTGTTTTGCCGTGTTTTTGCGTTTTAAGGACATGGTCTAATTCTGCCTTAGTAAAATTTTCATCCGTCATACATGTCTCTCCAAAACAAATATATTGGTCTTCGTATGATAGGTTAATGTCATCATCTGCGGGCGGTGCCCATTGTACTGTTTCCAAATACGTAGCAGCTTCGTCAGCAAAATCGGATTCTTTGATGATTTGTCCATGTTTGTTTTTGAATTTAGTACGTCGAGGTTGAAACGTTTTACGCGCTGCCTTTAATCCTTCCCATTTATAACCTTGTGCATCTGCTTCTTCCAGCTGTCTTATTGTTGCAGTTTCTCTGTCGTGTCTCGCGTATCGTTTTATGTCTTTATTTAGTTGAGGTAACAGATATAAGTTGCCATCTTCAATCGCCTTTTCTTTTTGAAGAATTAGTTGCCAGGTACGGTCCGATAGATAATCTTTCTTTTGAGTTATGGGAACCCTTGTGAAATGTTGCTTGGCGGCTTGTGTGACTGCGCGCGCGATGATATCCCCCTTGTCTTGTGTGTGCCAGGATCCGTCGAGCTTCTGCTTTTCAATTATTTGCCTAAAGGATTCATTATATGTTTCGATTTGCGCTGATGTCGGCTCTCTATATTTGATATTGGTTGGTATTTTAAATCTCTTTTTGGTCGCCAGCTTAACTTTTAATGTTGCAATTAGCAATGCGTGATCTGAGTTAATTATGGTGTGGTGTACGTTTTCAACATTCGTGACTGCGTTTCTCCAAGCTGAATTTATCAGTACATAATCTATTTGCGCAAATTTTGTTGAATCGATCTGTTCAAGGTCGAAAACAGGGGCGGTGGCATTGCGATATGTAGCTAATTTAGGTTTCGGCTTTTGAAACCAGGTATTCATAGGCACCAAGTTGTTTTCAAGACAAAAATTTATGAAATTGTGACGGTTGTCTATTTGCTCATTAGTTAGATCATGAATGGAGTTGTTTTCCGCACAGTATACATGAGCGCCAATCAAGTGCTGTTCATGCGGTAAAGCCTCTATCAGTCGAGCATTAAAATCTCCCACAATAATTTTAATAGAGTGCGAAGGGATTTCTTGCGTTAATTGGTGCGCCAAATTGTAGAACTCCATTTTTGTTTGCGCAGAGTGTCCCGCGTGAGGAGCATAAAGATTTATTATATTGATTGGTATTGGGGTTGAGTGTATCTTCATGGACATGACCCGGTTATTGAGGGATTTGATGTCAATCTCAGCGCTGTCGAAAAAAGATTTCTTATATAGAAATCCTACCCCTAATTTTTCAGTGCTCCTGTTGATAATGGTCATTCTCTCCCTTTTTGCCTCTACTTCAGTTATTTGTTTTTTCCGTAGTCTTTGGTTTAGTGCTTCAAGTTGTATGTCAGTTTCCTTTCGTTGTTCGTCATCTATATTGCTTGAAAAATAGAAATTGTAGTCTCCGTGTTGTTCTTTTCCCGTATAATTTATGTGTCTCTTGTAAGGCTGCCACATGAATGTTGTGCTTTTGCATAAGGTATACAATTTGTTGTCTAGCGGCTATATAATTCATGCCTTTCAGGTTGAACGTGGCAATGCCTAGGTCTGTATGTACAATCTTGAGGTTATTGCACGGTGGGTGTTTGTAATCAGACCTATCAGTGTTTGGTTGGGGCTGGCTATACAATTCTTCAGCTAGGATTCTTTCTTGAGCCAAAGTGGGTTTCGCCGGGGTTTTGGCCAATTCCACCCAGCGTTTTCTCACTTGTCTGTATTCACGTCGGATACGCCTACGGTTTTCTTTTCGTTGAGCTTTGCGAGCTAAAATTTGCGTCGCCGAGCGAATTCCTCGGTGTGATCTATATTTGTGAGAGGGTTCTGGGCCCACTTTGTTCGCGCACCTGTGAGCAGGGCACTCATCCCGCCATACCGGTGGGGAGGTGGGGCCGCAAAGTGTGTGTTGCGATATCTGAGGAGAATGCTGGTCTCGAGCTATACTCCTGGGATTTTTGAGTTCTGGTTCAAATTTATTCTGTAGTCTATGTGAATCATCTGATGGTCTTTTTCGGTGATGATTTTTTCGGTGACGATTTTTTCGGTGACGATTGTTTCGGTGATGAATCTTATCTTCATTGGGTTTTCCATTTTGGGGTATATTATATTAATATTATAATCATTTTGGCCCTGCTCCCTTGAAAAAACAAAGATGCAAAGGGAAAAATAGAAGCCATGTATGCTCAAATATGATCCATTTAACATGGGTTAAACAATGATAAACATCACTTTATAATGGTGATTCATCCTCAACCATCCTCAACCCATATTCCAACTTCAGTCTCCTGAACGGTCTCAGTCTGACCTCCCAGGTGCAACCCCCAAAAAAGATCAAAATCGATTGAGAAATGCAAACTTCTACTAGAAAAAAAGTGGATTTTGTGATGCAATTTACTTCTCTATATCATTATATAATATTATATATATTACTCTTTGTGGGGCTTAGAAGTGCGTGGATGTGATTTTGAAATCATGCAGTAGATGTGATGTTTACTTCGTGATTTCCAGGCGTGCGACTGCTCTACGGCTCTATCTACTCTTAGATTTTTGGGGGCCTTCCAACGCTTGGGTAACCAGAAAAAAAAAATTGGGCACTTTGAAAAAAAACATTTAATGACCATTTTTTTCAAAGTAACCATTTTTCAATACAAAATTTCAATACAAAATTTCAATGCAACCAAATAATGATACCAATGGTCTAGCATGGTCTAGCTAGAATCGCTGAGTTTCTGGACCTCCAAACGGTAAAGAAGGGAGGGACCGGGAGGGAGCTCACCTCGCAACCTGAGGTGTTACCCTCCGGTGTCATCAAACATTGCAATGGGAGATCCCACATAAATATGGAGGTTTGAATGGGATTTTTTAATCTATAAAATGCTGGATTTTTCACTGCTATGTTTGATTGCCAGAGGGTACCTTCACTCCATTCACCTCCAGTTGAAGTTGTGGTGGTGGTAGTGGTTGTGGTACTCGCAGTGGTTGTGGTGCTCTCTGTGGTCATGGTGGTTGTGGTTGTACCTTACGCTGCGCCGCTGGGAGCTGGGATGGAAGATGGTCACCACTCCAGCGAAAACTGACAAATCCCATCCTGCCGCCTGGAAACATGTTCTGCGATAGCAAATCCAAATCCAAAACAAGTCGAGGAAAAAAAAACAACTGAAAAAATACTGGCGCTTATCGGACTTGTGAAATCTGTGAACTATCAGATTCAGCAATTCTGGTGGGAGAATCCCCGTTTCGACTCCCACCATCCGGTGACTTGGTGGCCACACTGGGAGAAAACTGCGTGGACGTCGACGTGGTGCTCGACGACTGCGTGGGTGCAGTGGTCGACTCACAGACCGAGATGTCGCAGTACTTGTACCTTGGGTCTTGTTTCTCCTTGGGTGGGTTACCCCCCCTGAAAGAGTCAAGTCAGCTGGGATCATCATACCCAAGTTGGCTGAAAATAAAAAGGACTTGCAACTAGGTTACAAACATTCCGAGTAAATTGCAGTAGATTTTCAATTTCGGTGGAATCAATATGACTCGAATCACAATTTTCTGGGTAAATTATAATATTTCACTAACCTGAATTAAGGCCATTTGGGGATGATTTCCCTTACTAACCATGATTCCAGTGAGGTCGCAGTGAGGTCGTTATAATTTATCCAGAATTTTGGGAAAATAAAAAATGCCTCTTCAGCTTAAATCCAGGGCGCTGGATCGAAGCCGTCATGTAAATGGACATGGCCACACTGGTGTACCTGAGCGAGTGTTGTAACAGGCGTTGATTCGCAGCCCATACGCCCAAAATATGGTATACCCTCTGGCGAACTAACATAGCTATGGAAAATCACCATTTTTAATGGGTAAATCAACGAACTGAATGGCCATTTTCAATAGCTATGTTAGTTTACCAGAGGGTACTAGACTCGGTTTTGATCCATCCCAGAATAATGTGCTTGCAGCCTAGAATGCAAGGTGTGGTCAATTATCATCCACAGTCATCACATGTCAGTGAGCATGTAGGATATAGCCCTCCTCGCAAAGCATGGACATCACACACACAAAACATAATTGTCCATTAAAGAGACAAGAAAGTTTCCAACATTGACCATTTCTTTTGGGTATCCAAGTTTGCTGCTTCTACGGTTGTTTCAGGTTTTTTCGTTGATTGTCTCTCCATGTTTGATGCTTAAAGTAGTTACCATGCACCTGGCCATGTTTGATGCTTCGCAGCCAGCGAAAACCCCACTGGGCTTCATTTCCCGATCTGGTCGTTTCCAATGCTTTTCAAAATTGGACAGACAAGACAATAATCCTCATCTGGTTGGTGGTATACCTACCCCTCTGAAAAATGATGGACTTCGTCACTTGGGCTCATGAAACTCCCAATATATGGAAAGTCATAAAATTCCATGGTTCCAAACCGCCAATCAATCATGTTATCATGTTTGTATATGTTTATCTTAAATGTTGTTCAAATATTGGATTGATTCTTCAACAGCATATCCTGTCATTGGATTTCTGGAATCGACTCCCCTCGGTGGGTCCTGGGGAAGTTTGAAACTGGGGCAGACCCGATTCCAGCGGATGATCATCATCATCATCATCATGATGTTCGGTTGTAAACATATGTATAACAGTTATATGGTATAATTATAAATATATATATATACATATGTGTCATTCTTATATGGTATGACATCATCAAAGAATCAGTCTTTCAGAACCGCCGGGGCTATCCCCCACTTTCTTCGAAAAGAAACTCCGAGAAAAGTATTCCCTCACCTGCTGAAAATTGCTCGGCTCAGGTCCGGGGGGCGTGTACTGCGACCAGCCACATTCCAGTTGATAGACCTTTCCAATAGTGCCCTCAATCTCAAGTCCTGATCGGCTGGGTGACCTGTTTTTTGCCTGTTCACCAGCCTCCAGGAATCTCATGGAATCTCCGGTCGAAGCAGCATATCAAAGCTGGAATGGAAAATCCAAAAATTCTTGGTGATATTCCATTGTATCCTAGTGGTAGGTGATTAAATAAAATTCTAAATATCCATTGAATGTCTTAGTTCAATCACCATTTTGCAGGTTGGGTCTGGTTAGTAAATCATTTGCAAATGGGTGGTTTTCGATGACCTGGTTTCAGTACCGAAAACTGTGCCGCAAATTCAGGCATTGATAAAGGCTTCGGAAAGGGAAGGTTCAGGATGGGAAGCAAATTTGGGATGTCAACAAGTTTGAGACCCAAAACGTTTCAATGCAGCCCTCAAATGTTGAAGAAACCTGTTTCACCTGATCACTTGTATTCTAAATGTCCAATTCCAGACCGTTCCAAAGCAGTGATTGGGGTATCCCGCAGTGCTGTGATGGTTCCCAACCTTGGTTTAATCAGATGGCTTGGCTAACGCGAATCTCAGATACTCTGTTAGAAGAAAGATTTTTAGCTGGGTCTCGAATGTATTCCGTCACGGAAATAGATGGAAATAGCTGAAACACAAAATCGCGGAAGCGTGTTTTTTTTACCAAGATTTACCCAAAATTTGATCCGGATGGTCCAGTGGTACTGTTGAAGTTTCCATGTGTCTTCTGGACAAATCGCCACTTTGGTTGCTCCAAGGTCCAAATTCCGCTGAAAAATGGGGTAGCGATGCACGCACATGGTTTTTTTCGCATGTTCACTACTCGACTATCCACTTCTTGGGGGGATAACAAAATGTTGACCTATGTTCACACCCCCCAATAGACAATATAGACAATAGCCTCTGGTTATTTAACATAGCCATGGTATAGCTAAATGGTGATTTTCCATGGCAATGTTAAATAACCAGACAATAGGTGGTGATAACATGTTGACCCATTCTCCAGGAGTTGTGCCGAAGCTCTGACGATGGGAATTGTGGAGCTGTCCATGCGGAAGATCACAACTTCACCTAAAGACTCGAGGCAAGAAATCGTTCATCGGATGGTAATTCCATGGATTGAAAATTTCGACAAGACAAGGAAACCATAGGGAAAGCATAAGGAAACCTTATGAGATCTGGAATGACCTGATGGTTTGAACCTTGGATGGATGGAGGTCCAGTCATCAAATGTCCATCCTGGACCTGTCCCGTCGCCTGGAGGTTGTAGCCTGGTTAACGGGATAGGTCTACTATTTGAAAATATTTAAATCTATGTTAGATATAGACAGAGACAATCTATAGATAGTATAGATAGATAGTCATCCTGGAGTAGATAGAATATGGAATTGTCAAAACAATCCTCGGTAAAATAGGAATATGTTGGACAATCCCATGTTGTTTAAATATTATATATCTACTTCAGGATGATTAGATTATATCATTATATGTAAGTATTCACAGTTATAGCAGTTGCGAACCAGTTATCGCTGGTATCCAGCTAATGGCTGGCAATGCACATCACATGACATAATCCCCGCCTCTCTGGATTGCATATGAAGGAAATATAATAAAAGGGTGTCATAGTCCCAATGAAATCCTAAGGTAATTCAATAGTTTTCTACGAAAGCCATGGCACATCTATAAATGTGTTTCCTCTTTAAAAATGGTAATTTCCCATAGTTACGTTAAGCGTGAAGAATTACCAAAGCATAACCATGCATAACCATGCTGCATAACCCATGGATGTCCATGCACTATCAAATATCATGAGTCAACCCAGTGTCTCACATGCCCATGACTCACTTATAAGCGAAGTATCACAGGAATCAGAGACTTGCAAAGTATGGCTGAATTCACCATACAAAGACCATCAGACAATTTCAGGGGTGGCCAACTGAAATCTCAGAGCACGGCTTTGAATTGATGGGAAACAATGAAAGCCATGGAAATGATCCAAAACTGTTGAGGCTTGCTGTAAGATTTTGCATATTTTGCGTGGTTTCAATGGAAATAAGTATATATCTGAGTAATGCAGGTACCCACCCGAAACATCTGATGATGATGGCTTCGCAAGTTCCCAAAGGTCATTGCTGAGATTTTCTTTGTTTGGGAAGGGTATCTTGGGGATACATCTGAAAAACCTTCCATTAAAGAACACCATTCCCAGATTTGAAGAATATTTGTAGAACCAAAAGTTGAATTAGGGAAATGTATCTGAAAATCAGATAATTATACATTATATGTGCCATCGTCAAAACATGGAATATGGGCTATGGCTATGGTCATCCATCCTATATTGGGAATCATTACAATGGGTATATTAAACCCTATTGATGGGTGTATGACCATCCCCTTATATGAGAAAACAAACCATGTTTTGACCACGGCACATATAAATATAAACAAAATGACCTCAAAAAAAAAAAATCCAGATCATTTCCCGAACGGCATTTTCCCCATCGGAGGGTACCATATTTCGTACCTTCCAGCCGAGACACAAGTCGTGGTGCTCATCTCCCAAGTCGGCTGCAACTGCTCTTTGCTGGAATAGAAGCCTCAGTGTGGCTTCAATGACAAAGATGGATAAAGATGAGGCACCGAAAAAAATATGAAAGTGTGAGGTATATTTCGTATTATAGTTTCATATTTTCACATTCTACTTACTAAGTTTAGAATTGAAAGTAATATACTAAGTTTATGTTACTCCAATTACTTCATTTCTTCTAGTATTGCCAAACTTAGATGGACCCCTTCAAAAAAAATCGGGTGTCTTATGTCAGCCAGGGTTTCATGGGGCTGGGAACTTCGGGAACGTTTACAGGAAAGCCTGGAAAACATCGAGCCTCTATACAAGCGTCTTTGACACCAACCAAGTGAAAAATCGTGTTATAATCATTATAATCGTAAGGCTGGTCACTAGCAGAAGTAGCAGCGACCCATCATGGAAAAGGCGTTTCCTTGGCAGAGTGTGATGGTGCCAAAAAAATCTCCTGAACCAACAAGCTGATGAAAAGCGGGGGCTTTTCATTGTGCAATAAATCCCAATAGATCACAAGTGGATACAAGTGGTAGTTGAGGTAAAAACCTGGCTATATTGTAGAATTCTTTGAGTGAATTTCCTGGTGATGCCTTTGGTTCAGGGCAGGGAGCGCTTTGGAAATGATTAACCAACACCCAAAGGCCCATTCCTTGGGGATTCATACATATTTGGGACTTTTAAACTAGGTGTTTAATACCGGGGTGGGATTGAGTCCCTTCCCAAAACAGAAAAAAAAAAACAGGGCAGACTTTTGGCATCGGCGGCATGGTTTGTGGTTACAGTGATCCTGGCAATCCCTCCCATCCCCCTTCCTGTGCTTCACCTCCAGAGAAACGCAGGGCCATGCCGGCATATTGCGAATGAAATCCCGTGCAGTCCTTGGATGTTGCACATGTCAATCGGTGTGACCACCACTCCGCCACTCCACACAAAAAAGATGACGAAGAGTCGAGGCTTTTGGAAGAGAGGTGATTGACTGTAGTGGGACGATGGAACTTCATAACGTGCCGAACTTTGACAGAATGCAAGGGATAATAGAAGTATATATTACACAACATACACTTGATATACTGTAAGTAATAATATAACATAAATATAACTAGGTCCACGGCCCGCAGCCGGCCGTGACAAAATATACAAATGTGACCATATGGTGTGAGCTGCGGTTTTTTTCTTCGCAATTCCTCTGCGTAGAGTTTTTTCTGGAGCTTTTGGCCAATGAAACATCCCTGCCATTGGATATAGCGGCTTCAAACCTTACTGCTATTGGGGAGCATTTTTTTTCCATTGCTTTTGAAGTGCCGTAAACTTTCTCCATTGCTTTTTTCCATTGCTCTTTTCCATTGCTTTTTCCTTTTTTTGAGGAAGCCTTTCATCCGTGGTGTTTTTTCAAGCATCCCACAAGGTGTGTCATCATCCCTTTGGGAGAGCAAGGCAAAACACAACTTGACGCCGCATCCACTGTTGGATCATACGTTTGTTCAAAAAGTGATGGCCGTCCTTCTTCTCAACTCCTTGCAGTTTTGGCAACCACGATTTGAGATTGATCCACATACGGTCTATGGTTTGCACGTGCATAAGCAGCGCAGCATGAACGTAATTGCCTCACCCCACCCCACCCCGACCCCACCCCATGCGTGACGCAGCAGCACGTACATACGCAGCGTGACATGAACGTTTTTGCCCTGCCCCACCCCACCCCAACCCCACCCCATGCGTGACGAAGCAGAGTACATACGCTGCATAACATGAACGTAAGCTGTGGTCCAACTACCCGGCTACTACCCATGGGATTCCAACTTCAGGATACTTCAGGGTTCGTTCCCGTAGTGTTGGTGTTGTAAACTATGAAAAATTGAGACGTCAGCTTTCGGGGAAGTTGGCAGTGATTGGAAGCCACGTGCTCAGGTGGGTTTAAAGGATCTTAAAGGCTGTCAATCATCAAGGTCGTGATGAAATCCACACTCTTTCATCCCGAGAAATGTTTTGTTCAAGACACGTGCGACGATCAAATGATAACATGACATACTTTCTGCAATGAGCCTACTTTCTCTTCATACTTCATTCCCTTGAATCAGCCAAAAGTGAATTCAGATTCTAGTTTTGCGACGGAGTCTACGCACGAGGGGATATTATGATCATCACATCAGCAGCACAGAAAACTTGAAGCCATCAATGGTCAACTTAAACATCAAGCTTTTGACACCGATGATCCACCATATAAGGCCATGCGAGAAGCATGAAGAATCTGATGCTTGGTGCTTCCTCTTCAAAGAATGCCCACAGAGCTAAAGTGAGAACTTTCATATGTGATGGAAAATGAGATAAAAAAAACTTGAATCAAACAAATGTCCTTTTCGTATACCCATCCTGTTCATCAAAACTAAACAGCAAGGCTTTCGCCATAACCAGCTCTGCCGTTTTGTGGTGAATCTATGTCTGAAAATGATTCCACAAGGACTTGGGCTGCCGCACGTCTTCAGAGAATTTCATAATAAATATTTATATGGGGATGGGTCAAAACCCTATCCCCCTTCTGTTCACATCAAAATAGCTGGGTTAACATGGAGTAAATAGATGTTCATCCCCCCAACAAAATGCTATGTATAGGTATTGATCCATAGCCATATCTCCATGTTGATATTAGGGGTTTGTACTGAATCTACACTCCATGCATTCACCAAACGCCCGGCATCATAAATTGATTCGTTCCAAGAAGCTGACGCTGAGGAAAGGCGGAAGTGGGTGTATCCTTGAAGCGGGAGCTGGCTGAGTGACCCCATGGGAGCACCGTGTTCCCGTGGAAATCTGGATCAACTGATGATAACTGATGGCCTCGAAAATCTGGATCACCTGTGAAACGTTTGACTCATACTTATCTGGTTGGTGGTATACCTACCCCCCTGAAAAATATTAGTCAGTTGGGATGTATATTCCCAATATATGGAAAAATAAAAAATGTTCCAAACGATGTTTCCAATGTGAGAGCACAAAGGCACTTCAATGGCATTGCATCCGTCACTAATATTCTGGGGTCGATTGGAGGTCACTGAGATGGGCATGGGTGTATGTTGGAGCTATCATTGAAGCAGGGATTTCTCCAAGGGCCAATGATCATTCCAATTGTTTTTTGGCATGTTTCTTGTGTTTCATTTGATCACCCTTTTTCTCAGCATCTTGCTGTCATCCACCCTTATGTGTGATTGCCATGTAGCTGATTCTGGCCAAACTTCCGAAAAGTGCTGCTCATTCTCTCATGGTTTTTTGAAGCATTCATGTCTGGACCCGAAATGGTCTTGTACACCTACTCTCTTGTAATTTGTTACATAGCTATTGAAAATGGACATAGAAATAGTTGATTTACCGAACTTAAAGATGGTGATGTTCAATAGCTATGTGGCTGTTTACCAGAGGGTAATATGATCATTGTCTGGACCACTCATGTCCCCCAGAAATCGACGATTTGTTTTGGGGTTGGTCTCGGGGGATTCTGAAGGCTACAGCCGTGGCATCCCCCAATGCACTCGCAAAGAACAGCCGTGGCAATCCCAAGCATCAATTACAACTTTAATTGGAATTACCCTCTGGTAATTTGTTACATAACTATGGAAAATGGCCATATATAGTTGATTTACCCATTAATAGCATGGTGATTTTCAACAGCTATGTTAGTTTACCAGAGGGTATGGTTTATCATAAGGCCCCGAGTTGTAAGACTGGGTATTGGCTTGTCAAGAGTCATTCATTAGGTTTGCCACCTTAAAGCCTAGAACCAGGTGGTTTTTACATGGCTCAACCAACTCCAACGTCAACGAGCCACTACTACCCATTCCATGACACACTGGCTCATAGCCATCTCGTTCATTATTGGCTTAGTTCGTAGTCCCCAATAAACCAGGTAGTATAACTAGATATAATCCCCAATAACCATCAATAATCCTGGTAGTAAAACATAGTATACCATAGTATAACATGGTATAACTAGATATAACAACCCAATAACCCCATACTTCCCAATCAACAGTGCCTTTTTTCCTGGCTCATGGCTGATCTCAGAAAAAATGGCCCAACCAACTTTCGCCACTTCCGCCAAGGCTCCCAGATATGGATTGCAAGCCATACCAACGCCCAACCATAGCCATAGGCAACGCGTGGTGGCCATCAGAAAAAAAAAAACGTGGATATGTGATGCTGCTAAGCACGGGGAAGCCGTACATATGATTTCTTTGAGCATATGTTGAGACACAACAAGGATACACTGGGGATATGTTTAGGGATATACAGAATGGGAAGTTGTGGAATAAAACTATGAGATGTCGTTTTGCCCAGAAAAGGGGGATTACCCCCAAAATCACCATCTTAGGCTCAGGGAAGCAATTCTGACATATACACAAGGCAGGCAACATACAACCACCTCAAACGGAAAGCTGCCAATTTCAGGGTTGTTTCATTGCTAGACCAGCTCAGAGTCCGACTATTTCCATAGGATGATTCTCCGGAGCATTGACTTCACAGCTCTGCTTCTCGCGTGTGTTGCATGTAACTTGGCAAGCCTTAAATCCCAGGACGGGTTGACCAAAGCCATTGAGAAACAAACAATAATATAAACATCCCCAATAAAACAACTATATTATATATACTGGGTTTCGAGCTCACAGTCACGAACATGTCAACAATACCTTATGGCATCATCTGCCTTCTCAAACCAGGAATCCACCACCTCTTGAAAATCTACCTTTCAAGCCGGCCACTTCAGCAGGATCCGGAAAAAACCAGCTGCACAAACGGCGTTGTCTCAAAATGTCACCCCAAAATGGCAAGTTTACTTTGTCAAAAAATCATGAGAATAAAAAAATGACTTCGGGGTACCCTCTGGTAAACTAACATAACTATGGAAAATCACCATTTTTGATGGGTAAATCCACTATTTCTATGTCCATTTTCAATAGCCATGTGGCTGTTTACCAGAGGGTATCTTCCTATCATCCTATTGGCAAACCAAGCCAAGCGGACATCCACCAGTCACCAGCATCCTGCCCCCATCCCTGGGCCCCGTTGCTGTCTGGCCGGCTGAGAGGCACTTGGCAACTGGGAGACCAATTGCAACAGCTGCTGAGGAGAGGCCTGGACGGGTCGACTTTACGGGTGGTCATATTGGGATGTGAATCACAAAAAAATTATCACCCTGAAATTGTGGCCAAATATTGCTACTGAACCATACCCACATAGGAAAGTTGCTAAAGAAACATGGCCCAATGATGGCCAAAATCGTTCCATAAATTCACCTACCATGCCAGTTGTTTGATGCAAAATCCTGCAGCAAGTAGAGCTTAGTATGGTGTGACAACATGTGACAGGCCACCATATCTATCAATATCCAGTCAGGGTTTATGATACGGTAAATTAACGTAGCTATAGAACATCCTTACTTTTATTAGATAAATCATCTGAATGGGCAATCTATACCATAGCAAACTGTTGGCTTACCAAAGGGTAAGTGTTACATTTGTCATGTTGCTGTCAGAATATATGTGTAATTATCACGGGCATTTTACATATAGCTATCTTAAATTAGTTTTTTTCTATAAATGTCCCAGTAAATATCCAACTATAGCGAGAATCTACCATGGGTTACAGTTTATCTGGGTAAGATTGTGGGATCTTTGCCCCAATGAAAAAAACACCATCATGAACCAGGCTTCGGTCGCGTTGTGCGAGTTGGTGATCATTTTTTCATCCTGATGAGTTACGATCATCATGTATAGCCTGTATAGTAATAGTTGTGATTGTGATAAATCATCATAGTAACTATGGTTTTTCATCGTTACTCATGATAGATAAGTAGCCTCTGGTAATTTAACATAGCTATTGAAAATGGCCATAGAAATAGTGAGTTTTCCCATTAATAGCATGGTGGATCTTTCCAGTTCGTTATGTGGCTGTTTACCAGGCCGGGTATATCCACTAACATCCCTGTTTTTTGTTGATTAAACCTCCAACTAATCACCATGAAAAATCCCATTAAACCATATTAAACCACCATTAAATCCCATTAAACCATATTAAATCACCATTAATTCCCATTAAACCATATTAAACCACCATTAAATCCCATTAAACCATATTAAACCACCATTTTACCATGGTCTTCCCATGATGTTATCCCTCAGATCTGCACCTCAGGCGCAGCCACCTGACGTTCCAAATGCCCCATGAGCGCCTGACGGGCAGAGGAAATTTATGTCTTGTGGGCTGGGGTTTCTATGGGTTTATATGGGTTTCTATGCGTTTCTATGGGTTTCTACAGGTTTCTATTGGTTTCTATGGGTTCCTATGGGTTTCTATGAGTTGTTTGAGATTTATAATAACATAATATTGGTTTATGCTTATAAACAATCAATTTCCTCCGGCATAAACATGGTTTCTGAGGGTTTATGATGGTTTATGCCTTTAAAGATGGACTCACTTTGGTGCAAAAAAAACAGGACACGATGCTTTTGTTCCATGAAATTCATCTGTTTTCCTGTACGTGTTCACTGGGAGAGTGGCAAATACCAATTGGACCTTGGATGATCAGCAAGTTGCTGGCATGGGACCAGTTCTTTCACTTGGAGGTTGTTGCATGTTGCTACCAGCTAGAACCCATAGATCTAACCTGATGGGAATATGAGATGATACAAAATTCGCGTCTACTCGGTGGTTCTGCTTCCATATTGGATTATGGTGATGTTACCGTGAAACAAGGAGGTTTTAACAATTCAACAATTGTTTTCTGGAATGCTTTGGGTAGAAACAAACCCAATTTGATTGAAAATTGACATGGATGCCTTTGGGTGATAAATCATTTTTAGACAAATCCATATGTTGGTTTGTCTGAGTCTGAGAATTGGATAAGTCTCCCAAATTTTCCCTCTTAAAGGTGCCATCATGTTGTTGATATCCCGTTCATTATGGCTTAGTTCATAATCCCCAATAACCCAGGTAGTATAACTATGTATAATCCCCAATAACCATCAATAATCCTGGTAGTAAAACACAGTACCCTCTGGTAAACTAACGTAGCTATGGAAAGATCCACCATTTTTCATGGAAAAATCCACTATTTCTATGGTGATTTTCCATAGTTATGTGGCTGTTTACCAGAGGGTATATCCACTAACATCCCTGTTCTTTGGTTGATTAAACCTCCAACTAATCACCATGAAAAATCCCATGAAAAACCACCATTAAATCACCATGAAAAATCCTGGTAGTAAAAATCCTGGTAGTAAACTCTACTCACCATCAAAAATGGGTAGTTTTCAATGGTGATCCTTCAAATCATGGCAGTAAAAATCTATGTAGAAAACTCATGAAATCCCATTAAATCCCATTAAATCCCATTAAACCACCATTAATTGGGTTGTCCATGTCATGGAATTCCATAGTAAAAATCCTGGTATAACATGGTATAACTATGTAGAAATCCCATGATAAACCATATTAAACCATATTAAACCACCATTTTACCTATGATTAACCATGGTAGAACCTATGTAGAAAACTCTCCCATCTTTTTATGGATCACCGGATCGCTCCCTCCGACTCCGCGGACTCCTCGCCTCGCATTCGTTGATGCAGCAGACCGAGTAGATGCTCGAGGAAGCAACGCCTTGAATCGATCGGCGCAGAGATCGGCTGAAACCCCAATTGAATTGGGCCCTCCAATGTGTCATGGTAGATGGGGATGATTGGGATAATAGATGATTATAACTGGATTATAGATGATTATAATTGGATTATAGATGATTATAGATGATTATAGATGATTATGGACAATTATAGACAATTATAGACGATTACAGATGATTATGCGTACGGGTGGACAACCGAACGTGTAGTTGTCACCATTTTTAATTGTCTAACATCTTGGGGTGGGGTGGGGTATTAACGTCCGTTGTAGTAAGAACTTTCAATCACGTTAGTGACTTCTCTAACATCTTGCACGGGGTGGGGTGGTGTGGGGTGGGGTATTAACGTCCTTTGTAGTAAGAACTTTCAACTACGTCGTTGGCTTCCAACTACGTTAGCATCCAACTACGTTGCTATCTTCTCTACCAACTTGGCAAGTACGTTAGCATCCCTTGTGAGAAATCTTTCAAGTACGTTGCTATCTTCTCTATCAACTTCCAACTACGTTTCTGATGTCTCTGACTGGCAAAACCTTGGCACAGATGTGACCAAACCCTGGCGCAAAAAAAAAGACCGCTTTCATGTGCCAAAACCATGGCCCCACTGTCCTTTGTGAAATGATCCACCAAAAGTTGAGTACTTTTCTGGGGATGAAATGTCCATATTTGATGGCCAGTGCACAGAAAAAGAATAAAACCAATGGAATTGAGACGCAAACCTGACAAAAAGACATGAAATTCATTGCAAAACGCCAAACGACACAGGATCCACAAACGTCAAAAGGGCAACGCCGCCACGTTCAAGTACCCACCCAGCGGGATGATTATAGATGATTATAGGTGATTATAGGTGATTATCTAGATCGGATAATCATCTGGGAAACTCTTACAATTTATAGATGATGATCCCAGCTGGAACGTTCGGGGATTTCCGAGTTGCCATGTTTGATGACACCGCAGGGTAAAATTGGGGATATCCCCGATGTAACATGATGTACAGTATATAACAGTATATCCAACAAATTGATACAACCTGGCATTTCGTAAAGTAGGGGCACGAATGAACACACAACTTGCGTCACGTGTTGCTTTAAAAAAATGCATGTGTGGAGGAAAAATGCTTGGAAATCTATTGACATAGTCCTTTTTGCCTGTTCATTGTTTGCTGATTGGTGGTATACCTACCCCTCTGAAAAATATGAAAGTCAGTTGGGATGATGACATTCCCAATATATGGAAAGTCATAAAAGTCATGTTCCAAACCACCAACCAGTTTGTCTTCCTGGGAATCCACGTTCGGGACTTCCTGTCGTATGTCTCTGTGGCTTCACTGACTGTCATCCCGTAAGATTCCAACTTCCTTCAAGTGGCCCCCCAAAAAGAATGTCTGGGCTTAAGCGGCGCTAATACCCTCTGGTAAACTAACATAACTATGGAAAATCACCATTCTTAATGGGAAAACTCACTATAAATGGCCATTTTCAATAGCTATGTTAGTTTACCAGAGGGTAGGGTTTTAATTAAGGGCTTGGAAGCACCATCAACAACATCCAACAACCACCATTTTGAAGGGCCCCAAAAAAACAATGTTATAATGTTCGGTTCAATCAATCTTCAGGGAGAATGTAGTCGTAAGAAGCACCATTGATTCAGGGTTGTCATCTTTCACACATTTCACACCTATTGTTCGGAAAGAATCTCCCCTTCTAGCAACGCTTCAACTTTAGATCCAGCTGGGCTTTGTGATGCCGCTCTTTGGGCCGCCAGGAGGCAGTTGGACTGAGAATTCACGTAGTTTGGAATCAGCACTGCCAAATTCTTGGGATCCGTCCTGAGCACTGCTCGCTATCGCACAATATCGCACATCACGGCATCCGGCATCACGGCAGCCTAAAAAAATACCAGAAAATCCACCCAATTTCATCCGCATCTCTATGATGTCCTCGCAACAAAAGTACTGTAATATATATATATATATATATTATATTACTGTAATATATAGGTTTGCCATGATTTGCCATGATGTGTCATGTGTCTAGTCAAAATATGGATCTTCGCATCGAAAAAGTGGGGAATTTCCCCTGTGTACGCGCCCAGGGACGTGTCCAGCGCTCCCAGCTCTTGCAAGTAGTCCACAGATTCGGAGAATTGCCTTGGTGATTTTTCACAGGATTGGAGTAATATGGGAAATCATCCATAAATGTAGCTTTATATAACCCATAGGATCCATGGTGCTGGTATATATTCTAACATTGGGGGTATATTGATGGTAAATGTTACCATATATAGCATACATGGATTCTATGGGAAATCATCCATTATGGGATATCAATGAGATATCTATGGTTTTTATATGGGCAAAATATGGAAGTTTCACCAGGAAATGGGAGGTAAATAAACCATCCATAAATGTAGGTTTATATATATAATGGGCTTGGATTCCACAAACTTCATGGGACTGAAACTGACCAAAATCTTCGCAACTCAAAATTAAGGGTGTTTCTGATGTTTCAAACGAAAGTTCTGGTCCTCCAAAACCCAGTGGTAAACCATAGATTTTCCCATTAAAACCATAGATTTTCCCATTAAAACCATAGATTTTCCCATTAAAACCATGGGTTTCTCCCGCGTTTTGGGATAAATTGCAAGGTCCGCATTTCCGGACGTCCCAGCCTTTGGGAGCCGCAAGAAAAATTGGTCCAAGCCGCCAGTTGCCACTCAAGGCGGCACCATAGAAGTCCTCACGGCCGTGGAAGCCGAAGCCAGCCTTTGGAGAAAGGACCTGTAACCTCTGGTTATGTCAAAATAGCTATTGAAAATGGCTCATTTATAGTGGATTTTCCTATTAAAAATGGTGATTTTCCATAGTTATGTGGCTTATGTCAAAATAGCTACCCTCTGGTGAACATACAAAAAGCAATGGAAAAATCCACCATTCTGTAGCTGGGAAAATCCACTATAAATAGCAATTTTCCATTGCTATGTTAGTTCACCAGAGGCTATTGAAAATGGCTCAACCGTTGATTTAGCTATTCCAAAAGGTGATTTTCCATAGCTATATGTACAATGTAAACGTTTACCAGAGGGATTTTTTCCTGGTCAAGCTGGTCAATGTCATCCAGCCAATCATCCAGCCATTTGGAGCCATTGCCATATTAAGGCGAAGGAGATTGATGAAAGATGATAAAAGATCTGGTTCAGGGCCTCGGGCCTCTGCAGTTGGGATTCTAGGACAAACCCTTCCAACCTGGATCATCCTGGATCTAGATACCATAGTTCGGTCTGTGGATTTGCTTTGTAGGCAGCAAACGGCAACTGGCGCGGATTTCTGCACTGAAAGGCGATGGGAACATTGGGATCTCTGGTCCTGAATCAAAAATGCCAATCTTTAGACTCTTGATGGTTGTGGTTCCTTGGGGCAGTAGGACAAGATGCATACTGGCATACATCCTGGAAATTGAACATTCAGCCCCAAAAAACTGCGGAAAAAATACGACTTGCCCCTCAGGTTTGGGCTGTCTTGGGGCTGGCTCCAGCCCGCAAAGTTTTGCAGTTGTTCACCCTTTGAACAGCAACAATCATGAGGTGACCCAAAGCATCCGAAGATGGAGAACTAATATTGTATGTCTCCCAAAAGTGTTTTCAACAAAACACTAGAAACAGATCAGTGCGCCCCCCCATCATGATCATAAACCCAGGTTTTTTGCTTCATGGCTTGACCCGGGCCCCGGGTATTGTCGATTTGTTTTCCGTCCTTCAAGAGCACCCGGCCGGTGCCCGGCCGCTCGTACTTCGACAAGAGACCTACGTGCGTTGATCGCATCTACCCGCCTGTACCCCTACTGTAGGTGTTCCTGTCACTGTCATCGTTCCTGTCACTGTCTCGGTGTTTTAAGTACAATATATGGTAAAATCGTCCAGCCCCATTGGCCCCATCGTTTTGGGAATCAATGTGTGTATATATATATATATCCCGATTTCATCCATGTCCAACCAGTCCCCTTCTCATTCGTATTTTCAATGACTTGTTGGCTCATTGTTTCTCATTGTTTTGAACTGCCAAACTGCGAAATCGCATGAAATCGCGACCCCTCCCACGACTCGACAAAAATCTGCCGAGCTGCGTTTCAAGTCGCGGCACTCGGAATCTTGCCAATGGCCATAGCGCTCACCGATCTCCTGTTGGATGGGTGGGTGGGGAAATGTACGGAAAACCCGAACGGTTTCCACCATTGAAACTGGAGGGGTCCTGAAAATGTTCCCTTCAACTACTAATCCCAACTAAAATCACTCAACGAAGAACCGGCATGCACCACCCATAGACTCAAGAAAGTTTTTTTCAATCTGTCAATCCTTGCGTCATCTTAGATCTGCAACCGCAAATGTCAGGGCACCAATAGAATAAAAAGTAATTTTCCATAATTTTCTCACATCTTCACCAGGAAACACTGAACAAATCTCTTTTCCAGGTCCACGCGTTACACAAAAAAAAATCTGGCTGTACCAACATGGCTGCATCAATGAGGCCCACAGGTCCTCCACAATTTGGGTGGCCATGTCAAAAGAGAAGTTTTGGCCTGCATTTTTTCCAGCCTGCGCGGTGAAAAACTGCGACAAACTGCGACACGAGTGGTCAGCCGGTATAGGAAAAACAATCCATGGGACCATCAACACATGATGCAAAATCATTGCCAAGAAAACCAAAACCTTAGTTTCCGCAGTTTTCAACACTTTTATATCTATATATAAATATATCTGCGGGTTGAACAAAGATAGTCTCTGGGGTTCTAAGGACATGATCAGCGAATCAACCAGTGCGTATGACATCTGATATCATGCCTTGAAGACACCCAGTCTTGAAGTAAGGGTCCATGTAATTCAGCCACTAAAGGACAAGAAACATGTACCCTGTGGTAAACAGCCACATAACTATGGAACATCACCCTTTTTAATGGGTAACTCAACTATTTCTATGGCCATTTTCAATAGCTATGTGGCTGTTTACCAGAGGGTATCCTTTGGTTGGCAGTTGCAACTCATCCAAAATATCAGCCAATTGGAGATCATCATCCAAATGTCCACGCAAACAAAATCCACCTACTGTAAATCAAATCAGACAGAAAAGTAAAATCCTACTCAAATCTGTGATATACATAAAGTATTTATATACATATATATATATTGTATCATAGTATATTATATTGTATTATATTGTATCATATCATATCATATAATATCATATGATATTATATGATATTATATGATATTATATTATATATATATCCAACTGAACGAGCTTGATGCCTGAAAATTCCCGGTCGCGAATTGAACTTTCTGTTCCCCGTCGCCTTGGCGAGGACATCCCCGCGCACGTTCTCAGTGAACTTGCGCGTGTTGTCCCAGCCGGGGTAGGTCTCCACCTCAAACTTCGGGGAACTTGGTCATGGGAAAATCATGGGAAAATCATGGGAAAACATGTGATATAGTAGGTACATCAATGGCCATTTCACTGATTTATTGGAGGTACCTATGTTAACCTATCTATGTTATATCCATGTTATATCCATGTTATATCCATGTTATATCCATGTTATATCCATGTTAACCCATAGTTAACTATAGTTTCAATGGGAGATCTTCAGGATCCAATTTTTTGGAGGTACCGATTCCATATTGTCAGGCCTATTTTTCAGGCCGAAATTTCAGGGAATATCCCCAGAAAATATAGCCTTATATGGTACTAACGTACCTCCATTTTAGGATCCTGAAATTACCATTGATTCGGGGAACTTGGGAATCAATGGGAGTACAACTGTAGAATCTGTCGAGTTTATGGCATTGTGGAAGTTTTTGACCGTTTTTGCTGAATCTATAACTATTGGTGTATCTGTGGGATCTATAACTGTAGTTTTTGGTGTATCTATAACTGGTTGGTGGTTGAGCCACCTACCCATCCGAAAAATGATGGAGTCAAAGTCAGTTGGGATGATGACATTCCCAACTGAATGGAAAAATAAAAATGTTCCAAACCACCAACCAGTAATTGATGGTGATACAATCATTGATATTGATGGGCAAGTGGGCTGGTGATTTCATGGGATTTTTCATGGGATGTGATGGGATTTTTTTCATAAGATTCAATGGGTTTCAATGGAATTGAAAAGGACTTGGTGGGATCTTCCCATGCTGTAAAGCCATTTATAAATCCCAATGACTCATCACAAATGGGCGGTACAAAGCCGCCAAAGTTGGAGGTTTATGGCATGTGCCGTACACAACATGATCAAAATGTGTCCTTCAGAAAAGTGGATTCAAGCAGCAAAAAATGTGGATGTTGACCAACTAACAATTATTAAATAGAGTTTCCGGAGTTTACTCAATTCATCTAGCGGAGAAGCTAGACCTGGTGGTGTTTAGCCTTTTTTTTGAACAAATGCTTGTTTAAACAGTATATGGTTACAACCCCTCCAGCATGGTGTTTCGTCAGCTCAACCCCAGATTTTGGGATCAATCAATCACAAGTGCTGGCAGATGCTGGTCCATCGGGTGACGAACCCCAAAAACAAAGGAAAAATAAAAGGAGAGATTTGAAATCACGTGAAATCACCACAATCAATCTCATTTATTGAGAGTGATTTCAGAAATTTCACCAAATCCGTCAGACTGGAAATCATCCTCGGAAATTGGCGTCTGAAATAACCAAACAAGACCAAAGCCGCGAAAACTGGACCATTTGTTGGGATGCAACCCCACCAGAGGCACAACCCACATCCCATCAAAACCACAGTCCAGCGACCACTCTTTCGCGCTCCTGCGGTTGGGAGGACCCCAAGAGCACCAAGTGCCACTTCCAGTTTTCACGAACCCATTTTCAGGCTTCGCAGTTCTCAAGAACCAGCTTTGAACTTGGGGAGCATTTGATACCTTGTTGGAAGGTTGATATCTATATGTCTATATTTGTATACCCTCCTGTAATCACCCACCTCGCTCCACGGAGGAAAAATCGCCCACCTCGGCGACCGAGGTGGCGTTCATGTCAGATCCCACCAAGAAAATGGTCATGTAGGTGTCGATCAGCATCTGGAGATCCACCTGGGCAAAAGTGGCTGTGATTTGGTGAAAAAGGCCATGTTCAACTGGTTTCCCTGCTTCGTTTCCTGAGCCCCAAGCTAAAATGTAAGGATCTGTATGAGGAAAAGAAGAGTAAAGGGAAAGGAAAAGAAAAGGAAAGAAAACGGAAAGGAAAAGGAAAGGAAGAGTCAAGGAAAAGGAAGAGGAAAGAAAAAGGAAAAGGAAAGGAGGAAAGACAGAGGAAAGACAGAGGAAAGAAAGCAAGGAAGAGAAGAGGAAAAGAGGAGCAAAGGAAGAGGAAAAGGAAAAGGAAAGTAAGAGAAGAGGAAAAGAGGAGCAAAGGAAAAAAAGAGGAACGGGAAAAGAAGAGGAAAGAGGAAAGAAATTGAGGAAAAGGTTATGGTCCGGCCTGGTTTTTTCCTGATTTTGGTAGTTGTTTGCTTCGTTTTGGCTTCGTTACGGATCACAGACAGAAACTATATACATTCCAAAAAAATGGTGAAAGGAATAAAAGAGAAGAACAGAATTGAAATCAAACGGAAGAAAGGAAGGATGGGGGTGGAAAGAAAAACAACAGGGGAAGAATGCGAGGCGAAAAGGACGAAGCAGGAGGACAAAGCTATCTTCCCAGAAAGAGGCTGTGTCTTTGCTTTTCGGGCTTCGTTTCCCTCACGGTCCTCATGACTTGTTTGGAGCAACCAGGTTTTGGAGTGTCGTGCTGTCTGGGTCTTCAATTTGCGACATCCATAGTGACATTTATTGGGACAAATAGTCATCATATCTATATGGATCTTTCCCAAAATAGGGGTACCCCAAAATCATCCAGACTTCGACTATTCGTCTAGTGCCACTGCCCATGAAAGATGGTCACTGGGAAAATCGCATGCTCCTCTCCAGCTCCTTAATGTTGGATATTGTGTGTTTGGGTGTGACAAATCCGCGCCCAAGGGGTGATTTCGCTCATTAAATCCACATTTTGGAAATATCTTTGTTGGTTTTTTTTGCAGACCAGAAATCTAGCTCATTCTATGCCCGTGATTGATGGTTCATCATAATATCCAGCAATATATATATATATATTATATGTATATATTATTTATATTAATCATATGTATATTATATATATATATTAATCATATGTATATATGTATATTATATATATCGATAATCCATTATATTGATGCTCAATTCATTCTATTGATGCTTAATCCCAGTGTTAAACAAATAGGTGATCCACCCAAGACCCCTTCCCGCTGGCCCGTTCCCGCCTCGTTCACCGAGTTGTTCAAGGGAATGCCGTGCGCCTGGTAAACCACGCCCAAGCGACTCAAAGCCTGGCAAACCAGGCTTAAGCCTGGGGAAAAGATGTGGGAAAAGATGTGGGGAAACAGCTGGGACATCTATAATATATATATATATATATGTATATATTATATATATATATGTATGTATATGTATATATATATGTATATATATATATATGTATATGTATATATATATATCGCTGTTGTTCTTTTAGACTTTAGACTTTTTCCGAGAAAAGATGTGGAGATCAAGATGGTTCATGTATCGGTTGTACATTCATGCTACCTCTGGTTTCATGATGGATTCTCAGTTCTCATTACTAGTGGCAGGCATTTTTTTGACATGCAACTGTAGTTTCACTTTCAGATAACTTTCAGATATCTTTCAGATCAAAAACCAGGAGATTGCTATATTTGCTATGCTTCCTTGAAGTTGCTTTTTTTGCCCCCACGCAAAACAACTCATATTCCCCACATGGCCCCCACTGGATTCCCATGGTGAATCTCCGCTGACTTGATCCTATCGGATAGACGAGCAATTTTTCGAGATCTGGGCGACAGAAATGAGCTTGGGAAACTGCTGATCAAAAAAAAAAACTTGGAAAGAACATATAGTAACCCCCCAAACAAATAGAAATTGGTGAAATCCAGGTCTAAACTAGTGAGAATGGAAACATTGAATAATAAAATATTATGGGAATATGCTACTTGATGTCTCTTATTATAGCAACCCCAAAATAGATAGAAAAGTGGGAAAACTCGAAATGTGTATGAAATATCATCGGTATATAATCTCCTGGAAACACGTGTCTATCTTGTTGGGGATGGCTATAAACTAAAAATGCACCAGCAAATACGAAATATTACACAACCCAAAAAAATGGTCCCATCTGATATCTCCAAATAAATGGTATATAAATGGGTTTTATCCCCTACTAAACCATGATTTCCATATGGAGGTTGTCCTAAAATGGGGGTACCCTAAATCATCCATTTATACGGGTTTTACAGTATAAACCATCCATTTTGGGGAACCCCCATTTATGGAAAACCCTCATATAATAACAAACAACTGGAACCCCATTTCATATTTGTAACGGGTACTCATTCTATAGGCCTTTACCGGCCGGGGATAGGGTTTCTATATGTTTCTATCGTCTTTTTGGTTGTTTCCCTTCAACATGGACATGGAGGACATGGACCTCAGAAGCGTTCGATCGCCTCGTCGTGAATGAGGTGTTCCAAGGTGGCCGCCAAGACTGTGAGTTCATGAAGTCCAAGACCCTGCCCCTTGGAAGTTCAGACAGCTGGCTTTTAGGACAAAAAAAACATCAAAATTATCCCACAAAAAAAATGGGAAGAAAAATGGGGATTCTATAGGAATTTTGATGCACGTTTCGGGCGAAAAACATATATATATATATATTATGACGGAATTCACCATCAACACTATGGATTTCATCGGATTTTTCGTATGATATATATATAATGGGATTAAACATGATTAAAATGGATTTAACGAGGTTGAACCAACCAAAATAGGCATATCATATGGATTCATTTTCCAATCCCAATGGCAAAAGATTAGTTAATAAACCACAGTACCCAGCTGATTTACCCTCTGGTAATTTAACATAGCTATTGAAAATGGCCATAGACATAGTTGATTTACCCATTAATAGCATGGTGGATCTTTCCATAGTTATGTGCCTGTTTACCAGAGGGTATAATCCACTAACATCCCTGTTTTTTGGTTGATTAAACCTCTATAATTACCATGAAAAATCCCATTAAACCATATTAAATCACCATTAAATTCCATTAAACCATATTAAATCACCATTAAATCCCATTAAACCATATTAAATCACCATGAAATCCCATTAAACCATATTAAATCACCATTAAATCCCATTAAACCATATTAAATCACCATGAAATCCCATTAAACCATATTATATCACCATTGAATCCCATTAAACCATATTAAATCACCATTAAATCCCATTAAACCATATTATATCACCATGAAATCCCATTAAACCATATTAAATCACCATTAAATTCCATTAATTAAACCATATTAAATCACCATTAAATCCCATTAAACCATATTAAATCACCATGAAATCCCATTAAACCATATTAAATCACCATTAAATCCCATTAAGCCATATTAAATCACCATGAAATCCCATTAAACCATATTATATCACCATTGAATCCCATTAAACCATATTAAATCACCATTAAATCCCATTAAACCATATTATATCACCATGAAATCCCATTAAACCATATAAAATCACCATTAAATCCCATTAAACCATCGTTTTTTGTATAGTTTACCGAGTAAAAAAAGCCAACCGTTTCTGGTTGGCCGACCTTCAATCGATCCTCAAAGAGCGACAGAACGAAGGACGGCACGTGATCTTCCAGAACCTCGCCATCCGCAACAGAAACACCACGTGGATGAAAAAAGGGGGATTAGCCCAAAAAGAAAATACCATATTAGAGATACAATATGATTATATATATATATATATATTGATAATTGGGATCTATTTGTGAATTAATATGTTCATGTACATATATATAATATATATATACGTATATAACTGGTGGATAATATGACATAATCTATATATGTAAATATGCCCTTAAAATGAGACCTCCTGATTAATAAAATAGGCGCAGAAAAGAATGTTGAAATGACCAGGGTGCCATTGGGGCCCAGGACTGCCAAGGAGGCACTCGTGATTGGTGGTTTCAACCCATCACTACCCATCCAAAAACTATAAAGGTCAAGTGGGGCCTGAACCATCACATCCCCATCCATTTTTTTCGAATCAAAAAAAGGATGGACATCCAACAATAATAATAATAACAATAATAATAATATATAATAATAATAATAGCCTATCATCATGAATGATCATGGCTATACTGTAAATGGCTGACAATGGCCGAATCCCCATATTTATATCGGTCACCCTCTGGACATAGCTAAACAATCAAACTAGGTCCACGCTTGACAAACGGCCGTGGCGTTTCATGCCAATTCCAGCAAAACGCCAGCATTTTGTCAATTTTGGCTGCTTAGATCCAAAAAATTGCGGCGGAATAGCATTGCAGCAGTCTTTTGCTCAGCGCTTCAGCAGTTGCTTCAATTCATGCAGAAAGTCAAAAGCATTGACCGGTCCAAGACTTTGTCGCCAGACCCATTGGTACACCATAGCCTTGACATCTTCTGACATTATTGTATTGCCCTTTTTTAAAAGTGGCATTGACATGCTGCGGCCACCAATCATTGTTTAAAGAGATCCATGCTCTATCAATGATTTGTGTTCCTGCAAGAGAAGAACCCGAGGTATTTTCTGAATAATGTTTCGTGCACATTGTCTTCTTTGATGTCATACAGCTTCAACTTGAAATCCTTTCGCTTCAGCATGGCATCAAGGAAAGTTCACAGCGTAGCATCAAGAGCGTGTAGCAAGTTCCAAGAGAAAGTTCACAGCGTAGCATCAAGAGGCAAGTTCCAAAATAAAGTTCACAGCGTAGCAGAAGCTATTGCACCCTTCCCCCCCACCCCACCCGGTTCCCCAAGAAAATCAGATCATTCTTCGTTCACAACTTCTAAGTGTGGAACTTCCAACTCACGTGCAAAACTTCTAACTGACGTGCAGAACCTTTACCTGACGTGCAAAACAAGAGGATAACGAACGTGAAAAACGGGCTATTGGCACAGGTTAAACTGTTAAACAAAGAAATGCTGTAAAAAAAGAGTACGAAATGACCCTGAAATGGACAAAAATACGCGGCCGTCTACCAAGCGTGTGCCAACTACATGGGCCAGCTATACCATAGCTATGTTAATTTACCAGAGGGTATCATCAGCTGGAAAATCCCATTTATTTCGTGGATCTCCCAGCTGCGCACGTTTGATGACAGCGGAGGGTAGATAGCCATACTTTGTTTGAATTCTACTGAGTTCACTTTTAAAAAAAAATGATAGCCATATATTTGAGTTAGATAGCCATATGTTGTAGTTATATGAATATTTCAATCCCCAAATCAGCATCTGTATGGGTACTCTGTTTACCATCCCTAAGTGATGGTAGTAGTTATCTAATTTCTATCTATTATTGCTGGTTCTATACCCACTGGTAACCATTATTACCACTATTATTCTGGGTATGTAACCAACAAAAATGACCAACTATAGTTAACCATTACTAGCCACCATTAAGGCATTATAAATTATAGACCATGACCAAACCATTACCCTCCAGTAAATCAACATAGACCCTGGCAGATAGGGGTTGCAAGATTTGTTTCCACAAAAAAATGTCTATGTTCAGGGTCTATGTTAATTTACCAGAGGGTAATAACCAACAGTTTCGGAATTTCCTCATGAGCCATTAAAAATACCCCTATCCCATCTCATGAAATACGAGTTGCTTGATAGTTGAAAATGGTTTCCCAATCCTATGGCTTATCATCAATCACCAGTAAATTAGCTAGTATAAGTCCCACTCTAGATTCCCTAGTTCGTAACCAATCAACCAGGGTATGTCGTTAAAAATTGCTGTTCATCAACGAACAACGACAATCACACGTAGCTTTTCCAGTTCGCATAAACTGTCAAAGTCTGTGAGTCTGGTAAACCAGAGGGTTTGCCTCAATCTACCCTCTGGTAATTTAACATTGCTATTGAAAATGACCATTTATAGTGGATTTACCCACTGAAGATTGTGATTTTCCATAGTTGTGTTAGTTTACCAGAGGGTACATTTCCTAACATTTCCTAACCAATCAACCAGGCTTTCTTTTCCTAACCTGGCGGTGGCCTGGCCTCTTTGGTGGAGCTTTGGTTCCAACTCATCCCCGAGGCCTCCAGGCCCTGTTCGGAAAGAGAACACAACTGTGATCTCACGTGATCTCACGTGGCCAGATATGAAAATGAGCCTAAGAACATGCTTGAACATGGAAGATTATAAGTATATTATGTCTATACTAATTGTATATATAATAATATATTGTATATGATATGGGATGGAACAACATCCCAACATTTTTCATAAATCTATACTTTTTAAAATGATATAGCACACATTCCCCCCAGCAATGTGAAGTAGATAACATACATGTACTGTTCTATATTATACGTACATGTGTGTATATTATATCTGGTTGGTGGTTTTAACCATCTTGAAAAATATGAAAGTCAATGGGAAGGATTATCCCTTTTCTACTATGGAAAATAAAAAATGTTTGAAACCACCAACCAGTTATATATATATATATATACAGTATATATAAAATCGCTCGCCCCGCTCAGACCCATACCGGGTACCAGGCGATCCAAGACTGCTTATCATAGAGGGATTCCCATAGTGAAAAATGAAGCTTATCCCCACGAAATCAGATAGTATAACCGGAAAACGAACTTATTCGCCATCATTTCTGGGTGATATCCAGAATTATCCTATTTTGAATTGCTTAAAACCCCTAGTTGATGCTGTAATCTCAATAAAGTAAGGATCAATTTTTCACTGCTTATGTTAGACACCTTACAGCCCACCAAACCCAAATTGGCCGCTGTCAAAAACTGAGTCCTACTGCCCCCAGGCACCTTGATGTACATCGCGTGACGCTGCACAAATAGTCGATGCAAGACATACCTGGTATGGGTGATACCCTCTGGTGATTTGTTACATAGCTATTGAAAATTGCACATAGAATAGTTGATTTACCAATTAAAGATTGTGATTTTCCATATGTAAACGTCAGAGGATAGGCTGCAAGAAACCTGGATGATGAATTGGAGACCTGGATGGGAGAAACATCATCTGTATCCGGGAACAGCGCAGCTTTGCGATCGTTTTGGGACCCCTAACAATAATCCAATGAGAGCTGGTTGGTGGTATACCTACCCCTCTGAAAAATATGAGTTCGTCAGTTGGGATTATTATTCCCAATATATGGAAAAATAAAAAATGATCCAATCCACCAACCAGAGAGGCATGTGTCTGAATTGTTGTGATGGATATGGGGAGTTCCAGATGGGCACCAATCATCCAGAATGAATCGTCTCGAACCCTGGATTTGAAGGGTGAATGGAGACTCGCCAGAGCATCTGCCTTCGAAAAAACACCTGCTACAGGGTGGTACCTGGTAACTATGGTTTATGTGATGTATCTAGTTAATGGATTATAAATTATAACCCATTTATAACTGGGGGGGCAACACCTTGTATCTTCTGTTTGATTCCTCTCTGCAATTTTGTTGCAAGTTTTCCTGTAGCTGGCACATTTAGTTCGCTGAATTGCATCCCTAGTGCAAACGGTGATTCTCAAGTTTGCAAACTGTTAAACACATGGGAAAACACCATTTTTTGTAGGTCTTGTGACTTGTATATAGGTAAAACATCCATTTTATGGACTTCTCAGTTTTCTCCACAACATTCCATAACAAACTCTGAATGCAATGGAGGATACATACAAATTTTCGTCCGACGTCCGACGTCCGACAAGGATTCATGGATCCAGGACACAGTTGCACAGTTGAGATCCAGATCCACGCAGGGGGATAACATGGGATAACCAAATAAAGCTGTTCATTTCCAGAAAAAAGATCCTGGAAAATATCCCTCAAACATTGGTTTAATTGGTCTTGGTTATGATGGCTATGACATAATGACCCGAAATGGGAAATGAAGAGTTGGCTTTCCAAGTTGGCTTTCCCGTTTGGAAGATGATTCGGATCTCCCCAAAAAGGTGACCGTCCCCAAAATAGATAGGTAAATTATGAGTGGTTGTTGGTGGTTAATAAACCTTTAATGAATCCTTGGTCTGTCTGGATTGATTTTTTTTTGTTTTTTTTTTGTTTCCATTCAAGTTGTTTGTATTCCCTAGAGCTTCGAGATATTCCCAGCCCAAACAGTCCCAAAGTGGTGCTTCCCCAGTCATAAGTTGGTGAACAAAACCCCCAGTATATAGATACCATCTGGTTATTTAACATAGCCATGGAAAATCACCATTTTTAATAGGTAAACCATCTATAAATGGGCCATTTCCAATGGCTATGTTAAATAACCCAAGGGTATATCTACCATAGACCATAGAATCCACCTAAAGAGTTGACAGATTCACCAGTAAGGATTAGGGACACCATCATACTTACCCTCTGGTAAACAGCCACATAACTATGGAAAATCACCATTTTTAATGGGAAAACTCACTACAAATGGCCATTTTCAATAGCTACTGTTGATTGTTAAATTACCAGAGGGTAACCTATAGTTCTGGGTAAATTATAATAATTCACTAACCTGAATTGTTGGGCCAAACATGGGGATGATTTCCCTCAAAAAAAAACATGATTCCAGTGAAGGAGGACAGTGAGGTCGTGATGAAATTTACCCAGATAGTTATAACCATAGTTTAAGATACCCTCTGGTAATTCATCTATGGAAAATCACCATGCTATTAATGGGAAAACTCACTATTTCTATGGCCATCTTCAATAGCTTTTTGTATAGTTTACCAGAGGGTAACTATTGAGATTTGGTGAGTCATTGATGATTTACCCAGATAGTTATAAGTTATAACCATAGTTTAAGATATTCCCAAACATAGATTCACTCAATCCACATCCACATCTTTCTATCATCCAAATAGCGCTGTCTCCGTCCATCCCGTTCCATCCCGTTGCCTCGCAGCCGCATCCTCCAAGTTGCCCTGGTCGTTCTTGGGCATCGCCTTGACGGAGGCGAAAACCGGACTTTGACGAGAAGTTTTTTCGGAACGCAGGAGAAGAATACTATAATGTTTATAGAATAGTGGTGTAATAGTATAATGGAAAAATTGACATAAATTGACTATAGATATGTTTTATTTGGAACAGATTTTAAAAAAAAAATGTATAATTTTGTATAATGTGTTTAGAGATAGTTGCATAAATCTAGTTAAAATTGTATGGTACTAGACAATAGTAGAACAAGATAGTTTGTGCACAATCGCCAAACTATATCTCCAAATCATAATCAGGATTATCAGATAGTTTGGGATATATCATGATGATTCATGATGTGCCTAGAAATCAAAATGGATGTGTATATCATGATTCGCCATGATTTATTCCCATGTATGGCTGAAACTGTGTACGAATGGATACAAATGACTAGTCCCCTTTACGACCTGCAACAACTCCCTTATTACCCTCTGGTAATTTGTTACATAGCTATTGAAAATGACCATAGAAATAGTGAGTTTTCCCATGAATAGCATGGTGATTTTCCATAGTTATGTAACAGTTTACCGGAGGGTAAGTATGATGGTGCCCCTAATCCTTACTGGTGAATCTGTCAACTCGTTTTTTTTTTCCCTGGCAGAAGCTCGTCCACACCATGATGGTCGCTCAAGTGATTCATGGGATCCATACCAAGGCCCGATCGATCGGATGAAAAATGGTGATTTTCCATAGCTAGCATCTGGTTATTTTTAATGGTGGTTTAATGGGATGAAAAAAAGGTGATTTAATATGGTTTAATGGCATTTTTCATGGTGATTTAATATGGTTTAATGGGATGTTTCATGGTGATTAGTTGGAGGTTTAATCAACAAAAACCAGGGATGTTAGTGGATATACTTCTGGTTATGACTAACAGTTCGCCATGGAAAATCATATGGAAAATCACCATTTTTAAGAACGGTAAACCATCTATTTCGATTGGGGCCATCTATACCATGGCTATGTTACCCTCTGGTAAACTAACATAGCAATGGAAAATCACCATTTTTCATGGGAAAATCCACTATAAATGGCCATTTTCCATTGCTATGTTAGTTCACCAGAGGGTAACAGTCATAACCAGAGGGTATCTTGGCCTTGAATTACCCATTGACCAACCATGACTGGGAGTCAGTCAAAAGACATCGTCCCAGTACTAGAAGCCCCGATTTCATAAACCTCAAACTTGGGGAGTGTTGATTGTAGGTATCCCATAATCCATTAACAAGATATCCCACACTATCCCATATCAATATATATATATATCAATCCATCCTCTCCTATGAATATCCCACTATTTCCCATTGCATTGGGTGAATCCCATAGTATATCCCATGATATCAGCTTTTTCCCGCTATAATCCCATTCTATCCCGATTATATATATCATCATTAGTGTGGGTAAAAAAACAATGTCATAAACCACCCATGACTGGGAATGGTAACCATACCACCTATGGTGATGACTGTGGGATGGTTTATGGCATTGTTTTACCCACATCCACATGACTATCATTAATAATATATATATATATGTCATATCGTTTTTTTAGGTGGTAGAATGTTGATTAATGTTGACTATCCCCATTAATTATATCATCATTATATCCATTGCTATGTTAACTTACCTCCAACGGGTTGTCACACCCCCACCTCGAACGTGGGACGCACGATCTTCTCGATCGCCGAGAGCCGCTCCTGCGTCACGCGGTTTCCACCTCAGAAGCTCCGAAAACCTACCTGCCATGGCTGTCCTCCATGGCGAAGTGGTTTTCACGGGAAAAATTCACCACAAAAATGGCATCTAAATGGGAACCTATAAATATCTATAAATTCACAAAACTACATGAACCAAAAGCGCAAAGGCCTTCTATTGCTTCTGAATCGGGAGTCAAGTGCTTTGTGAGGCACACAGCCCTTGGCGGTTACCGTCTCGCGGCTGCGCTCAGCGCAAAACGACATCTCCAAAGGTCCCTTGTTTTTCTCTAACTCTTGAAAGATCTTGAAAGTAAATCCCCTAGTTTTCCAAGATTCATGATGAAATTCCTACTTCTATGTTCGAAACCCCATGTTGGCTGGATAAATCCCATACTATACCACATTTTAGCTGGTTAAATCACAATTTTGCTGGTTTATATCCCCATTTTGGCCGGTTTTTTCGATTGGGAAATCCCAATTGTTGATGAGAAATCCTTTTTTTTTTACGATAAATCCCAATTTTCGAGGATTAATCCTCAATTTTTGATGATTAATGATGACTAATCCCACCAAATAACTCCAAGTTCCGGTCCTGTTTTTCCCCCACCTCAACGGCGTCCAAGGTTTTGCTGCCGAAGAAACTTCCCAGGGCCGCCATCACCTCTTGGAGCACCGTCTCGCGCAGGGCTTCGGTACCTCCAAAAATCCATCGGCAAAAAATGGCAAAACGATGGTTGGTGGTTTCAACCATCTTGAAAAAATATGAGTCACTGGGAAGGATTATCCCTTTTCTATTATGGAAAATAAAAAATGTTCCAAAACACCAACCAGCAAAACATATGGTTGATGATGAATAGTGGGGATAAATGATGGATAATGGGATAAATGATTAACCAGAGGTTTGATGAATATATCAATGATAAATCAATGGTTGCGAAATCCTGCACCAGTTTAGTAACTATTGGGATTCCTATGAAACACTGTAAATAATGGGATAATCATGGGATAAACTATCTACCAACTGGTGCAGGATTTTGCAACCATCCACAGTAGCTCTGGAATATGGCCCATAGAAATAGATGATAAAAAATCCATTAAAATGATGACTTGCCTATTGAAAATGGATGTCCAGTTCGCAAAACTAAATAACCAGAGGTTGATGATGGTTGATGATGGTTTTTGTTTTATGTTTATGTGTGTGTACAACGTTAGTTTTCGGGAGAGTAACTAAAGGTTGATGGATACATCAATGACATCAATGGTTATTTAAATTTAATCAATGGGTTGATGATGGCTGATGGATAAATCAATGGTCATCCACATCCACGATGGTTTGTTAAAATTTAATCAATGGATTATTGGGATATATCCATAAGGTCATCCACTAGAATGCTTATAAAGATGGGCATAGTAGTTTTCTACTGAATGATGGGGATATCCAACTGAAGAATACTCAATTTTTGTTAAGGATCCAACTGAATAGTGAATAGTGGCATTTCCAATCAAGAACACAATAGGGATACAATGGGAATATACTGGGATATAAAATGACATGATGGGACATACCCTTTGGTTAACTAACAGCTTGATATTTAAAATTACCCTTTTCAACAGGCACACCAAACATAAAAATAGCAATTTTCCATAGCTATTCTTGATAATCACAGGGCACATACCACTGAAACTAGACTGTTTCTATCATGTGGTTCCTTTAGTAGCTCCTTAGTTCCCCATTTAGGAATATGGAGCAGTATGGGTACCCATAGCTTCTTAGTTGCCTCCGAGCCACCAAACAGATTTTCAAGGTCAAAATGATGTGACTCTAAGGCTCTAAGGGTGTGGTAGTAGACCATACATGTGTATATACATATGGGTTTGTCTGAAAATAGGCTATATTCCCAATTATAGCCATTTAATAGGGATAATGATCATTCACCATTGGGTTTAGGGGTACACTATTTTCAGACACACCCATATATACACCCTCCAGGAAGTTCATAGTTCGACCCTGCGAATCGTCAACCCCCTCTATTTGACCATCCCAGACCCCGGCACTCAAGCTTCCCGAAGTCGCGTTGATCTTACCACGCAGGCTGGCCTGGAGATTTTGGAGCGGCAAGCGCACCGGTCGCCAACCAGGCCCCCCCAATCGAGATTCGAATCCTTTTTTGGAGAAAAATGAGCCGAGGGGAGCCGTGAAGATGACCATCCAGGATCATCCAGGGTTCAGGGAAATATTCCCGAACCAAATTACTTGAGCTTACTTGAGCAGAGGGCAAGGCATCTCTACATATCACGGCTGTGTTGAAATTGGAAAGGGAATGGGAAGGGGATCTCCCTGAAGCATCCTGAAGCCACATTGAATATGTGGAAGAGAAGAGCCCTCTGTGCATTGTACTTGTTGCAAAAATTCTGCGCAAATATAAACCAACAATAGTAATAGTACATAGCCAGTAGATGCCAGTAGCATAGTTGATCCATTCTATATATTTTGTTGTCCTCTGTGCAATTTAGGAGAAATACACCAGGGATTTCCTCTTGGGACCCTCAGTACGACCATCCCTACAAAGGAAATCGTTTGAAGTGAGGAAACAAACAACTGGTTATTTGGGATGTTCATGAGCACAAACAAAAGAACGATTTGCAATGACCACCCCCATTTTCTGCTCGAAACTACCTTTTCTTTTACAATGGTAGAGGCGATGCCAAAAGAAAAATTATGCACAACATTATACAACAAATTTGGTGTGGGCCTGGTATGCTGCTGGTACATTCCAAAAATCGAGAAGACAAGTGCCATGAGTGCCATGTTCAACCCCCCACCTGCACCGAAGAAAGGAAGAGAAAGCTGAAAATGCGGATCATCGCCACCATCTCCTGCCACGGCTGGAGGATCTCTGTCCGGATCCTAACTGCTACCCCTTGTGATCAGTGTCTGATTCCTGAGTTTCTCCTATAAGTGGCTGCCCCGGGCCCCCATTTACCAAGCCCTGGGTGATCTTCCAAGTCGTGGAAACTCCGGAAAACCCACCTTTTTCAGTGGCAATTCCCTACAGATTGGGCAGAAGATTTGCGGCGCCGCATCTGGAGTTGTAACGTGGTTTGCGACTTTGGTATCGAGACGAAGATGTTGTTGTATTCCAGCATAAGAGAAGTGAACGGGATGAAATTGTGCGTCCCAACAGAATCTGAGGACTATAACATCTATAACCCAGGTTATGCGCAAAAAAAAACACTGGAAAATCACACTAATTTCATCCGTGGCCAAACGTCAAGATGCCCTTTCATCCCCTTTCAATCACACACCCTGCACACCTGCCCAACCCCTGAGATCAACATAGATCAACCAGTCCTGAAGAATGAACGTCTGAAGTGAACAGATCCCAACACCGGCTAAGTGAGTTTACCTGAGCCTCTGAGACTGCGAGCCCTGGGCATTTCTGGCGTTGCCGAAAAATCTGCTTGGCTTTGTGAAATGAACTTGATCTGCTTAAAATCTTAAAGGGGAACCAGTATTTCAACATATTTCAACAGTTTTCAACTGTTTCGTGGGAAAGAGCAGTGTTCATCCGAAGTAGCAGTCCCCCGTTCCGAAAGTTCCGGGTTTTTCACTTGCCTTACAATTTGATGAGGCAACAAACCCCACAAATCGACTGCAAAATAGACAAGAACTAGAGGATGTACCTTCATTGCAACAAAACGGAGGGTATGATCCTGTGATTCATGTAATCAGTAACTTATAATACCAAGAATTTTCAATGGAAATCATTCCAACTCCAACTGATCATGGTCAGTTAAATTTTGTCCCGGCCTGTGTCAGCCAGGCCAAACGCATTTCTGGAATAGACCATCAAACCGACATTTCAAGGTTTTGAGACCTGTCCCTCGACTCGCTGGGTTGTCAGGGAGATTTTGAAGGAATCCCATGGGGTAAAACAACTTCAAGCAGCGGCATTCCAACTTTTCCCGGACCAAACTGGGGACAAACCCTCTACGAAACAAAAGCTGGGAAAATCCCTACCGTACTTGTAGTACCCCAAAGGGACCTAAATCATCTAATGAGGTAAACCGTTAAACCCTATCCCCATGGTTGTTGGTTGATTCCTCATATCCCATGAAACATCCCTCTATGAATGGCCATTTCAGGGACCGATCTATTGGAGCTACTTACCATAAGGCCTAGGTAAGGGCTGGGGATATGCCATCGCCAGGTCTGCTCCCAACGCCCGCAGCCACTTTTCTTCGTTTTCGCCAGTCACCAGCGCCACCACATGCGAGGCCCCTGCGCGCAGCTGGAGCCAACGACCTTGTGGGGGCTGTGGCACGCGCAGCACCTTGAGTTGCCTCTTGCTCACTCGGCCAAAGCCCAGGCAGCCCTCCTGATGGCGTTTTCTGACGGGAAACTCCTGACCGGAAACCATGGTTTGTGCCATGAAATATAGGGGCGTTTTGACCCTGTAAATTGTCCCTCCAATATGTGAGCTGCCAATGGGGATGTCTCACCACAATGTGATCACTGGAGATGGTATGGATCGAAAAAAGTATACTGTATCCGTGTTTCTTAGTGTAAACATCATTAGCATCCTGAGAGTTTTCTGTCAGACCCTCAAAACTGGAAGTGAAGTAACCCTAATCAAGTCATTTGCTGGTTGGTGGTTGAGCCCTACCCCTCTGAAAAATGATGGAATTCGTCAGTTGGGATGATGAAATTCCCAACTGAATGGAAAATCATTAAAAAAAAATGATGTTCCAGTCACCACCAGATAAAATGTGTGCAGAATCTGTGCAGTACTTTTGGTTCATCTCATGGCCCAATATCTGCTATGAAATGTGGGATTCCTTTGGACCACAGTGGTAAAATTGCAGGCTGGAAAACGTCTCGTTGTCAACGGCTACACCGGATCGGTTTTAAACCTGTAAAAGAGGAAGTTTCCTGCTGATTTTCCTCTATGTACATATATATATTATATATATACAGTGTATACAGTATATTATACACTGTGTAGATATCAACCTAAATAATTGAAACTGTTAGGGTGACAGTGTCTATCAAAATCCACTCCTTGTTTCTGGGAGGTGTTTAAATTACATGGGCCTAAGGACACTGGCAGTAGTCGGCCAAAAAGTTGTCTTGACAGCTGCTCAAAATGGAAGCATTACAAATGTCGTCCTGCGACCCAAGACCATCCAACTTAGAGCAGTCAATCATTTTCAGCCGGGGCCACGTTTCAAACAGGGACAAGCATATCGGATTGGCATACCCAAACGAGCCCCGAAACATTGGACTTGGCTTTTAGATCCCCCAACAAATCGTCACATCACGCAGTCCCCAAGTGGTCATGGCCCAGGACAGCAATTTCAGCGCTCCTTACCCCAGCCACAGGCGTAGAGATCCTCCGCCACTTGGAAGAAAGAGAAGAAACCTCAATCGGTCGCCAAAGTGGGGGGGAAATTGCTGAGCTGGCCAAACATGCTGGATATGCATGAGAACATGCGTGAATATGTTGTAGATACTTAAATAAACTATTTATACATACATATGTATATATATATATACAGGCATACACATATGATGTGCACAAACATACGTTTGCGTACAGACAATTGTGTACATGTATATGATACCTGGACATTACAAACTACTAAAAGCTTGTCTCACTCTGTCCTGAGCGAATTTTTCGTCAGGTCGTTAGTGTCTTTCATCATCTCAAAAAAGGTTCCAAAGCAATGAGAAACAGAGTGTACTTCAAACCGAAAAACAGATCATACACTATGGAAAATCTCAATAACACAGCTGGAAACAATGACATACTGTAATATGTATGTATATATTATATATACGTATATATATATAAACATACATACATATTGGATACTTTAACCAACTGTGTATGTTCTTCTGGGTCTTTACTAAACTGGTCTTCAAATCCAATACTGTGATTGACCATTGGATATATTGGGTGTGACCAATATATAATTCCGTGGGTTTCCATCGGAACTTCCTCTCCCGCAATGAAGGAGAAGAACCACAATCTGCGGGACCCATTTTTGGAGACCCTTGGGTCTTGAATCTTAACCATCGCAACCTCACGATCTCTCAAAACATCCACGTTTGTCAAACGCCAGTTGTCCAAAGCTTCGCTTCTACGCCCAAAACCGATAGGTTATTCATCATGTTTCCCATTACAATGGCCATAAATTATGAGTGTCACGTCACCCATGTTCTCTCAGGACAATGTCTCAAACATCATCCATGGCTGCTTGCAGATCCCATCATACCCTCTGGTAAACAGCCACATAACTATGGAAAATCACAATTTTTAATGGGAAAACTCACTATAAATGGCCATTTTCAATAGCTTTTTGTATAGTTTACCAGAGGGTAATTCATCATACTTCGCATCCATCATATGCTTGGGGCCCACTCAATTCGCAGCCCTGGCCCTGGTTCCCCATGGCTAGTACTGTAGGGAATATGGATTCCCTATGGCCGCTCCCAACCGCTCCCTCCGTAAAAACCACTGGATAGGAACTAACATCATAGAACATCACCAACATAGTTCAATGATTTTCTCAGCGAACTCAAAAAACTGTAAACCTGCATGGCTCGTGGGATTTTCCAGAAATCCCTGTGTTTGATGACACCTGGGGGTTCCATCGATCATCAACGATCCGTCTCGGCACCTCCACAACAGACGCCCAGGGCCATGGGCAACTCCCTGACCCTCTCGGGAGCCAAGAGATGTGGCCGGTCACCCTGTCCACACTGGCCTGAGAGTTCACCCTGTTCTCACCGGCGAAAGCCAACAATAAACCCTACCATTATATAATGGGGGTAAACATAGCAGCCATAAAAATGGTGAAAAATTGGTTTTTATCATTGGCTTTACCACAGAAGTTTGGAATTCGAATGAATTCGAGGATTTACAGGGATTTTTCTGTAAACGAAAATGCAGGGGAGAATATGTATTCTGTCAGGGGGTCCAAAATTTGGCACGTCCCAAAAGGTCCCAGTTCGTTCGTGGGGAAAATGGTGATAAACCACAGCTCTTCGGACGTACCCCATTTTCGGACAGACGAATTTAGCATAAATCAGAACTGGTGTCGAAGTGTGGTTACTTCACCGAACCAATTTATTGGATGAACCTTGCTGACCCAGATGATCCTCATTCACTGAAGGGGAAATCGACCTGGGAGATGTGTCGCATAGCTAGCTGCGTGGCAAGGACGCCCATTTTTCAATGTTGTCTATATCTAGAGATATTTGAAATATGCAAACATGGTGTTGTTCGAAGGTGTTAAATCCTATGATTTTTCATCTGCAAGAATACTTGAATACCACCTTTCGCAACGCACTGGCCTCTGCTGTTGTCCCCAAAGGTGTAGGCCACACCAGCATCATCCAGTACAGCTGAATGGACGCCGCCCAAGGACAGCTTTGCCATGCGCCCTGTGTGTCCTGTGCGTCCTATGATCCGATCAAGACCACAAATGAGGTCCCAACAGCAGGAGGAATCAGTGCCTAAAAATCTACAAATGATCTATACATTTACATATGATCATAATATATACCCTCTGGTTATTTAACGTAGCTATGGAGAATCATCATGTTTAATGGGGAAATCATCAAAATTCATCTTTAAATGGACCATTTTCCATAGCTATGTTAGTTTACCAGAGGGTGTATATATACAAAAAATATATGTGTGTGAAATTCCAAGTACGTACTAACTATGCTTGAGCTATTTCGCCGAGTTTTCCGTCTACTATAATCCATGAAATACTCCATGTGTAACCATCATGAACCATTGCAAATCATTATATATCCATTAAACCCCGTTAAATCCCACTGAAATCCATTCAATTCAATTAATCGGATAAAACCAATTAATCGGATATATAACCCCCCCATCACTTCCAGATCGTCCCCCCTTTGGCCCTGCCTTCGAGCACCACTGGCCGTGGGCGTCCGACGAAGGCCTTCTCTGTGGGAAGGCCCAAACCCAGCTGCCCGTGGCTGTTGCCTGCGCAACAACGATATGAGTTATGCCACCAACTTTGCTATTGGGCTCCACCTATAGCATTAGCATGATATATATATATATATGTAATTGATATAATATTATGTAATAGTATCATATCTATATATATATAGTATGGTATGGAGCATGGTAATTATATATAATGATGTGCCTGAAAATGGAAGATTACATAACCCCATAAAGTAGCCACATTACAGGGAAAACGAAGATTAACCCCATAAACAATGTCAACATGCCTCTGGACGAATAGACTTGATTGATTCGGGGGTACCCCCCCATTAGCCAGCCCAACAGTTGATTAATCCTGGGTTGACATTAAGTGATTATTATATAGTACTGAAAACATTATTTACGTGTATATATATAGATACATACATACATACATTACATTACATTACATTACATTACATTACATTACATTACATTACACAACATACATTACATTACATTACATTACATTACATTACATTACATTACATTACATTACATTACATTACATACATACAGACATACATACATACATATATCAGTCATCATTAATTCTTTGAACTGAATAAGTGATCGTAGTAAACAAACAACCCGGCTGGATTACTTACCCGAGCTGAAATATCATGAAGTATGCCTTATTAAGCGCTTGGCAACCCCCATCAACCCTTGTGAACGAGGCCCTGTTGTTGCGGGGGTTACCATTGTTGGGGTAACCCTCCGCTTTCATGGCTGGGTTACATCTAATTATACCATAGCGAACTATCAGAGATTGCCAGAGGGTGCAATCTGTACTATCTGTACTTCACCAGCCAGAAAATTGTGGACTATTTCCAAAACCAACTGCATTTGACAAGCAAACTCCAACAAACCACCGAGGAATTTAAGATGGTTTAAGCTACAAGACAAATGATGTTACAGTAAACACCAACCACATTGGGTTAACGGGAATGTAATGATATTGCATATTATATATATACATATATATATACCATCTGGATATGACTAACATAGCCATGGAAGCCATCACCATGCTATTAAGTTCGGTGTTTACCATCTATTTCGATTAGGGCCATCGTAATAACCATGGCTATGTAAACGTCATAACCAGAGGGCTTGCCGGAGGCGGGCTATCTGGTGTCAAAGCCTTGAACCTATGGTGCCACGTGATACCCGGCCTGGTAAACAGCCACATCACGAACTGGAAAATCACCATAGAAATCGTGAATTTTCCCATGAAAAATGGTGATTTCCCATAGTTATGTAGCTGTTTACCAGAGGGTACCAAGAACAAACCTCCGATTCGAAGTGATTGATAGCATCCATCTCTGATAAAATTGAGCACGGTTGATGATTGGATTTACTAATCATTGATATGGAGTTTCCTGAAATGGGGGTACCCCCAAATCATCCATTTTAAATAGGATGTTCCACTATAAACCATCTAGCTATTGGGGTACCCATATTTATGGAAATCCTCATATGAGTATGTTATAATTATGGATTTACTAATCTAGGATTTACTAATTGATATGAGTATGATTTGGGGATACACATATTTAGGATTTACTAATTTACTAATCATTGATATACAGTACCATCTGGTAATTTAACATAGCTATTGAAAATGGTCCATAGAAATAGTTGATTTGGCTATGGATCAATACCTATAGATACAGTTTGTTAGGGGATGAACATCCGTTTGCCACCTATTTTGATGTTCACCAGGGCTACATGGTTTTGACCCATTCCCATTTACCCACTAAAAGTGGTGATTTTCAACAGCTTTGTGTATGTTTACCAGAGGGTATGTCTGAAAATGTTGGGAAAAACCTGAAAAATCTCACGGTTGACCAGCCAAGGCGCTTCCCCAGCTCCACAGTTGACCGTTCTGGGTCAGGAAGGCGCTGTGATAACCTACCGAGTAGCTGGGGAAAAAAAAAAAACGTTATCATGTGGTAAACCCACTGCCATAAACCATCCCTAATTGGGGTCTATGAAATTGGATATAATCATGACTCTCAAATCGTTGGTGAACGGGACGCTTTTTATCATGTTTCGCTTACCACATTGAGTGAGATTATGACCTGTGCGTCTTTAATAAGCATATCATTAAAAAAAAAGAAAAAAGAATGATGATAGTGATAATGATAATGACTTATCTTCTTCAAGAATACTATATCATTGACAGAACGAATTCTGTCAAATACACCCCGAGTTTCAAGATGAAAGGGATGCCCGGTACGGAAATGTGGGATGCCAACCAGGTACCCCGATTGCCGATTTTGTCCATTGTTTACAAGCCTAGAATTCCCAAAGAAAATCCATCTCGTTTAAGAACCTCCAAAAGAGGGCTTTTTGAGCTTCGGAATCAGCAACTAGTAGTAAATTCGAAACCTAATTTGAGGCCATGTTTGATTGCTTCCACAATGCGAGCTGACATTTATTCTGAGGTCATTGGAGGTTCCACTATAAAACATTTAGACTGTATCTATTTCTTCATATCATTTATATCACATAATTCTGCATATATTCAATATAACCCAGCCATAAACATAAATTCCTCCATAAATGATCATACATCTGGGTAAATTATAATATTTCACTAACCTGAATTGTTGGGCCATTTGGGGATAATTTCGCTAAAATAAACCATGATTTCCAGGGTTCGGGAGAACAGTGAGGTCGTGATGAAATTTACCCAGATACATGTTTAGTCACAATCCAGCCAACTGAGGGTCCTAAGGATTCCCCACACCTCCCGCAGCCACGAGCGTCACCGGCACAGGCAAGTCCAGCGCACGGGGCGAGGGCTCATTGAAGTTGATGCTCTCGGGCAATAGACCTGGGTCCAGAAAAACCCCCATGGGGTCTCTGGATGGATGAGTAGATGAGATAGCTACTACGGTATATACGTATATATATATATATATATATATTATACGTGGTATATGAATTCAAAACCGTGGATTCATAAACAGTATTCTCCATATGCTGGGGAAACGAATTTTATCCTCTGTGATCATTCATTTTTGGTATCCACCAAAGCTTTGACACTTTCCCAAACATGGGTCTTGAAACTTTGAAGGATGCAGCAAATCCAAATTGACCGTAAATTTTTCAGGTTTTAGTGGCCACATGGCATCAGAAATTGCCACATCTTCTACCCTCTGGTTATGTCAAAATAGCTATTGAAAATGGCCATAGAAATAGTGAGTTTTACCCATGAAAAATTGTGATTTTCCATAGTTATGTGGCTGTTTACCAGAGGGTATCAAATACTATCAGATTTCTTGAGGAATCATCAGCGATCATCCCCAGCATAGCAGAGCTGGGAAAACCAGGTTCCGTGTTTTTTCCACGGAAATCCAAACACGAAACCCAAAAAAGTTCCTATCAACACCCAACTTCCGTGCTTGGTGCTGTGTCTTTCCCCGCAATTTCTGAGACAATGAGTATCAACAGTATCAACCGCTGGATGGCCAGAACGTCAGCCCCTGCGGTGTCGTCAAACGTGGCGATTTCTGGAAAATCCACGAAAATCCATGGAGGAAAGAAGTTCGCGCGGGCCATCATCGATCACCCCCAAGTTCCACCCCCTTCTTGGGTTTGTCCAACAATTTTGAAGCGCTAAAGTGGTTTAGAAATCGTGTTCCCCAAGTTTGAAATGGCCAGAAAGCTAAGATTACAGTGTATATATAATTCATGTTTTCTAAACTATTTCGAAACCCAAAAGAACCATAGCGTTGTAAATATGTCTATCCCCACGAAATCTCCCCAAATACATCCCTCATGTCTAAATATTGCTCCCAAACAAACTGAGGACATAAAACTGCCCAAAAAATGGGCCTGGTTCCATACTGCCCAGGTACCCAACCGCAACCGCAACCGCAACCGACCTTCAGAAAGTACCCCTATCCCATTTCATTCTACTAGTTGGTTGATAGATTTCCCTACTCTGACTCATCACTATCCCCAAGAAAGTAGCTAGTAGAAGTCCCAACAAAAACTCATCACCCATCAAACAACTTATCCCATCAAACAACCTATAACTTTCATGGTTCGGCTATGAGTCAAAACCCTGGCACCCGGATGGAACGTACCCTAAGTCATAGCTGGTATAGCTGGATGTTTACCCCTCCAGTCATATGGTAATGTCATAGGTAACTTGACCCATCGCATTATTAACATGATTGGCCATTATTAACCGTATTAACCATTATTAGCACCACCAATAACCATCAATAACAATTAATAATCATCAATGAATCATCAATATATCATTAACAAAAACATTAATAATCATTAATAACCATTAATAATCATTAATCATAACCATTCATATCCCATATTGCCACCGATCATCCATAGATCATCCTAGGCGCCTTTCAGCTTCGGTTCGTCTCTGAGCCCAGCCTCAGGGCCCTGCTCCTGGCCCCAACACAGCACCTGCCCCGAGGACGTCAGCGCCACGCCGTGGAACTCGCCTCAGTTAGGCAGGGGCTGAAGTTTTGTGTCTGCTGTAGACCCCTCAGGCGTATGTACATGTAATATATACATACATACATACATACATACATACATACATACATACATACATACATACATACATACATACATACATACATACATACATACATTACATTACATACATACATACATATATACATACATACATACATACATACATACATTAATTACATACATACATACATACATACATATATACATATATATAGACATGATATACGTATTATATGATACATGTATATGTGTGTGTGTGTGTCTGTGGGTGTGTGTATATGTCTGTATATGGGAATGTGTGCGTTTGTACTTATATTTATATCTACATACTTCATTGCTAGAATGATACTTGTGTTTGTATCTATACTATAATACATTTTGTCATTGAGGAAATTTTCAGACTGTTCTGTATCAATCATTACACAGTTACACTTATATGGGTATGGGTCAAAATGGAAGACCTAGGGGACCACAGATGTTAGTCTAGTTTAGTATTAACCATCCATAATTTTGGGGTACCTAATTTTGACCCATACCCATATGTCAATCGTCGTTGACAATAAACTGCTCTAGGTGCCTTTTTTGGGTGTGTCTGAACCTGGGTTCTCCCCCAGCCAGGTGGCCAAGCTCCACCTGGATCACGGCTTCATCTTTGGGCACCTGCGTCCGAAAGAGGTAAAACACCCGCGGAAAAATGGCCATTTCAATGATTTCAATGGGCAAAGTGAGGTTTGAATCCACTGGAACTTGTTTTTCCCCGAAAATCTTCAGACAGACAGGACTGAGGATGGGAACCACTGAGGAAATGAAGTCAACATTGTTAGGATTTAAAACATCTACGCTTCGTAGCGTCATGCCATGCGGCCACCGGGTCCGCCACTCCACAGCGTCCGGAGCTGGCAGAGAAGGAGTTGCAGTGGCACCTTTGTTAAAATCTAGAGACCCTCACCTGGCGGAGAAAAACAGGGGGATATGCCAAGAAATACAGCACCATAAAATACCTCGATTCTACCACCTTCATCCATGGCACCTGGAGTTGGGTCAGAGATCTCACCATGGCGTCACCAGGAATACCACACTGGTACACCTCATTGGGACCTCGGCTGCTGTCTTCAACCCATCCTACACTGTGGGGCCCCCCATTGGATCGCTAAGTGGGTAGACATAACTACAATAATTGTTGGGTTGATTAGGGGGATATACTAATATACCGAACTAATTCCATGCCTAAACAGGGTCAGCGTCTGGGTACCCCATTCTCAGATAGACTCACATGAGCAGCGTCAAGGTTGCGAACTGGTTTTACTGCTTTGCTCAGAATTTTCCAATAGCTTGGTAGAGCTCCAATATCTATGTATATATACATATAAATATGTATATTAATAATCAGAAATCCCCCAAAAACATGCGATATATGTGCGAAACCAGGAGTTCGATGATGTTCCCCCATATGTTTATGTCTCCTATTTTCCAGGTTTCCAAGGTATATTATGGTATATTCATATTCGGCATCTATGGCTGCGGGTTGCCATACTACATCAATTAGATTGGAAATCATTTGGCCAAATTCTACATTGTGTTGATTCAGCATCTAGGAATTGTGACATTGTGTTTTTCAAATCTCGTTGACACAATTATCATCAATTCTCCCCCTAAACCTAGTAGATCCACCATTTAGAGCTGATTCTCCGAGCATTTCCTAGCTATAACCCTTCCATCTAAAGTGGGATCTCCCATAAAACCCTCCATTCATAAATGATTTTCTGATATTTTCCCAGCTATAAACCTCCATTCTTTGCCAGATTTGCCAGTTTTTGAAGCTCCATTGGCCCATCGATGTCGCGACACCCCAGGCGAAAAGTCGGCCCTCCGCGGACAGCAGCACGGTGCTGAAGCGGCCGCAGGCCGCTGCGTGGCACACGAAATCCAAGGCCTCGTGTTGTCCGGGCCACAGTGGTCAGGTGGGGTTAATTCACCCACTTTTGGGATATCTCCACTGGCGACTTCCTGGGGTAAAAATAACCACTTACAGAGTGGGATGATGCTCCAAGGGACCCCCCCTCCGGCTGTCATTTGCCTTTTTTGATGGCAAGAGAACCCCCCAAAAAAATGGTTTGATTTAAGAGGCATTGCATCATCATCATCATCATCATCATCATCATCATCATCATCATGATCATCATCATTATGATAATCATCGTCGCCGCCGCCGTCGTCGTCGTCGTCGTCCTCATCATCATCATCATCATCATCATCATCATCACCATCATCATCATCATCATCGCTGTCGCGGTCGCGGTCGTTCTCGTTGTTGTTGTCGTTATCATTGTCGTCGTGGTGGTTGTTGTTGTTGCTTTTGTTCTTGTTATTGTTATTGTTGTTCTTGTTGTTCTTGTTGTTCTTGTTGTTCTTCTTGTTGTTGTTGCTCTTGTTGCTCTTGTTGCTCTTGTTGCTCTTGTTGCTCTTGTTGTTGCTGTTGTTGTGGTTGTGGTTGTGGTTGCCGTCGTCATTATCATTATTGTCATGAGTCATGATCATCACCATGGTACCCATGGAAATTATTATTTCTGTTAACTTATGTGTAAACGTATGATTCCATAAACTATCATATTTAAGTAATTCATCATCATCTACACGTTTGCCCAAATTATACTCAAGAAGACGCCGAAAAGTGGTTCCGAGATGTTTGTTCAATGTTAGTTTCCCTGCGTTTTCCAGATTCCAACTGTTCGGCATCCATAGTTATTATAAACCATTTAACATTGCTATTTTTTGGTTAACCTCCCCATGCTGTATACTGCAGCTCTCTTTTTGCACCGTTGCACCTGCTCTTGTGGCTCTACCAGCACGTCGACCTGCGGTCAATAGGGGTAATCCAAATCATCCAGTCGTCATAGACCATGACTTTGTATTAAAACAACCATGGTTTTGTTGGGGTATCCCCATGACTTAGGAAACTTCCGATGGATGGTGACTTGTTTCTTTGTATCCCGGATATCCCCGTGACTTTGGAAACTTCCGATGGATGGATTTAATTTGAGGATTCAACTAAAGCAAGGAAGCAACCTGATGATTTAGACGATCCTTCTTCCAAAATCTGTGTCTGGTTGGTGGTTTGAACCTACCCCTTTGAAAAATATGAGTTGGTCAGTTGGGGTGATGACATTCCCAATATATGGAGAAATAAAACTCATGTTCCAGTCACCACCAACCAGTTATTCTTCAAAAATCTGTGTCCTCTATCAGTTTACCACCAGTTTACACTCCGGCAATCAACCAGTGGCGATTTGTGTGGGAAATCCCCGCACCAGTATTCTGGAGCTCTGCTGGGAAGCCATCATCGAACTATAGCCGGTGGGTTTTGCAGCCATGGAGCTGATTGCAGGAGGCGGCCATGAATGAGGATTGAACCAACCATCAATGGGAATTTCAGGATCCTAAATATAGGCCTTATATATGGTAGGTACCTCCAATTTAGGATCCTGGAATGGCCATTGAAACCAAAATTGAGATTCAAATGAAGTTGATATCTGGTTGGTGGTTTGACAACATGTTTTAACCATCTTGAAAAATGATTTTGAGTGAAAGTCAATGGGAAGGATGACATCCCATATATTGTGGAAAATAAAAACATGTTTGAAACCACCAACCAGATCTGATTTAATTGACAGAAATGGGGATACTGGCAACATGGGATAGCAATAGAATGGGGTTGGGTTGGGGTTGTCTCACAATGTTTGAAGTAGGAAGACTACTAGGGAACATTCTGGTAAATGTTGAGATGTTTGGGGGTGGCCAGTTCTGAGACATACCCATGTAATCCCATGTATGGGTACCCTTCTAGTTGTTTTGCAGCAAGATCAAGTCGTTGTTTCCTGCAATGCCTCCAGCATAGACAACCATGTCACAGCAGTGCATCAAATATGAATCCTATGCAGGCAACCCATTTACAGGGCTTACACGTTGCCCCAAAACCATGGTGAAACAACCGTTCAAAAATGCCTGTGGAACGCGATGGAAACTCAAAAGCGCTGGGTTTGAGTACAAGATTCTGCTCAACATTAGTAGGGTTTTCGGTCCCAGTTATTGCCTTTGTGAGAGGAGTCCGGTGCAAGTTACATCCGGAAAGTGTCATTACACCTGCTTCTTGGGGTTTAGAACTCCTAGAAGCAGAGTCATGTCCTGCAGCAGACCACCATAGAAGTGGAGTTCATTATTTTAAAAAAAACGTGTGGTATAGTAACCTCCAAAAAATAGAAAAGTACATTATCACTCTTTTAGCAGGAATTTACCAATTTCTATCTTTTTGGGGGGATGCCTATAGGATGTGGCAGATCTTTTCCCTCCACATAGCCATAGCTCCCCTTGTCGGTCGCCCCGGCCTCCTCTGAGTCCTGTCCATCGGGTAGGAAGCTGCCCCAGAGATAGAGCCGGTCACGCTGGCTCAGTACCTGGGCGGATGAATCACTTGTTCAGCCCTCACCCGGGAAACCATGGTAAAAGAACTCGTGGATAAAAAACATGTTTGGGAACAAACAATATTACAATGGGGGTGTTTATATGTTGGGGGGAATTGGATTGTTCCCTTGTTAAGAGCCTTTGAAGTGGGAAACTCAAGGGTTGGGGAAGTTGAAGATGAAAATTGTTGGTTTCAACGTCCCGGTTTTGAAGCATAGATTGGAGTAGATCTTCGCAAAGTCATAAATGGTGAAACACCACTTGGGTTTGTCTAAAAGACAGGGTGCCCTGAAAAATTCCACTGGTTGATAATGGTTTCCCTTCCGCAGAAGGATTTTTGTTCTTGGTGTCTCCCCAAACTAACCTATGCAGTAGTCTACCACTTGTGGTTTGGGCAAGGTTCAGATGGGTCTGAAAATAGGCTACCCCAGTTCCAGTGCTAAAATCAGCATTTTCCCCATTCAATGGCTATTTGGGAGGTACCTTCTGGTAATTTAACCTAGCTATTGAAAATCACCATATTTAATGGTTATATCATATATATATATATATAAATGACCATTTTCCATAGCTATGTTAGTTTACCAGAGGGTATATCCCATTGACACATCCAGATGGAAAAACTCAGCAAACTGAGACCGTGATGCGCATGTATGCGCCCCGGCGGCCATTGAAGAGAGACGGCACTCCTGTCGTTTTCCCATAGGGGATGGTGCGTTAAGAGGGATTGTAATATGCCCATTATCTAAAAAATAAAAAATAAAAAACATCATAATGATGGGCTACAGTATCTTTCTTGACATGACACGTATGGTCATGTATGGCATCTGAAGACTAATGAGTCTAATGCATGGATTTGAAGACAAAAGTTCCCAGCAGCAGTGGCGATCTGAGTTTCATGCTTACTACTGTTGTGGTGCAAACAAAGGCCAGGGATGGGCAAATCCAATGCAAGAAGAGGAACAGGAGAAATTCAATTACGATTTCAATCAAGTTGGGGTTCGGACCGGAATAATGCAACTATCAATCACTAGTCACTGGATTTGTACTTGGGTAGCTCAAAAAACCTTCGAACGAGTGGACAGTGATTTTCGTTGTGGATTGACAAGCCATTGTGTTGACACTTCCCAACTATCATTCTATGGTTCAGGTCCTGTTTCTTCTGGCTCCATAGGTCCACATATACCCTCTGGTAATTTAACATAGCTATTGAAAATCACCATTTTCAATGGGTAAATCCACTATAAATGGTCATTTTCAATAGCTATGTTAAATTACCAGAGGGTACCCGTATCTTCACACCCATCGCATGCGGCCTAAGGTCCCATCATATGGGTTCTGAACACTGGGAAACACCCGCGTTTGCGGCTGCTTCTATGGAAAAAAATGAGGAAAACGATTCTCAGACAATCCCAAAAAATCAGCGCTTGTTGCATATCCCAGTTAACCCCACCATAACCCCATGAGGTTTGGTTTCAGGCAGCTACAGTATAATCTATTTTACCTTGTACGCATATTCTCCATAGCTACGTCAAATTACCAGAGGAAAAACATGTAAAAAATCACCATCCCATTATCATTCCTCTAATTGATATATGATTCATCTAGTTGATTCATCTAATATTTCATTCACCATATAAAATACCATCCCATCATCATTCATCCCCTCAATTACTTGTTACCGTCTGGTAAACATCCAAAAAACTATGGAAAACCCCCATTTTTGTAATGTGTAAATCAACGAACTAAATGGTCATCTATACAATAGCAAACTGTTAGTTTTTTAGAGGGTAAGTAACAAACATGGTGGTCTTCCTACAATTCTGGTTTTAATTATGAATATGTTATATAAGTCACGATCCCATTATCATCCCCTCAATTTACCTGTTACCCTCTGGTAAACATACTAACATAACTATGGAAAATCACCATTTTTAATAGGTAAACCATCTATAAATGGGCCATTTTCCATAGCTTTTTGTATGGTTTACCAGAGGGTATATCCACTAACATCCCTGATTTTTGTTGATTAAACCTCTTTAGTCACCATTAAATCCCATTAAACCATAGTTTTTTGTATAGTTTACCAGGCCGGGTATAGCATGTCGCCGCTTGAGACTTGATCCTCTGCCGGCACCTGAAAGCCCGGCACCGCGACCAGCTCGGGACATGCACCGCGCTGCAGCACTTCCAAGCCACGACCCAACCGACCATCCTGCGGATCAGCCCGGAAGAAACAGTGGCTGGGGAAAGTTTGAAACATGTTGAAACCATGGTTTGTCCATATTCTTGGGATTCTGACGTGTATTTTCCATTTTTGAAACCATTGTTTATGACAATTTAGGGGGTCCTTCAAAATTTTGCCTGACAACAACTCCGGAACATATTCATCCCGTAAACCAGAATGGTACGGGAGTGTGGTCTTGGTATTGTGGAAATGCCATGATGCACCCGCCGTCATTTATCCCTCAAAAAATGCAGTAAACCCAATTTGCCCATCAGAAAAAGGTGATATGTAATGATATGTATGTGTATACATACCTAATCAAGAGGAAGAGACCACCAAACATCATCTGGTTGGTGGTTTCAACCCCTCTGAAAAATATTAGTCAGTTGGGATTATGATTCCCGATATATGGAAAAATAAAAAATGTTCCAAACCACCAACCAATCATTATACCATTTACCCATGTTTTACCATTTAATTTGGCAAATATTACAGTAACCCCCAAGAAAGAAGCGGTGTCTATGGTTGAATTTGACACCCTTCAAACCACCAACCAATGTCCGCAATCATTTTGGATCATACGGACGGAATCTCTTGCAAATTTGATGCCATAGTCTCTACTGATGTAGGTAAAACAATAATAAACCATCCCCCAGTCATCACCATTTTTATAGGTGGCATAAACCATTACCAAATTGGTTTGCCCACATTAATCCAATACGAATTACATCTATCTATCTGATGGTTGGTGACCAGGTTGGCGGCTTCAACCCAACCTATCCCTGAAAACAGGCCGGTCAGGCCTAAAAAAACCGTATTTACTTGGCACTACCGGCGCCCGTCATATATGTTGTGTATATGTATGTAGGTATGTATGTATGTAGGTATGTAGGTATGTAGGTATGTAGGTATGCAGGTATGTAGGTATGTAGGTATGTAGGTATGTATGTATGTATGTGATGTATGTGATGTATGTGATGTATGTGATGTATGTGATGTATGTGATGTATGTGATGCATGTGATGTATGTGATGTATGTGATGTATGTGATGTATGTGATGTATGTGATGTATGTGATGTATGTGATGAATGTGATGTATGTGATGTATGTGATGTATGTGATGTATGTGATGTATGTGATGTATGTGATGTATGTGATGTATGTGATGTATGTGATGTATGTGATGTATGTGATGTATGTGATGTATGTGATGTATGTGATGTATGTGATGTATGCTATGTATGCTATGTATGTTATGTATGTTATGTATGTTATGTATGTTATGTATGTTATGTATGTTATGTATGTTATGTACGTTATGTGTGTTATGTATGCTATGTATGTTATGTATGTTATGTATGTTATGTATGTTATGTATGTTATGTATGTTATGTATGTAATGTATGTAATGTATGTAATGTATGTAATGTATGTTATGTATGTAATGTATGTAAGGTATGTAAGGTATGTAAGGCATGTAAGGTATGTAATGTATGTAATGTATGTAATGTATGTAATGTATGTAATGTAATGTAAGGTAATGTAATGTAATGTAGTGTAGTGTAGTGTAGTGTGGTGTAGTGTAATGTATGTAATGTATGTTATGTATGTTATGTATGTATGTATGGATAGATGTATGTATCTATCTATCTATCTATGTATCTATGTATCTATGTATCTATCTATGTATGTATGTATGTATGTATGCGTATAAGTATGTGTGTATGCGTATATGTATGTATGTATGTATGTATGTATGTATGTATGCACGTACGTACGTATGTATGTATGTATGCGTATGTATGTATGCGTATGTATGTATGTATGTATGTATGTACGTACGTACGTATGTATGTATGTATGCGTATGTATGTATGCGTATGTATGTATGTATGTATGGATGGATGGATGGATGGATGGATGTATGCATGGATGGATGGATGTATGTATGTATGCATGCATGTATGTATGTATGTATCCGCCGACCCCGGCTGGCAGCAAGGGGGAGCGCGCCAGGGAAGAAGATTTGTGACTCTTCATCAGCAGCAGCAGCAGCAGCAGCATTTTGTGAGCTCGATGTATATATATATATATATTCACTTTACTATACTACACTCTACTCTCATCTAATCTACTCTACTCTACTCTGATCTACTAGACTCCACTATACTATGCTATACTATGCTATGTTATGTTATGCTATGCTACGCTATGCGACATTATATTACATTGTATTATATCATATTCTGATACGGGGGTTGGCCAATGGGAGCAGGGCAGCAGGAAGGCCATGTTTGACATAGTCAGCAGCAGCAGTAGTAGCAGCAGCAGCAGCAGTAGTAGCAGCAGCAGCAGCTGGAGCTTGCAGCAGCAGCAGCAGCAGCAGTAGCAGCAGCAACGGCAGCAGCAGTACCAGCAGCAGCAGCAGCAGCAGCAGTAGCAGTAGCACCAAGCAGGAGCAGCTTGCAGCTTGCAGCAGCAGCAGCAGCCGCAGCAGCAGCAGGAGCCGCAGAAAGACCATGCTGCAGCAGCAGCAGCAGCGTAGCAGCGGCAGCAGCTTACAGCAGGAGCAGGGCAGCAGGAAGGCCATGTTTGACACAGTTTTTTTCCGGTTTCAGGCGACACGTTAGGGACTTTTTGGGCTGCATTTTGTCGCCGTTCCGGATGCTCTGAAGTGAGCATGCCCACGCGCTCTGTGCTTCAAACAGTTTACGCCAAAAAATCTGCCAACGTCACTATGACCATAATCCTGTACAACTGCCACCAATGGCATCAAATGCCCTAGAATATGGCACTACGGAATGCCAACATCTCCACAACTCCTCCACCTCACTGGTGCTCTTGCTCAAACGATCTCACCTCAGAGCTTGAATTGTCTCAGTCCTCAGGTGGCCCACATCTATTTTCAAACTTGCCACATCCGGCCCGGCACACCTGTACACACATGACATGACTTCAACTCTGCGCTTCCTCAGGAGCTTCTGTATCTGCCATCTCACGAACTCGAAGACCGACTGTGAGCAACCGCTGTGACCTGTCTAGCACCCCAGCGATTCTGTCCATGAATTGCCGTTGCCGCTTCGGTGAGCCGCCTTGTCCTCGTAGCTCCAACAGGCGCAAGGCTGCCCTGGAGTTGTCAGCTGCAACGGAGCTGGCTTCGGCCGCCTGCTGCATCTTCCGCTTTCTGGGCTCATCGTCACCGGCCACCTGCCAAAGAATATTAACAGCAAGAACTGCAAGAACCAACAAAGTTTTTTACTATCCACGAAAAGTACATAAGTCCAATTTGCCTCGCGAAATCATGCAAGACAACCACAAAAATCTCGACAACACAACTCACCTTCTCCTTGTGAACTTCTTCGGTCATGCCCGTCGCGGTGTGGCCGCTTTTGTTCATATCGCTCAGGAACAGCGTGAGAGAATCTGTCTGACATAGTCGCACGTAAATCGTTCGCTTCGATTGGGCACGAATTTTGTAAATGGCTTCCTGGCAACCATCACGCCACGTGATGATGCGGGATCAGAACATAATGTCGCTTCCATGGACCCATGGAGATTGGTATGCTTTCACTAGATGACAATCAGATAAATCAGGATGTCATAAGAATGACTAGATCAGTGAACTCGAAGCATTCTACTGGCACCATACGCGGATCAATGACGAGGATTCGAGATTTAATTGATTGAACCAATCCACTGCCCCCTCTGTCCTCACCATGTTTAGATTTGAGTCATGTTCTTGACCATAGCACAATATAATCAATCTTATCCACAAAGATCAACAAGCGTATAGATTTTACACCTCCAAACTATTTCCGCGCCTCATTGCATTGCTTCAACCCTTTCAGGATCAGTTCACGCGCGAGTGTGTGATCTGGACGTGGCAACGGGGCCGCCAGTGTCACAACCAAACTCGCCATGATACTATTCACACTGCTGGATGGAGCGGTCTTCCACCACAATCTCTGACTCTACAACTAGATCCTGCAGTTCAAATCAGTCAAAATTTCTCAAACTTGATATCAGTTCTGTTCATAAAACATCCATGGCTTGACATGTTTTCACATGATGTACCAGTTGTATCAGCTGATTTAGATTGCACCAGGACCAAACAAGCACTAGGTAGGCGAACATCCGCAGTCCCTCCAGGCTGCTATCCGTCTCACCATGCCCATCTCACCATCACAACTCATGAACCATTATTCATCTACCACTGCCTCAAGCCATCTTTTCTCCGCAGGCCGCAGATCAAAGCAGTCGAGCCGATCCCTGTACATGATCAGCATCCGCAAATGACATGTTCTCCACATTGGAAACACTCACTCCAAATCATGGCTATCAAGATTTACTTCAAGAATGGCATCTTTGTTTCCAAAGGAAAACATTGACTCAGCAGGGGCGGCAGCCCTTAAATGTATGTGTGTATGTATGTATGTATGTATGTATATATATATATATTGGTATGGTATGGTATGGTATGGTATGGTATGGTACGGATGTATGTATGTATGTATGTATGCATGCATGGATGGATGGATGGATGTAGGTACATACGTACGTACGTACGTATGTATGTATGTATGTATATCTCTAAATATATATATATATACATAATGGTTATATACATACATAAATCGATAATGTGTGTGTGTGGGTGGAACATCTGTACAGATGAAAAACTTCTATTAGGTCGTTGAATGTTTCTGATATGAACTAGATCGGCAGGGGGCATGGCAGCTGTTTCCCTAGCCATGCCAACGAAGCTATGGGATTCAGCCGGAAGGGAATGTGGACGCTAATTCCTGTACCTGCATTCATTTTCATATGGCTAGGGGCTAAGCCGAGAACCCCGACAACAGATTTTTTTTGTTTTACATGGTCGTCACAATCTGAGATTTTCATCGATTTCTTTTCAATGATATTGCACGGTATTTTTACAGTCATGGCGAAGGGCTAAGCCGAGAACCCTGGGCAGAATCTACAATTATGTTCCATGGTTTCCACAATCTGGTCATTGACATTTCACCGAGCATCTGGTTGGGATCTTATTTGACGATGAATTTATTTCTCTATTCTTGGGGATCTACTTGATTGTCTTTTCGGAGTACCTTCTATTGGTCGACTAATTCATCTAGGATTATTGTCTTCCTGACTAATTTGCACGTTGAAGGACTTAGTTCCTGACGGATCTCTTAAAAGATCCAATTTTGTCTAGTGTTATTCCTATGGTGACTCCGACATGGTGCCATAGGGCCATTGGAGGCAACCCCTTTGTGGGTGACTGAGGACAGACCTGACTTCAGAATTCACACATTTTAACTTGGTAATTCATCTAAGTAAAGTGGAACAGTCAGCCTTTCGTTTTGCACCGTTTTTCGAGATGTCCTGCTGCTCCTGCTGTCCCTTGTGAACCTCGCCAATTTCCTTTCCGCGACTGTGAAGCAGTTCGGAACAATCAGAAACTCTTTTTTCCGCAGCTTGAATTTTCAGAGAGCAACAAGTCAAGAAGGCAACAGGCATGTCCTTTTCCTGCAGGTGTGGTCACTTTGGTTTCGAACATATTGTGCATCTAATTCGATGGAATTTGAACAGCCGTTTATGCCCATGTGGCTTGACTTGACCACGGTCCCGGTTGGGAGTAACAACTGGGTCCTTTTCATTAATTATTTTGTTGTTTCACCTCCGTCATCAACTAATCCCATTCGGTCCCTAATTCTTCCCCCATGCCCCTCTGTAATGTGTCGTGGGGTTTAGGTGTGCCCTGTGCCGGTTAGGTCCGTCTCGCCGTGTAGGTTGGTTCTGGAGGTCCGTTTGTTCCCTTCCCCCCCTGCGCTGTTTTGGCCTTCTGCCCGTCGTTTGTGTCCGCTTTTTTCTTCCTCTTGCCTTTCAGGGTTGACCCAGCTCCGGCCGGGTGTGTGTGTGTGTGGAACATCTGTACAGATGAAAAACTTCTATTAGGTCGTTGAATGTTTCTGATATGAACTAGATCGGCAGGGGGCATGGCAGCTGTTTCCCTAGCCATGCCAACGAAGCTGGGATTCAGCCGGAGGGGAATGTGGACGCACATTCCTGTACCTGCATTCATTTTCGTATGGCCAGGGGCTTAGCCGAGAACCCCGACAACAGATTTTTTTGGTTTTACACGGTTGTCGCAATCTGAGATTTTCATCGATTTCTTTTTCAATGTTATTGCACGGTATTTTTACAGTCATGGCGAAGGGCTAAGCCGAGAACCCTGGGCAGAATCTACAATTGCGTTCCATGGTTTCCACAATCTGGTCATTGACATTTCATCGAGCATCTGGTTGGGATCTTATTTGACGATGAATTCTTTCTCTATTCTTGGGATCTACTTGATTGTCTTTTCGGAGTACCTTATATTGGTCGACTAATTTATCTAGGATTACTGTCTTCCTGACTAATTTGCACGTTAAAGGACTCAGTTCCTGATGGATCTCTTAAAAGATCCAATTTTGTCTAGTGTGTGCAAAAAAAAATAGAAAAAAAAAAACATACCTACAAGTTGACATAGAAACATTCAGTGTATATGTCGGTACCAGACCTCGCTGGCGCCCCAGGTGAGCAAGCTGCCAGCTGTGCCAGGCGTGGCGTCTGCCTGCGGACGGAAAGGCTCGACTTTTTGAGTGCCGGATTTTGAGGTTGGCCCAAGAAGAATGGGATGTGTCTAGTGGATGTTTAATGGGTGTTCCATGGATTTTAATAGATGTGAATGATGAATTTTCATGGATTTTGAATGGATGCTCAATGGATTTGAATGGATTTTACATGGATTTTAAATGGATTCTATATAATAGATGCTTACTGGATCATAGATTTTAATGGATTTGAATGGATGCCAAGTGGATTTAATGAATGCAGATGTTTATGGTAGCGGAGCGAAAACCGTGCTCGTAAAACTAACGTTTTTGAGAATGTGCAACTACGTCACTCACTTCTTAATCATGAAGAACTTCCAAGTACGTTAGAGAAATTCTCTAACCACTTGCATGGGATGGGGTGGTGTGGGGTGGGGTAGGCTGGGCTATTAACGTCTTTACGCCCAACAACTTCCAACTTCGTTACTAACATCCCTAACCACTTGCATAAGGTGGTGTGGGGTGGTGTGGGGTGGGGTGGGCTATTAACGTCTTTGCGCCCAACAACTTCCAACTACGTTACTAACATCCCTAACCACTTGCATAAGGTGGTGAGGTGAGCTATTAACATCTTTTCTACTAACAACTTCCAACTACGTTACTAACTTCTCTAACAACTTGCATGGGACTCCATCAACTTCGAACTACGTTAGCGACTCTTGTAACACTTGCAAATAGGTTGTTATCTTTTCTATCGACTTCCAACTACGGTAGGGGCTCTTGAAACACAACTTGCAACTACGTTGTTATCTTCTCTATCAACTTCCAACTGCGTTGTTATGGACTTCTATAAGACAACTTGCAACTGTACGCCAGGTCTTGGCAATGGAGGTACATAAACCGCAGTGCCAACTTGCAGCAGAAGACGATTGAAGCATTGAAACGCATTTTCTGATGAAAAAATGCTATTTTTCAGACTTCACAAAAAAAAAAAACCTCCGATGAAAATGAGTAATAAAACGCGAACACCCCCCACGTTGTGGTATCGATTTTTTGGAGGGTCGTCAGAAACAAAATTTGCGTTTCGCCACAGTGTCAAGCTCATTCTTTTAAAAAGACGTGCTTTTACGAGCACGGTTTCCGGTCCGCCGGGATGTTTATGTATGTTTATGCAATGGATATAACATAGATTTGAATGGATTTTACCTGGAATTTCGTGGATTTTAGGGTATGTCTGGTGGATGTCAATGGGTATACTGTATAGATGACTTCAAATGTTTGCAGTCAATCAAGGGAGTTGAATAATTCCAATGAAATCCAACATGAGATAGCCACAAAACTGAGATGAAGCCCAGGGTGACGGTTGCGATCTTGAATTTGTTGGACGTCATAAAGCCATAGCTCATATCTGACAGGGTTCCAACCCCAAATCATCCTGAACAATTCGGGCCGTCTGTGATTAAAATCGATACCCTCAGATACCTGCAGTGGGTTAAACTTCTCCGAATCCTGATCATCTTGGCCACTTCAACATCTAACAAAAGCGGATCAGTATCTGAACCCGTCCGCATTAGCACTGGATGAATGTTTCGATCCCCTGAAACCACTTCTGGTAGCCGAAAAACCGATCATCACATGCGTCGAGTTTCAGAACTCGGCCATGGGTCTCGAAGGGATCTGCCACTCCGCAGATTCAGATCCCAACCAGCCACCGCAGAAAATTCCAGGCCTCTTGGTAGCCGTTTCGCGCATCGCCACCAATTACCTGGCACCATGACCAAAAACCCTCCCTATCAATGAAGTAAGGCTGGGAAACGAATATATGGCCCTTGGAAAACCTCAATGTCGAAAGGCAATCAGAGACACCGTTCAGAGACATAGATCGCTGTTCATTTTGGGGTCCCACATGTTCATATATCGGCCATGGGTGTGTGCGATTGTGGGTATGTGATTATGTGGCTCTAGAACGCAGTTCTGCGCTGATCCATGCACCACCTGGGGTACAAACCTACAAACCAACAATTCCTCCCAGTGGGAAGCTGCCTAACCCTCCCAAAAACAAGAGGTCTTGCCCAGGACATGATTGGCTTTTCTACTTCCCGACTCTTCTACATGTTGGCACTCATCACTGGGAACCCTAAAGTTTAGGTGGCTATCACTCATCAAGATTGCCTGGAAAAGCGTCAAACAGTTCAAGGGTCCTAGCCCTCCAATGTTGGGGGATATCTCAAAATCAGCGCACAAATTTCTGTGGATTTGAAGCCCGAGCCTCGCGAAAGAAGACCAGGGTGGCTCTGGACCAGTCGCCCCAGCCTTCCTGATTGTAGGCCCGCCTCAGAACTCAGAAAATCTAAACGACTCAATTCGTCCCTGGAGAAATTAATCACTTACACTGAGGCAAGTTATATTTTAAAAAAAAACATGAAAACTCGTCATCTTCAAGCTACAAAACGCGGCAATTCAATGCTTCAACTGGTAACCGAACCGTGAAATGCTGAAGTCTACGGGACCATCCCACTGGATACTGCCCCAACCAAAACATGAAGCTTGAACTCCAGCTACAACAGAAAGTCATTTGCATACTTGGCTTAGTCTCTCACTCACTTCAGCTTCAAGGAATCAAAAGAAGCACCAAGGTGGAAACCTTCCCAAAATTATCCAAAATGTGCAACTGGCCAACCAACTACATGTGGCCTCTCACACTTTTCGCGGGTATCCATCCATGCCAGGAACGTCGAACAACGGACCCGAGTTCTCCACGCCAGGCGACACCGAAACCCAGCTGGCCGTCAACGGAGCCGGGTGCAGAAGCTCGCCCGGGGTCCGCCTTTCAGGCTTCGTCGCACGCCTGGCTTGGAGGATTCTCCTGCTGAACTGCTTGGTGACCCTGGTTTGTCTTTGTGGGTTATCCCGTTATCCCCTAAGTGGCGAGAAAAACCCATTTATTCACCAGCTACTAGGTTCCTAGGTGAGATGGTCCTCCAAGTGAGTCATTGAAATACACCACCTGCCCGCAGGAAAACTTTCCTGCTTCGTGTCCTCCTAAAAAGTTGATCCACACACTCCATGAATTCTGGCTGGAAGGGGATTCTTTAAAAAAACATGTGCCACGTCCACCGAAAGAAACGGGGCACTTGAAAGAAAAAAAACCGTCAGCAGAGCAGTAGGCAATTTTTTGCGGACCCAGGACTGCTTACTCCGTGGAGACAACAAAGCATATCAAGCTAATTCTCAGTGGGTATGGCCAAACATGTTCAATCCTCAAAGTGGATGGCTCACAAGAATCATACAAAACATTTCAAAACAGCAATTTACCACGATTCACAATATAGAATTGACCAGTGAAATTCATTATATATATAAGTGGTCAAAACATGTTTTTAAAAAAATGGACTATTAATTATTCTTTATATTGACCAATAAGTTTTACATTGTCACAATGTTTGACCAATACGCAAACCATCACGGCCAAGGAACAGCGGATAGTGGCACAGATCGCCCTCTGCCTTGGTTTTCTGCCATCTAGAAAAATACCCGCTTGTCCATCCCACGACATATTGGTTGAATATATTATAGGTATCCCCGATTTGTGGTTTTTCTCCCTCGGAATCCCCAATCAATGAGGTAGTGGGAAAAAAAACACTCTATTGTAACCAATCAACAGGTTTATGTTTGGCGCAGATGCACTCTGCTGTAAATGTTTATATTTGCATGTGTGTGTGTGTGCGCAGCAATTTCACAGACTGGATATGACCCGATCGTCCCGATCGTTTGTTATTACAAGGTGAAAGCATGGTGAATTTTAAAGATTATGTGTTGTTTTTCTGTCCAGATATACGTCTGTCTTCTGATGTCCACCGACGTCCACTGCTGCTGCTTCTGTATCGGTGATCAAACATCATTTTGTTTTTAGCCGACATCACATGACATCAGCATTTTCTTGCTATTTCAACCTGTCATTGTTCACCTGGTAGGTTTCCGAAGTCATGGGGGTACCCCAGTCATCATAGTCATCATCATCCATTTGGGATTGGGATTTTCCATAACCAACCAGTCACTTTTGTTTGTTCCATCTACCCTCTGGTAAACGTACAAAAAACTATGGAAAAACACCATTTTTAATGGGTAAATCCACTATTTCAATGGCTTTTCGATGTTCACCCGAATCGGGGTGTTGCACCCACCCGAACATCCCATGGAATGCAACGTTCAAAAAATGCCATTTGGAGAGCACCATTCATTGAAACAACATGTTTTGTGTCCATAGAAATTTCCTATGTCCAAAAAACATTCTGCCCGGGTCAAGCTACATGGTCTTTTTGGGGTATTGTCATCCATCTCACACTGGGAATCCTTACAATGGGGAGAAAAAAATCCACATGAAAACGTATCGATGAGCATGCCGCATTAGTGGTTTAGTCTAATATCTAACCCATCTTTCGACCATGGCACATGTATCTGAGGTCGGTGATATTCCAATACATCCCCATTCAAGTTGGTGAGATCCCCATGACATATCCATTATTCTGGATAAATTATAATAATTCACTAACCTGAAATAAGGCTTCTCTGGGATAATTTCCCTTAATAACCATTATTCCAGGGTTCGGGAGAACAACCGTTATGTTCATTTCTTGGCCTGGACAAACGGTATATCTGAAATAGAAATAGGCCAAATATGGCCTGGACAGGTTTCTCCTAAATGAAGGATATCCCAAATATCCCTTAAAAACATACAAAAATTGGATACCCTCTGGTAAATTAACAGTTTGACCCTGGCAGATGGGGGTTGGAAGACTAGTGAAACCATTGAAAATTGGTGATTTTCAGGGTCGAACTGTTAATTTACCAGGGGGTATATCCACTAACATCTACTAACATGAGTATATCCACTATATCCACTAATATTCATATAAAACCCTTCAAGTTACACAACAGTAAATCAACAGAGACAGACCCTGCCATGCGTCGGGGCTTGGAAGATTCGTGAAACCGGAACGAAATTGGGGTGAAAATCACAGGGTCCCAACTGTCAATTTACCAGAGGCTATAGTGTACATACCCTCTGGTAATTTAACATAGCTATGGAAAATCACCATGCTATTAATGGGAAAATCCACTATTTCGACTGGGCCATTTTCAATAGCTATGTTAAATATTGTTAAATTACCAGAGGGTATCTCACATGTCCTTCTACCGTGAAGTGATTTCCCCATGACCTCGGCCAGTCTCGCCACTTCCAAGTGATCCAAGGCTCCACTTCCTCTGCAGCTAACCTGGCCGTCTGACGGAAGATGATGCCGCGGGTGCCCGAAAAATATCAATGGCCATGTTGATGAGAACATGATCATAAACCATGACTGGTTAGTGGTTTCAACCCCTCTGAAAAATATATTCCCAAATATGTCCTATGGAAAAACAAAATTCATGCAAACCACCAACCAGATGAGATCTTGGGCTACTCAAATTTCAGACAATGTTATGAGAACATGATCATACATGATCGATAAACCATAAAAAGTACAGAAAGTGGATGTTTATTACAGGGTTTTGTATGCTGCTGCTATTTAAAGCAGGTCGCAACAATGATAACTCTCACCCCCATAGGCGTTGTGGCACCATGAGTTCACTGCCACGGCTCATCCAACGGTTGGCGTTTGTGGCTCCAGTTACGACGTGTGTAGGAACAGGTAGACTACAAACAAGTAACTTGACTAGCAACGTCTATACATATATATATATATAGCAGAGATATGCAGAGATATGCAGAGATCATGCTTGGAACGATGTTCTAAACCACCTTTCCTTTCTTTTGGTGCTTGCACAGTGTAGGTGTTCCAGTCAAAGAATATCAAAAAAGGGGTTCCCACTTCCAGCGAAGTTTGCCAGTCCTGGGGACCGGCCATTCCCTGGCGTTGCACCAAGCAACTGAATGGAAGACGCCTCCGCCTCTCGAGTCTCGCCTGAGCATTTCCGCATGTCCGCGGGGCATTTTGGCTGGGGAACCTCTAGCTTGGGTTGGTCATATCATGTCATATCTTTATAAATCCAGTCCTGCATTTTTCCATTTCCAGTCTCTCCCAGACTTTTTGATTTAAGGGAAAATCTAGTCTGGAAACCTATACAGTACAGTACATGGAGTAAAAAGCCATGGTTTTCTGTACATTTTCCCTTGAGTCGATCCATGAAGTCTTGTCAGGTTTGCCAGTCATAGATTCCATGCCTCCCAAAGACCAGGGCCACCAGCACACTTCATAACTCCTCAGTCGCTTTTTTTTGCTTTCAGAGCAGTGCTGATCCAACTGAAGCATATTATAGGTTTCTTAAAATGGGGTATCCCCAAGTCACCATGATTGTTTCAATACTAAGTCATGGACAATTCTGGGTGATTTGGGGTAGGCATGACTTAGGAAACCTCTATATTCTGGCTGAATAGTAATGGTCCACAAACCTGAAATCTGGTGATCGTTTCTATTTTGGGATGCAGTTGAGGTTGTAAATTAACCATGCTTGTAAGCCCAGTTGGGAATCGTTGGGATATGACCCCTGCAACTATGGTAAGCTATATAATACCCATTTATCATTTATAATCCCCACTAGACTCCCAAGTGGCGTCGTAAGATCAGATCCCCTGAAGATCCATCCCCTTTGAACACACGAAGCCCGTGGTTCGCCCAATCATCAAATCCCTGTACCATGAAATCCCATCAAAAACAAAAGAAAAGCATTTAAAAAAAACATATGGGGATGGGTCAAAACCCTGGTACCTAGTGAACCCCAAGTCATAGCTGGTAAATGGATGTTCATCCCACTAAAAATGGTATCTATAGGTATTGACCCATACCCATATGTTTCATGCTGAAAAATCATGTTAAATCATGTTAAATCATGTTAAATCATGTTAAATCATGTTAAATGAGTAAATTCACCCCAAATTCCCCAGCCAAACTCCTTCATCCGCCGCGGCACTGGATCTCCCTGGCGTTCTCCCTGGGCTTTCGCCAACGCAGCAGCACCTCGTCCACCGTGCCGTCGCCCCAGCGCTGCGCCACCTGCAACGGAGCCACCGCGTCCGGCACGTCGTAGAAGTCCTGGGGCCATGGACTTCACCAAGGGGGAGCTTAGGGTTGAGCCAAAATGGGATCCGAACCTAAGAAAAACGATCCAAACATGGAAAAATAGGGAGTTGAAATGAGGTCAACGGTGATTTCAGCAATAACAATGAATAACAATTTAGGGGTTTAGGGATTCAAATTAGCTGTTCAATGGTTTCAACAACAGAAATGGGATTCAATCTACAAAACCGCCAGGTTGACCATGAAATGCCCGGCCCATTGGTTCAGATGGCTGTGGGTGAAGGTTACGTCAAACATCCATGATCGCAATGGCCAAAAAAAAAGGCCCTGAGAACAGTATAACTTTCATAGCCCTGGAAAGAGGACGTTGCCAGTCAAGGTTGAAACATCCACGGGCTTAGTTAGATCAACAAAAAGAGGCAAAGATAGGCAAAGTATGCATCGCGAAGGTGCATGAGCCACACCCAGAGATCTTGAATCTTGGTCATGTTCTGGGTACAAACCTTCCAATCTTTCAGGATTTTCCTCCCCACTGATGGATACCTGGTTGGTCTTCCTCACCTCCCAACTCTTTGGTCCAAATTCCTCTGGTCAACATGGCCCCCTCGGGCCTCTTGACTCTCTGCCGGAGCCATTGATTCTAACCGGGGCACTTGGAGCGTGTTTCTCAACCAACCAACATCTGAGGTACCCTCCGGTAAACAGCCACATAGCTATTGAAAATGGTCATAGAAATAGTGGATATTCCCATTAAAAATGGTGATTTTCCATAGCTATGTTAAATTACCAGAGGGTAGTTTACTTCATGGGGCCCGCATGCCCAGGGCCAGCCTTTCGCATACTTTAGCCAGATTTTGGGGGAAACCTGCCGAGCTGTTAAGTATTTACCAAGCGTGAAATGCTGGGGTCAAGCTCCAAGGGTGTCCCTCTAGAACCTGTCTAACAAGAACTGTTTGTTCTCGGAAGTGTTTGAACCCAACTCAACGGCTGCATCAAATGTCTCTTGAAAAAGCGATCACAGAGCTATCCTGATCTGGCAAGCGACTGCCATCCCAAAATTCTGCCAGCAAACGCTGCAAGGCAAAGCCTCCAAACAAAATCGAGTTTTCTAGCAATAATCTCTTCGCTGGATGTCCTCATTTCTGGGGCGAGAACCTGAATATTGAAAGTAGCGCCATGTACAACACAAAACATGTGGATAAGCGGCATCCAACATAGGGTCCCGTATTTTTCCATTCACAGATCGATGGACGGATGCAATGACGAACAGATTAGGATCGGCCCGTTGTATGGATCAAGAAACTCTTCGCTGGGTTCACCTGTGATCCACAGAGAACTTCCCAGGCGGCGCAACGGCGCTTGCGCGTCGTGTCTTTTTGTCACTGCTGTGGAAGCCTCGGATGGGACTCACGGAGGTCTATGGCAGCTACGGCATCGCCACAGAACAACAAGAACTGGTTGGTGGTTGAGCCAACCCCTCTGAAAAATATGAGTTCGTCAGTTGGGATGATGAAATTCCCAATATATGGAAAAATAAAATTCATGTTCCAAACCACCAACCAAATAATATGTTGTGATTGTAATTTAGGGAACAATTGCTGACTTACTGCCAGACTCCAAACAACTGCGGTGCCCCTCCAAAAAAACAGCCAAAAATATGCAGGAATGATCTTTGGAGACAAGCCCCCTTCGACTTCGACATCCTAATTTCTTCAGAGATGGTGTCATGGGGACCTGCAGAAAAACATGGCCATCTTAGATACCCTGCAAGATCAGGCATCAAGTTCTTTCATTATGAACCCAACCAACTTAGCTTTATCCAGAATATGGCCTCCAAAAAGGCTACTTATATATCCTAATCATCCTAATAGCTGTTTGAAGGTTTATTACATTGTATATAACAAGATCCAAACAGAAATGGGTGCCTCGCAGAAAAGTCGAGGTTTCTCTCCCTCTTTCCCAGCTTTTTGAGAAAATTGGGGTCGCAAGGTCCAATCCACTGAAGGTATTTCTTCACATCTTCTGGTTGGTGGTGCAATAACCATCTTGAAAAATGATGGAGTTCGTCAATGGGAAGGATGACATCCCATATATGAAATGGCAAAATAAAATTCATGTTCCAAACCACCAACCAGGAAAATAAGTTGAAACAGAAAATCACCTTCTGTTCTCACCGGTGATGGAAAATGCCCCCCTGAAAGATCCTGAAAGGTCGGAAAACAAGTCAGAAGAAACCCACCGAGCCACTTAGATCCAAACCGCAAAAAGAATATGTCTGGTTCAACATATGGGTATGGGTCAATACCTATAGATACATTTTTAGTGGGATGAACATCCATTTACCAGCTATTTTGGGGTTCACTAGGCACCAGGGTTTTGACCCATCCCCATATCATCACATGTTTTGACCAGAAAACCACCCTTTTTTTTACTGCGTGGTCGTATCCTTTTCCCACATTTGGTTGAAGTAAATTAAATGGAAAACCAAAAGCCAAAGAAAATATGGCAGTGTGTCAAAACCAATAGTACCCCTGGTGAACATCAAAATAGCTGGGTTAACATGGATGTTCATCCCCCTAAAAATGGTATGTATAGGTATTGATCCATAGCCATATTTCTTACCAGGTAACTTCTCTCCACAAAAATCTCCCCAGCCACCAGGCAACTGGTCGTCTGAAAGCCCTGTGCACTTTCGAAGCTGTGGTTGGCAGCCCAGCCGGTCGCCGTTCTTCTTCTCCATGCAGAGCTTGGTCTTCTCATCATTGGGGCCTGCGACGTGATTTTCCTGGAGCTGAGGCATTTTTTGTGCATGGGGAAATTTACCCACTAAAAACTGGAGAACAAACCAACCAAAAAAGGCGGCGCATATCGTGGATATCCATAATAATAGCTTGTCCGAAGATGTGGCATGGGCCCCTTCAGAATGAGCTAAAATTGTTAAATTTATCTGTAGATATATATATAATATATAATATATATATATAATATATATATAATATATATAATATATATAATATATATATAATATATAATATATATAATATATATAATATATATAATATATATAATATATATAATATATATAATATAATATAATATAATATAATATAATATAATATATATAATATATATACAGTATATATCGATATATTATAACTCATATTATATTATATTATGGATATTGCGTCGAGTCATTGGAGTATCATTCTGGATCCACATTTCAAGACCGGTCATTGGGAAAGCATCTGTTTTCCGGGATTTTGCGCCAGAGCCATAGCCATCTGTGCACTGGATGTCGGTCCGGGTGACCCCCCAACAATTGATGCTTCATCATGTTTACTGCAAAATGGCTCATTCAGGAGGCATTCCATGTTCAGAGAAACCAGTCAACTTATCGACTTGTTGACATATTTTACATGCATCCCATGAATATCGAAAATATCCCATGGAATCCCCCCAGTCTTTGGGCGACGACTGGAAGACCTCACCCATCCTTTAAAAATCTCAAGCAGCCACCTGCGGTGGACTGAAGCCGGAAGCAGTGTTGAAAAGCGCAATCCGTGACGTCCACGAAGCAAGAGGCACCTGGCAGCCATCGGAAATCGTCATTGGAAAACATGGGCAAATCATAGGGAAATGAAGGTTTTATTGGGAAATATAGGGTATATGTGAGCATAACATGGTAATATAAGGGGAGATGAAGGGAATTTGTCATCCGGTGTCATCAAACATTGCTATTTCTGGAAAATCCCCGAACCAAAATGGAGGTGGATAGCTGGGGAAATCATCGAACGAAACGGAGGATAATCCAGCAAACCATGTTTGATTACCAGAGGCTATTTCCATCTATTTCCCACAACAAAAATGAGATATGTTGGGAGGGAACGGATGTTTTGAGCGGATGTCATGGGATATGTTTTGCGAGAATATGAGATTTCAGGAGTTAAACTTGCCCCTTTTTGTTGCCATTCACCCCGAGGAAAACTAACGTCTCGATATGGAAATGCCATAGGTTTTCCCGAGCGGAAACTCATCTCTGGATAGTGTATGTTCCACAATACCTAATTATGTTTTTGTATTGCTTGGATCAGACTACATGGGAAAGATACTGATATCGTCTTAAGGAATTCGGTGTCTGCCCCATTTTCAGAGGTCCAAACGATGAAACCGTGAAATCGAGGTGTCAAGAAACAAGGTTTGGAAAGGAACATCCCAGTTCCAATTGTGCAACTGTATGTATTATATGCATTATAATTATATGTGTTGTATTATATATTATGATATATTACGGCAACTACATCTAAATATTCGGATTGTTTACTCTACGAACTGGTATTTTAGAGTACCTCCGGGAAGGTTTTCCTTGGCCCGCCCGGCCATTTAAACATACGGAATCCAATTTATTTAAACATACATTTAAATATACGGATGGAACTGGTGTTTCATACTACCTCCGGGGCCTTGTGGTCTGGCCCGCCCTCCACATATTTAAATGTCGTTGTGTCAAAAGATTTGAACCAAGCCCATTGTCCGAAATTGGAAGCGCGAGATTCAGAAGTCTGGGGGTATATACCTGGTTGGTGGTTTCCCAATATATGTCAGTTGGGAGTATTATTCCCAATATATGGAAAAATAAAAAATGTCCCAAACCACCAACCAGTAAGGATTCAAAGAAAACCATCTAAACGCCGCATCGCTACGACTTCCGTGGATTCATTCCCCCTTCCGCAAGTCGTAGATCAACTGAATTTTGCAAGGGTGAAACCACGACTGGGTTGTGGTTGAATCTCCCGACATGTTCTCATAATGTGATTCCAACAAAATAAATATGTGTGTATAACATATAATATAATCATTAAACATCCGAAGTTGAGTTGGCAATAAATGTTAGAATTATACCCAAGAAAAGCACAAGGCCAGGCACACGCTGCTCTGAACTAAAAACACAAAACAATGTAAAGTGGTGTCTTTTCTTAACTGTGGAACATGCATGTGCGCAAGGTACATGCTAACAAACGATACGACTTAACACACAATTCTACGACTTAACCCTTGTAATTATCCAGTACAGGTAGCCAAGTAGCCGTCATTTCCGGGGTTCCAAATGGGTATCATAGGGATATTCATCAAGAATCATGGCCTACCAGCCCACCGTTGTAGGATCTGCTTGGCGGTATCATCAACGGGTTTCTTGCGATTCCTCTGTCAACATTTCCGTTTCAGGGCCCTTTTCCGTAAAAAAATGCATCTTTAGATACCCCGAAATGGGAAAAGTAACAGTATAAGTTCATGCTCTTTTGTTTCATTGGTTTACTTTCCATCCTTGCCGGTCTCTAAATCAAATTCTTTAAAAAGGTGAACTCTCCCGGTGATTTCAGACCAATCTTTGTCTTGGTGACACCAACCCCAAAGCGGATCCCAGTTCTGCAAGGGACACATCTCGGACAAGCCCCGCTTGATGTGCCTCCTGTGGGGCGGTCGGAGTCGGATCGTGTAAAACGTGGTCCGTTCGTGAACGGCCCAGAACCTGGGTTTTTTTTCAAAAATCCAAAATATCATGAATTGTCATGAATGTGCCATGTTTAAGGCAAGGATGAGAGTCCATATCAGTGCTAGTGAACCTAATTGTTGCTCCAAATCATGTGGTTTCATGAATTAAATCTGATGAGTTTCGATGAAAATTTCAGGTACCAAAGAGGCATTTGTTATTCGCAGTTGCATGGATCAAGAGTAGGCACTACAAGTAGTCCTGCAACCATCAGGGGTACCATGGTTGAAACATCTGCAGCTCAATGTGTTGAACCCTGGCATCGTTTTGAAACCCTGTGGTAAGGTTAAAAAAGGCACCCGGAAGGTGTTTATGTTGGCACCGATCGACTAGAAAAGGTTGGACCGATCCTGAGGATGCTCCTTGTTAGTGGCAAATTCCAGGCGTGGCTTGGGCGAAATGAGTCATCAACTTTGAAGCCTTCCTTGAAATCTCTGCCAATTGTGGGAATGAAACCACAAAGATTGGGGGCAATCATTGAACATGGAGGTGTTTTATCATCAATTTTCATAGTTTCCAACAGAAAAAACAAGATGTTCGATGGATTGGATTAAGGGAAAATTTACAGGAAAGCCCCATATTTAATGGGAAAATCTATGGTTTCCTGTAGATTTTCCCTTAAACCAATCCATTGATATGTGGGAAGCCCTTTGATGGAACGAGGGCTGGAATGTCCCAAGATGACACCGCGAAAAGTGAGGCCAAGTGTCTCGTGGCAGGCGTCGCGCTTGAGATTCAACTTCCACGTCAGGCTTGCCCTTACGTCCTTTTCCTAAAGGATGGTTCGGAGCAACCGAAGCAGCTGATGGATATGTATGATGGATATTTATGATTTACAAGTGTTTATATCTATGATGGCTATATATCTATGATGGATGAGGACCCCAAATCATTGAGGTAAAATGATGGAGACGCTAGGATGGAATGCCCTAAACGGTTTGATGCTTAGTAAACATCACCCTGAAGCACAATCAAGTCCCTGAAATACAAACTCCAGCTACAACCGGGCTAGGTAAATATGTACATGGCTGTGATCACAACTCTTTAAAATCGTCATCCAAGAATTTGACTTTTTGTTGGCTCCCCATCACTCTTGACGATGTTTAACCTTTATTCGCCCCATCTTTGTTGCTGAAATGGAAGCTGAAAGTACTAGACTTCACCAATCTGTATTCTGTATGTATGTCTGACGTGTATCTGTGTGTGTTATCCTCCCTGTAATACCCTCAAAATGTAAACTGCACGTCAGCACGTAATATACATGTAATAGTCCTTTCAATCAACAGAATTATCTTCATATATATATATTCATTTATTGTATGTACATTCGTGGATTCTGTATATATATATACACATATATATATATACATATATATATACATTAGGCTAGCTCCCCTTTCTATATTTCTGCCAACCTACCGCCCTCCAGACACCGGCGATTTCGACCGTCCAACGAGCAGCCAAGGCTTTCGCAAAGCCCGGCGTGGAGAGCAAGGATCGGTCGCTGTCGCTCCGACAGTTGTCTTCCATTACGTCCTGGCCAGGGACGGTGGCTGGGGTCAATGAGGGGAGTGTACCCATTGAAGAAATGGTGAAAAAACACCCATCATTTCATAAAAATATATTGGGGATTGAGTGAAAATGGCGGATTTATGGGTATTTAACCCTGAAAAACTAGTGTGTGTGGGATTCAAGTTGCCAAAATCGCTAAAGCCGCTAAAGTGTTGCCTGTCCGCTAAACACTACTGTATATGTATACATGTATACATGTATACATGTATATATGTATGTATGTATGCATGCATGCATGCATGCAAGTATGCATGTATGCATGCATGCATGTATGTATGTATGCATGTATGTATGTATGCATGTATGCACGTATGCATGTATGCATGTATGCATGTATGCTTGTATGGTTGTATGGTTAGATGGTTAGATGGTTAGATGTATAGATGTATAGATGTCTGTCTGTCTGTATGTCTGTCTGTCTGTATGTCTGTCTGTCTGTCTGTCTGTATGTATGTATGTACGTACGTACGTATGTATGTATGTATGTATGTGTATGTGTATGTGTATATGTATGTATATATATATATATAATGTATACATACATCCATACATACCATATATATATATACATATATATATATATATATAGAGCGGGAAAAAACATGTGTTCTTGCCAATTGAAATTACCCAACCCCTCAGTAGTGGCCCCGTTGCCCCAACCTGCTTCTAAATGGGGATATACATCACCAACTACTGGAGTAGGATGCACCAACAATATATAACAATATGATATGTCAGGTGTGTCTGAAAAATGACGGATTCCATTTTCAAGGGCAATTTCAATGGGAAGCATGATGATAAATCATCATAAACAAATGGATTTTGGCTTAAGAGTCCCATGTTCGGCCATGAATTACTGGCATCATGTGCTGCAACACTTCATCATCTGATCGTCCATGGTGCTTTTAAAAAAAAAAACGAAAAAGATAGAAAGGCAAAATCCTACTTACATACCCTCTGGTAAACTAACATAGCTATTGAAAATGGCCATAGAAATAGTGGATTTTCCCATTAAAAATGGTGATTTTCCATAGTTATGTTAAATTACCAGAGGATAATGACTTAAATGACTGTTCTATGGTTGGATTACGTTTTTTACCATATTGCTCTCTAATCGATTCATAAAATGATTCATCTATTAGCGAGGACATTGGAAATGCTGCAACTCCAACGGTGTCCACAGGTGGCTGCTGGTCGGTTATCTCATCATGTCTACACCACATCATGTCCGGTCATCTCGTGTGGATGGGCCAGCGAAATCCAAATCACCAGTTGATAGGTGGTAAACATCCCATTATTCACAAGCTTTCAAGCATCCAAGGTATTTAAGGTGGTTTTTCGGATTTCTTCCACCCACCGTAGGTCAATATATGTCAATATCTAATGCTGCAAGATGCTTCACCAAGTTGGCTTAGATGGAAAACTTGACCCAGTTTTCATACCACAAAACCAGTCGCGGTAACCCAGGGAATCCAGCATGCCCCAGCCACTTAGTCACTATGGCACTATCCCGCAACTTCACGAAAACCATCTTGTTTGCCGGGTGCAAGTGTTGTAAAGACCATCGGAAAGACAACAAGTTGTCAGTTGAAATCCCTGCAAACTGCAAACAAAAACAGTTGGAAACACCTATGTTGGTCCTCATTCCATTCTAAAGTTTAGTGTGACCATGCTTGGAAACGAATGATTGTCCCCATCCCACTTTTTCAAAAGGCCTTGTTTTTCAGGAACCTCCTCGGAACATCACCATTTTCATGAGGATCCCTGGATTCAACGGTAAATTTTGTTCCACTTCTCGGAAGTTTGACGAAGATAAGAATCCTAGAGATTTTTGAGTCCAAATTAACTTTAAAAAATATGGTAATTCAATGTAATTCATGCATATTCACTGGATATACTGGATTCAAATTCGATTACATAAGATATTCACTGGATATTCACAAGTACTTCATGAAAGAATACAGGGAATGGTTCAGATGATAAGCCCCACCTCGCCAGCAGTGCTCGGTGCGTCACTCTCATCATCAGAACCTGTGTGGATGGATGGAGATGTTCCATGGTCTAAACAACTTACACCTCTGCCTACACACAACGTGTATATTCATGTATTTCTAACACACATACAGGTCATTGGTCGGTTTCTCAGTTTTTTTGAATTGCTTTCAAAATGTTGTAGAGTGTATTATATACATAGATTAGTTTTATACACCTCATACTTTCCAGGTGTTCAGCTCCTATTGTATATTTATTTGGGCTCTCTCTCTCTCTCTCTGTATATATATATATGTGCATGTGTGTACAGTACATACAAGTACATACATCTACAATCTACATACATTTACATATTATATAATATGGGTATGGGTCAAAATTAGGTACCCCAAAATTATGGATGGTTAATACTAAACTAGACATTCACATCTGTGGTTCCCTAGGTCTTCCATTTTGACCCACATCCATATTAAGAGGCTCATCCAAAGTACTATCACCATTCAGATGCCAGTCGTCCATGTGTTTGTCAAAACCCACATATTTCATCCCGATAAATCAGCAGGGCGTTACAACGTTTAGCCTCCGGTAAACTAACAAAAAGCTATTGAAAATGGCCATAGAAATAGTGAGTTTTCCCATTAAAAATTGTGATTTTCCATAGTTATGTTAGTTTACCAGAGGGTAGCATGTTTAAAGAAGCATGCAGAAAGCGTTCCAAACACTGAGAAAACGTCAGAAACACGGAAGATCTTCAGATGCATAGAAAAGACAAGGACGTGTCTGTTTGAAACTAGGATCCCTTGATGTCCGCATTCATCCTCTGGATCACTTGGGCCGACATGAAAAAACAACGAGAAACTTTTCGACCCTGCTTCATCCGTGCCAACAAGAAGCTGCTTGGAGCTGTAATTGTTTCTTCATCGGCTTCCAAGCCTCAAAGTGGAGCAAACATCCGCGGGAAAATTGTCGTTCCTCGCCTGAAATACGCTAATTTTGGTGCAAAATGCCGATAGGCTACTCACTTATATAATAGATTTTAATAGGGCATATGGATACCCCAAACGCTCCCTTCACCACGTCCGTTCACATAGGAGAATTCCGATGCCGGCCGGGGCTGTCGCATGACGGCCATCGCCACTGATTTCGCTAGTCGATTCACCAGAGCGGTGTGTCAATAGGGGGGATCTCTGAAATGGTCAGCTCAATGGAACTATAATGACTAGAATGATTATATGCTATGACTACAATGACTATAATATACTACGTATGACTATGACTATGATGATTAAGCATGAGATTTTGAGGTACCCGGTTCTCTCACAAATCCGTATTTTGCCACCCAGTTGCATCAGTTTCAACAGCACAATGACTCACACAACGTAGACCATCTGTCTCAAGCCAAGCAACCGATGTCTTCGTCAACTTTGGGACCTGGTATTGTTTCATCCATGGGACATGCGATTCGGGCCAAACCCCTCCAACCAAAGAGAACAACTGAGACAACCCAAGTAGACGATAAGCAAACCAGCAAGGAAGTGTATGACTCACAAACATTAAAAACATTATGTAAATGCAAAGGTATAGGTATGGATGATTGGGTCGCATGTACGAGTATGAAGTAGAAAGGACACAAGAAAGAAATGAATTTAAAGTTGTCTGTGTGCGTTCGCAAAATAAAAAGAAGATGTTGCGCAGAGCTGTGGAAAAAACTACGGCTTCTGAAACAAACCGAAATGGTCAGTGGTCTGTGGTTTGAAGCCATCACTGAGGATCATCCACGCTTCGAGAAGTTCTGTGCACGAAAATTTCTCACAGCCCTGAAACTCAGGAAAGACTAAAGTCACATCAGAACAAAATACAAAGACTTGAAACCGCTTGGAACCGGGATCCCTTGATGTCTCCGTGCCAAGCAGCTGCTTGGAGCTGTAACTGTTTCCTCATCGGCTTCCAAACCTCAAAGTGGAACCATTAGGACTGATGGAGATGGTCTCCATTTTGTGACGGATGAGTTGGATGATTTTAGGCCTTCATCCTTCACATATGTTTTTGCAGAGCCAATCAGATAAGTCTGAGAAACATCACCCCATCAGCCCATCACTTCATCTTTCACTTCATGATTTCAGGCCAAGACACCAATGTCTTCATCAACATCAGAACCTCAGATGTTCCAACCCTATGTGGGACCAAGTCGGGGTTCACGTCCTGGTTTTTGCCTCAATATATGTTTGAATAGATCATGAAGTAAACGAAAATGTGATCACGTGTTTGTAATATTTTGTAATTACAAAATGCCATAAACAATAATTGCAGACACAAGCGCCAATGCGTTCCCTCTTGTAATTTAACTTAACATACTGTCGAAAAAATCACCATGCTTAACAGGTCAATGATCTGCAAGTGGGCCATTTATACCATAGCTATGTAAGAATTGCCAGATGTGTGCAATGAAAATGCACGTATATATATATATATAACTAAACTAAACTATACTACACTATGCTTTGTGTATGGTCTAAATATTGTAACAGTGGCACGAAATGGGGCACGATTTGGAGCACGCCGAAAACAGCAAAATCCAGGCAAATCAATGACCTATGTGCAAAGAGGTTTTCCCAAGATAAGACACACCCAGCCACCCTGCGCGAGTGTTTTTTCTTTTCCCAGTTGATCTTATAAAAATGAAGCTTGGAGCTGAATCATTTTGGCAAGGCTGTGGGTTCAAATCTGGAATTCGCACTGGTTGTGATGTTTGGTGTTCGGCTTGGTGTTCGGCTTTCAATATTCTTCTAATTTGGGAGGCTGGCCTCTGACCAGATCCTGGCCCAGGCTCCAAAAAGGAAAACAATCTAAAACCGGCGTTTTTCTGGTTTTACCGGCATTTTTCCATTTAAAATGCAGCAAGCAAACAGTAACAGAAGCACGAATTGGAGCACGATTTGGTGCACGGCAAACCGGGAAAAAAAACACGATTTGGTGCACGGCAAACCGGAAAATCAAGCACGAATTGGAGCACGATTTGGTGCACGGCAAACCGGGAAAAAAAGCACGAATTGGAGCACGATTTGGTGCACGGAGCAGGACAGGATTTATCGCAGCTTAGGCGAGACTTGGGACCAAAGTGGTTTTGAAATGTTTTGAGGCTATTCAAGTTTGAAAGGAAAACGCGGTGCTCTAAATGGTGCTATTTTTTGTGTTTTTTCCTGTAAACATGTATTGAAAAAGCACAATTTTTAGCACCATTTGGTGCACGGCAAAATTGACACAAAATACGACTGGCAATCCTTTAGGTGTGACACCAGCGAAACCGCAAGCATAAGTTTACGAAAACACACACCAGCCCAGCAACTACAAAACTCAAACCGGGAGAGGAAGCCCAAGTGGGAAAAAAAGCACGAATTGGAGCACGATTTGGTGCACGGCAAACCGGGAAAAAAAACACGAATTGGAGCACGATTTGGTGCACGGCAAACCGGGAAAAAAAGCACGAATTGGAGCACGATTTGGTGCACGGCAAACCGGGAAAAAAAACACGAATTGGAGCACGATTTGGCGCACGCCAAACCGGGAAAAAAAGCACGAATTGGAGCACGATTTGGTGCACGGCAAACCGGGAAAAAAAACACGAATTGGAGCACGATTTGGTGCACGGCAAACCGGGAAAAAAAGCACAAATTGGAGCGCGATTTGGTGCACGGCAAACCGGGAAAAAAAACACAAATTGGAGCGCGATTTGGTGCACGGCAAACCGGGGAAAAAAAATACGAATTGGAGCACGATTTGGTGCACGGCAAGTTGGGAAAAAAAGCACGAATTGGAAATACCATGAAATACCCCTTAAACAAGAATAATGAACATGTCCCCAGGCCCAACAATCCTTGAAGAAAAATAAGTTGATTTCATGGTGCTCCTTTTGGGGGGGGTGTTTAGCAAGGAACCCTTTTACTGACTGTTACAATATTTAGGAAACACTCAAACTATGCTATAATATACGACACGATGCGATACGATACGATACAATACGTTGCTATACTATACTATGCTATACTTTGTTAATGTAACAATAACTATGCTACATACATGGCCTGAAAAAAAGGCATCCGCCACCACTTCACCTCCAAAAATTGCGTCTGATGGTTTTATCACAACATTTGCTAAATTCTGCTGTTTGTTCAGCAATATCCGATACTTGTTGGTTAAAGACTAAACAAATTTGGAAGAAGTAGATGAAATCACAATTTTGTGGGATAAATATGGATACCCTCTGGTAAACTAACATAGCTATGGAAAATCACCATCTTTTATGGGAAAAACAACTATAAATGTCCATTTTCAATAGCTATTTTGACATAACCAGAGGGTAAATATGGATAAATCCCATTTTTGCGAGGCTAAATCCACCAGTCTTGTAGGGTCAATTCCACTTACCGGCCCAGGAACCGACGACATCGTCCGTATCGTCCTCCATTTTCATGTCCTTGGAGGCCCCAGAGAGAATACACGGCTAGAACCGTAGAACCCAAACATGGGACGATGTTTACTACATTTTACTATTATCAGAATGTGGTTCATGATCATCATCATCATCATCGTCATCATCATCATCATGTCCAGCGAAAGTTGCGATTTTTTCGACATGAGCCAAGACTCATCCAGGATCTTTTGAATCGTTTCATCATCCACTTTCTTCACGTCTCCTGCTCCGACATATCCCAGGGAGATGCTCCGACACTCTGCGATAGATCCCATGCCACTTGGGATTTCAGTGACCAAAATGTCCTTTTTGACCGGAAATCATAGGATTGGTGAAAACAAATGGGTGCCGCCGGCTGTGGGTGGTCCAATGGACCCAGAAACAATTTTTTTTTGAACTTCTCTGAGTTTGCAAAAGCGTAAACATACCAAAGTGGAGGCAGATTGGTGGCAGATCATCCCCAACTTGGAATTCAAGCAATTCTTCCAAATCGGGATTTTGGAAATAGATGAAGATAGAACATATACCCTCTGGTTATTTAACATAGCCATGGAAAATCCCTTATAGATGGAGGTTTTAATGGGAAAATCATCTATAAATGGGCCATTTTCCATGGCTATGTTAAATAACCAGAGGGTACTACCAACAACACTTGCCTGCATCGACATGTGTTGTTTCATATCTCTCTCCATTTTTTATGGGCTACGTAGCTGTGTTTGTCATCCCATTGCTCTTGGCTACTAGCTGGCAACCCCTCAATTGTAAAAATGGAATACCCTCTGGTAAAAATACAAAAAGCGAACTGGACAGATCCACCATTTTATAGCTGGGTAAATCAACTATAAATATCCAGTAATCAATTGTAACTGGTTGGTGGTTTCAACCATCTTGAAAAATATGAGTTCGTCAATGGGAAGGATTTTTCCCAATATATTATGGAAAAATAAAATTCATGTTCCAAACCACCAACCAGGTAAATCCAGTGAATGATAGAAAATAGTGGTTTTTGTGTGTTTCTTTCCATACAAACAAACTAAGGTAAGTTCTTCGCACGTTGCCAGCAGATTCCTGTCTCATCAGTTTCGTTCCTGAGCCGTGTGGTGGACTTGGGGAGTTCTCCGAGTTATCCTCCAAGTTATTCGTCATGATTTGGGGTATCCCAAATTGCAAAATCCCAAAGTTTCTGGATATTTCCATGGATAAACTACAGTAATTCACCAGCCTCAGCACAATGGAACACTCTACTACTCTACTTCAAAAAATGGTGCAATTTATATCGTCCGTGGCACGCTGCCCATTTCTCGTCTTACGACTTGGGATGCGATTTGTTGAAGTTCCGTGATGGATTTCACGGGTAGGATGGCCCCTGTGACAACCAAAAACTCATTCCGCTGATGTGCAGGAAGCTGGCCCGCTAACATGTTCTAAATGTCCGTCCCCGAACTTGTGAACCAGCCTCAGCATAGCTGTTTGTTGAAAATAAGTTTACATGGAGGAAAAGAAAGCATTGGGTTTGATCCATTCGCTTTATTTTAAAAAAAAACTGTTTGCTTGTTGAAGTCCTTTCTTTGCCACTGAAATCGACATCAGAAAAGTTCTGCACCCGAGGTGCTCGCCGGATACCATGACCTTTCGGAGCTTGCAACACCTCAGTGGACGCCCCCTATCCTTGAAGTTCATCCTAGTAACTATAGTAACAATGGCTAATAATAGCATTTCTATGTGTGCTATTAAACAATAGCTATAGCTGGTTCGTTTCATCCTACATGTGTTCTCCTTATGTTCCGCATTATTTTTCTGAAATAATTAGGGGTTGTCCATTTGTCATGGGCTATACTGTGGTAGACCCAATCATAAGCCATCTCTAATATCGCCACTTTGATGGGTGGTAGCCATCATTCATCCACCAAATGGTAGTTGCTTATCCTTGTTTATGCTGACGCCACCTCTAATGACCCCAGGCGGTTTGCTATTTTGTGCACAGTCGTCTTGTCACATATCACATTTGACATCTTCATTTCTCTGTGCTTGCTGTGTCTTGGGTGGGGGGGGTTCGGGTAGTGGGGTGGGGGGGTTCGGTGGGAAGGTGGGCGGGGGGGGGTAACTTCTCTCTTGGCACCTTGGCAAAAACTTGGAAAAAAATTACTTTGCTTCGAGTGATCCCCACCATGACATTTCAAAACAGCTTGTTGACACCACTTTTGTCTGAAGCTTTTGTCACGGGACTTTTGCCCAACTAACTATCCCAATCATTTGTTTCACCAGGTCATTGTGCATGTCAGACTGTCAAACAGGATATAAACATGTCAGTGGGCCATGTGAAGTAAACTCCAGAGCTCTCAACAGGTTTGCTTAAACATGACCAAACAGGCCAGTGGACCACCTGAGCCAAACAAACAATTTGTAGTAACTTGCTGTAAGATGTTGCCTGTCTCAAGCGTCTTTGCAAACAGCTCCAAAGGTACAGAAGTGCAAATGTCTCTGTCCACCCCAGTGACTCTGTCATCTGTTCCAACTGATTGCTTCAAATTTTGCCACCTGCAAAGTAAGAAGTGGCATTGCCCCGGGCACTCTACCACACACGCGCGAATTTGCAAATAATATATAACATATTTGTCTGACATTCTTTCTTACTTTCTTCTGCACATTCTTTGTCCCATATCTTCCTACATGAGGTCCGGCAGGGAACACTTGGCATGGATCCTCGCGGTTGAGGTCCGGCAGGGAACACTGGGCGTGGATGGTCGTGGTTCAGGTCCGGCAGGGAACACTGGGCCCGGATACTCGCGGTTGAGGTCCGGCAGGGAACACTGGGCGTGGATGGTCGTGGTTGAGGTCCGGCAGGGCACACTGAACGTGGATGGTCGTGGTTGAGGTCCGGCAGGGAACACTGGGCCCGGATACTCGCGGTTGAGGTCCGGCAGGGAACACTGGGCGTGGATGGTCGTGGTTGAGGTCCGGCAGGGCACACTGGGCGTGGATGGTCGTGGTTGAAGTCCGGCAGGGAGCAGGAGGAGAGGAGACGAGGAGACGAGGAGAGGAGAGGAGAAGAGAGGAGAGGAGGAGGAGGAGGAGAAGGAAGAGGACGAGGAGGAGGAGGACGAGGAGGACGAGGAGGAAGCAACTGACATAAAATCTAACAACCCTCACCTGGCAGGTGGGAACAAACAAACAGTTTTGTAAACATATGGGGACGAAAAACGCACATGTCGATCTATGTAAAACCATCGAAACGATTACGAAATCATGCAAATACCAATCTAATTGCAAGTCGAAACAAAATGCTCCGGACACGAAACCCTGGAAGGGTTGTAAAAACACAGAATGGGCAGCAGAAAGAAGAGTGAAAAAGCCTGGGGTCATTACGGGTGGCGTGACCTTGTTTATGGCATTGGGTTTCTCACCTTATGTTCCCATTGTTCACCCAATATCAACCATTGTCAACCCAATACTAACACCAAATTTATAGAGGAGTTTCTTTCAAATCATTATTAGGTTTAGCCATATTTATATAAGTTTAACCATCATCAACCCAATAGGGTTTAACCACATTACTGGGTATACCACATTACCACTTTTTAGGATCCCAACTTGGGCGGGAACATGGGGAACACGATAAAACAGCACCTGCTGTACGGCTAATCACCCAGGGGTGAACAAAACCGGGGGCTGACCTTCTGACAAAGATATATGTGTATATATATATATTGTATATTGATATAGACATATACAAATATCTATATCTATATATTGTACACACCAAAGACACATATATCATATAACAAGGGAGGCGTGGGTTTTTAATCATTCAACATTTGAGGTTTGGATCGAGAATGTGTATGGTAGACTGTATTTTACAGTGAAATCTGCTTGTATGATTTGTATGACATGCAATATTGATCTCATGATCTACATGCCAACGATTCAAAAAACAATTGTTTACTTGGTGAATCATTCCACTTAGTGAGTGGCTTGGTTCACCCCAGTAAGTGGAATAACCCTACTTATCCCACAAAAATACCCTCTTGTAATTTAACATAGCTATTGAAAATGACCATTTATAGTGGATTTTCCCATTAAACATGGTGATTTTCAATAGCTATGTTAAATTACCAGAGGGTAACTGGGGTGATCGATCACCCACTTCCCATTCGGATGATACCTTCGACCAGGGCGCGAGTCCAATGTCCAGTCACCTCCTTTGCAGCGCCGTGCGCAGTACTGCGGATGATGACACATGGCCTGTCGCCATCTGTCGCCATGGTGGACCATTCCCCTGATGGATGCTCCATATGGGTATGGATCAATACCTATCCCATAGGATCCATGTATGCTATATATGGTAACATTTTACCATCAATATACCCCAAATGTTAGCATATATAGCATACATAGATCCTATGGGTATTAATACCATTTTTAATGGGATGAACATCCATAAATCCCAGCTATTTTGATGTGAACAGAAGGGGTACTATTGGTTGGTTTTGACCGACTGCCATGGCAGGCTGGTGAAATCGGCGTGGGTCATCCCACCAGTGGGATTTCCCCAAATGAATGATCATGAATATGGGTGGAAAAACTACCCTCTGGTAAACTGTTACATAACTATGGAAAGATCCACCATTTTTAATGGGAAAATCCACTATTTCTATGGCCATTTTCAATAGCTATGTTAAATTACCAGAGGGTACCCTGTGGGAGATAAGCATCATGCAAAAATAGCCCTTGTGTCTGGAAAATGGTTTGTATGCCATCCATTCAGAAAATTTCGGGACATCCCGTGAAGCCGGTTCCAAGCCGGTTCCGCGTTCGGTGGCGCCAGCTATGAGTTGATGTACAAACCATAGTAGCTAGTTCAGTAATGGTAATTCGATATATCCATGAAGCCAACAGTTTTTGGAGTCACGGTTTGGTCTCCACCTGCGGCCCTCACCTTCTTGTAATTCCACAAGCACTCTTCATCACCTCGGTCCGTCGGGATTGTCTTTTAGTGGCTTCACGATATCTTTTAAGGGGGTCTGTTTACCATCTGGTTATTCAACATAGCCATGGAAAATCACCATGTTTAATAGGTAAACCATCTATTTCTATGGGCCATCTATACCATGGCTATGTCAGTCATAACCAGAGGGTAAATATGTTGAAACGGTTCCGAGATGTTTGGAGGTTCTCAAAAAAAAAGACTATCCTCCAGCAATACACATGGTGTCATTTTATGACAACTTTTCGATCCCCGCATCAGCACCGATGGCCAAGGTTGCGGGTTATCAAAGATTGTTGGCTCTGACTACCCTCCAGTCATCAGTTCCATTGCTTGCTGGAACATCCCCATTTATAAAATTAGCGGGGAATCAGAAATCACCATGTTTGATGACACCGCGTTGCCGCGGGTCAACATCAAAGTCGCGCGCTTGCGCCGCGCGGCACCAGCCAACTCTGGCGCTGATTTTCAAGCCCACAAATTCCCATTGGATTCGTATGTGGGGCTGTATTGGATAATGAGCCAATAGTACTGACTTTCCACTCTTCGCTAAACATAGGGCGATCATCCCCAAAGCAATCTCCAAGTTTTGACCATGGCCATGAGCACTGTTCAAAACCCTAAATGTCATTCCATTATATATACTAGTGGGTCAAGAACACAATCATCAACCAACCATCAACGAATCAGAATTTATCAACCAGATCCCCATATCTTTGATGATTATACTGATACTATAAAAATCGATAACCCCCACATAAATGTTTGAATCCACATAATATCAAGCAAAATCAGGTTCAAATGACCATGACACACATCTCCTGACCCAAACCCATGCTGCAAAACCACAGCTGATCAAATCCAAGACCAGGATTCCCAACTTTGTGATACATGCATGGACTTGTCCAGTTCCATGTCCAGTTCCCCCCAAATCATCCCAAATCGACATTTTGATGTTGGAGCAATGCTGAATCAATGATTGAAGCGTCCGCCCTTTCGTCTGCGAAGGAGCACACGTACACAAGCTGCGCGAAAACCCATCGTCATCTATGGTGAAACTTCATCTGCAGAGCATACGAAGCCGTCTTCGTCGCATCCCAGAGTGTTCCTGCCCATCAGTTCATTTCACCATTGATTGCATGAAGAGGGCATGGAGAGAGTGAGCCCCGTTCAGTTGGCGTTCTTGCGACCGCTCATGGCATGACTTTGCTGATGCAAAGGACCAAGACCCAGAACCACAACTCCACAAAAGTTTCGCTGTCAGCTCCAATGCCAAGGTCTTCTGGTCTCCCAGTGGCACTCTCTGCCCAAAGGCACGGGGACTTTCCCCGCAGCATATCTGGGAGCAAGCTCCCTGTGTGTTCGCTGCGTGGCCATGCTTCCCCTGCCCTCCAAACTGCAAGATGACACCACATCATCACACGAAATAGATGAACTGCACCAAGGTTAAAGCAATGTTGAAGCAATGATTGAAGCGTCCGCCCTTTCGTCTGCGAAGGAGCACACGTACACAAGCTGCGCGAAAACCCATCGTCATCCATGGTGAAACTTCATCTGCAGAAGCATACGAAGCCGTCTTCGTCGCATCCCAGAGTGTCCTGCCCATCAGTTCATTTCGCCATTGATTGCATGAAGAGGGCATGGAGAGAGTGAGCCCCGTTCAGTTGGCGTTCTTGCGACCGCTCATGGCATGACTTTGCTGATGCAAAGGACCAAGACCCAGAACCACAACTCCACAAAAGTTTCGCTGTCAGCTCCAATGCCAAGGTCTTCTGGTCTCCCAGTGGCACTCTCTGCCCAAAGGCACGGGGACTTTCCCCGCAGCATATCTGGGAGCAAGCTCCCTGTGTGTTCGCTGCGTGGCCATGCTTCCCCTGCCCTCCAAACTGCAAGATGACACCACATCATCACACGAAATAGATTGACTGCACCAAGGTTAAAGCAATGTTGAAGCAATGATTGAAGCGTCCGCCCTTTCGTCTGCGAAGGAGCACACGTACACAAGCTGCGCAAATACCCATCGTCATCCATGGTGAAACTTCATCTGCAGAAGCATACGAAGCCGTCTTCGTCGCATCCCAGAGTGTTCCTGCCCATCAGTTCATTTCGCCATTGATTGCATGAAGAGGGCATGGAGAGAGTGAGCCCCGTTCAGTTGGCGTTCTTGCGACCGCTCATGGCATGACTTTGCTGATGCAAAGGACCAAGACCCAGAACCACAACTCCACAAAAGTTTCGCTGTCAGCTCCAATGCCAAGGTCTTCTGGTCTCCCAGTGGCACTCTCTGCCCAAAGGCACGGGGACTTTCCCCGCAGCATATCTGGGAGCAAGCTCCCTGTGTGTTCGCTGCGTGGCCATGCTTCCCCTGCCCTCCAAACTGCAAGATGACACCACATCATCACACGAAATAGATTGACTGCACCGAGGTTAAAGCAATGTTGAAGCAATGATTGAAGCGTCCGCCCTTTCGTCTGCTGCGAAGGAGCACACGTACACAAGATGCGCGAAAACCCATCGTCATCCATGGTGAAACTTCATCTGCAGAGCATACGAAGCCGTCTTCGTCGCATCCCATAGTGTTCCTGCCCATCAGTTCATTTCGCCATTGATTGCATGAAGAGGGCATGGAGAGAGTGAGCCCCGTTCAGCTGGCGTTCTTGCGACCGCTCATGGCATGACTTTGCTGATGCAAAGGACCAAGACCCAGAACCACAACTCCACAAAAGTTTCGCTGTCAGCTCCAATGCCAAGGTCTTCTGGTCTCCCAGTGGCACTCTCTGCCCAAAGGCACGGGGACTTTCCCCGCAGCATATCTGGGAGCAAGCTCCCTGTGTGTTCGCTGCGTGGCCATGCTTCCCCTGCCCTCCAAACTGCAAGATGACACCACATCATCACACGAAATAGATTGACTGCACCAAGGTTAAAGCAATGTTGAAGCAATGATTGAAGCGTCCGCCCTTTCGTCTGCGAAGGAGCACACGTACACAAGCTGCGCAAATACCCATCGTCATCCATGGTGAAACTTCATCTGCAGAAGCATACGAAGCCGTCTTCGTCGCATCCCAGAGTGTTCCTGCCCATCAGTTCATTTCGCCATTGATTGCATGAAGAGGGCATGGAGAGAGTGAGCCCCGTTCAGTTGGCGTTCTTGCGACCGCTCATGGCATGACTTTGCTGATGCAAAGGACCAAGACCCAGAACCACAACTCCACAAAAGTTTCGCTGTCAGCTCCAATGCCAAGGTCTTCTGGTCTCCCAGTGGCACTCTCTGCCCAAAGGCACGGGGACTTTCCCCGCAGCATATCTGGGAGCAAGCTCCCTGTGTGTTCGCTGCGTGGCCATGCTTCCCCTGCCCTCCAAACTGCAAGATGACACCACATCATCACACGAAATAGATTGACTGCACCAAGGTTAAAGCAATGTTGAAGCAATGATTGAAGCGTCCGCCCTTTCGTCTGCGAAGGAGCACACGTACACAAGCTGCGCAAATACCCATCGTCATCCATGGTGAAACTTCATCTGCAGAGCATACGAAGCCGTCTTCGTCGCATCCCAGAGTGTTCCTGCCCATCAGTTCATTTCGCCATTGATTGCATGAAGAGGGCATGGAGAGAGTGAGCCCCGTTCAGTTGGCGTTCTTGCGACCGCTCATGGCATGACTTTGCTGATGCAAAGGACCAAGACCCAGAACCACAACTCCACAAAAGTTTCGCTGTCAGCTCCAATGCCAAGGTCTTCTGGTCTCCCAGTGGCACTCTCTGCCCAAAGGCACGGGGACTTTCCCCGCAGCATATCTGGGAGCAAGCTCCCTGTGTGTTCGCTGCGTGGCCATGCTTCCCCTGCCCTCCAAACTGCAAGATGACACCACATCATCACACGAAATAGATTGACTGCACCAAGGTTGAAGCAATGTTGAAGCAATGATTGAAGCGTCGGCCCTACTCCGACCAAGTGACAAAGTGTAAGCTGCCCGAAAACCAATCATCAAGAGTTTTTGCTGCCAGATATCATCTGCGGAAGTATACGAAGCACTCACTCTTCACTCTCGCCCATTTTAGTGTGTATATGTTTATCTGTCAGCCTTGGAAAGAGACCATTCTAGGTTCTGGGGGTGTCTGCAGTTTATGAATTGGTAGACTTGGCTTTGAAGAAGCTGAATCTATATCTGGATCTCCATTGCCCCAAATTGGAAGACGCCCTACTACGAATGATCCATGTTGTGGGTTACTTGGTACCCCAATGACTTTACCCACCGTGAATCTGAGACCTGAGCCACCAAGCTGTAGGCCGTGGTGATGTGGATCCAGATGCTTTCTTGGATATATTGGAGATATATTCCATTTAATGTTCCATGGAATATTCAATGTATATATTCCATATATCTGGGTAAATTATCATATTTCACTAACCTGAATTGTTGGGCCATTTGGGGATGATTCCCCTTACTAACCATGATTCCAGTGAGGGAGAACAGTGAGGTCGTTTTTCTATTTACCCAGATATATCCAATGTATTCCATATATGTTACCAAGAGACCCACGGAAATGGATCACTTTCTTCTGTTTATCGATCCCATCCCCCAATTTTTTTTGTCACACCCCCATTCTATGGTCCCAATGATGTGGGTTTTTTCCCTACATCCACCATGGTTTACGGGATTGATTCTTAGTCCTAAACCATGTTCAACCATTCCCTCGTTGGAACGAAGAAGACTCAGGCCAATCCAACATGCTCTGTATCAAAAAATCCCTTGTTTTCCGACCTGCGACTTCCCTCGGAGATACTTGAAACTGGCAACAAAAATACAGGGAAAGCCGGCTTGAAACCAGAAAAAAAAAACGCCTGGCAACTCCATGGTTTCCAGCCTCGATTTTCCCAACAGACTCCGACAGAAAAGCCAGTTTTTGTCGGCAACTCGGCGTCCTGCCAAGCTGCTCATCGGACGATAGACCTTGGCCTTCAGGCGGCAGCTTTGATGGAAATTCACATCGCCCAGGCGGAACTTGTACGCCTCGGTGGAAAAGTAAGGGACATTTTCCCAGGCCGCCGGTGACGACTTTTTTCCCCAGCCGGAGGCGGTGTCAAACATGGTTTGGTGGAAAATAAGCCATTTAGCTTGATGATTTTCCCATTAAAAGCTCCATTTCGTCCAGGTATTTTCCAACCAGCCACGTTTGATTACTAGAGGCTATTGTGGGTCCAGACATAAAGACAGATACCAAAGCTGGCAGCGGAAAATCGTCGTTGGGATCCCAAATTGGCGTTGCCAAGAAAGACTCCCAACAGACCATTCATGATAAGTCACAACGCAACAGGACACAGCAATTTTAAAGCAGTAAACAAGTCCCAAGGATCCAATAGGAATTGAAAAGTTTCTGCCATTCTCATCTTTTGTGAATCCACAAATGTTAATTTATAGCCTCCGTTAACTATAGATGTCAGCCCCATGGAGCATGACCGGATAGGGACGGGTCGACACTGATGCTGAGGAGTTATGCTGACCAGTTAGTCTGTGTTACCAACATGAAGTCCTCAAAAACACCTACAGTAATCACCAAAAATGCTGGGAACTGGGAACTCGGAAAAAAATGCATATATGTGAATTATATACATATATACACAATTGTATATAGTTGGTTTACATCCCTGTCATCCTCAATATTCGTTACAGTTCCAAACTTTGGTCAAAATCCTCAGCAATGTTGGATAAGTCCACATTTCTCTTGGCAAGACCCCGAAGGTTTATGGTCAAAGCCCATTTCTTGTTCCTAAAATTCCCATACCTGGTTGGTCAAGTCACCATGTTGCTTGGATAGATCTCCGTTTTTGTTGTTGAGACGCCCTGGTTGCTGATTAGATCCAATATCCGTGGTTTTGCTGGTTACATCAGCTACATCTTCTATCTTTGCTACCCCCATGTTTGGTCAAATCCTAGTTGTTCCACATGTCTGTTGATAAATTCCCATCAAATCCACATTTCTGCCGGCTAAACCCCCCATAGTTGTTTTGAAAGATTCCCTTGGGCCTTAACTCACCATCTTTGTTTGCTCAATTCCTGATTTCTTTGCAATTTTCTGTTTAAAACCACATGGAGGTTTCCCAAAATGGGGGTACCCCCAAATCATCCATTTTAGATGAGGATTTTCCATGAAATAAATCATCCAGCGAGCTTGGGGTACTACCATTTTCGGAAACCGCCACATCTTCGCTAAATGTCAGCCATTTTCAGTGAATCCCTAGATTTTTGGGTCACCCAAAGGACCTCCATCCATGATCCAAGCAGCACAGCTGCCCCTGGGCGTACATCTGCTCTTCCTGAAGTTCCAACGACAGCCATCGTCCGATACGGCCACCTGCCGGCGTTCCCATCTAATATGTGTATTGATGTATCTGTGTATGTTATATTTGTATATAATAAATATGGTATAGTATGTCGTGTGTGTTTGAATATTATATATATATATATATTGATCGTATAATATTCTATGTACATGTGATTTTGTATGGATGTGTACAAACAAAATATGAATGTACAATGTATAATCTTGGATCAGCGTTTATCCGTTGAACGAGGCATCCCAGTTTCCGGAGTCGCCAGGTTAAGGTGTGAACTAGCCATGTTGAAGTACCGTTGGACCCTAGGAAGGGCCCTGCCGCGGTTTCGGTTACCCCCATCCAACTCTCAGTGGATTGGTTTAATTCAAAATCTTCACCGGAAACCTTGATCTTCTCATCAGAAATGGGGGAAGTTCCGGTAAATTTACCCGCCAACCCCTTGAAACTCCATGTGTCCACCATACAGGACCAATCCTTAGTAAACCTATGGTAAAAAACGGGGACCTTTCTGCACTCCATCTCTGATATCTTTGGCACCTGGAGCTTCTTGAGGTCCAGGTCGCTGGTGAGGTTCTGCCAGCTGGTGAGGATTTCCACAGAAATTCCATGAGAGCATCAAGGGCATTGATCGAAGTCTTTTCACTTGTTATTTTCCAATGAAAAAATGTGTAGGGTGTATGTTCTTGGTGGTTTTTTAATGAATATATTTTATGAGCATGTACCTGATTGTCCAAACAAGAATAGGGGAGCATTATAAAATCAATATATATATATATACAGTATGTATATATATATACAGTATATATATATAATCAACCAGAACTCATTTTACGCCTATGAGGTCTGCTTTCCTCCTTGGTGGCTACCCAGTGAAGGTTAGCAAGGGCCCAGTGCCGGAAAGTCAGGCGGTATTGGTCAAGATATGTCAAGATCATCAGAGCCAAGACCAAGACAAATCTAAGACCCTTTCCTGCTGACCTAGTTTCCGACAGAAGTTACCAATGGGCCCACAAATTGCTGATCATGTTTGGTATTGAGCTGTTTCTCTGCTGTCATGGGATAGAATCGGGATATGAATCCAACGGGGAGTACATGTTCCACAAGTAACCTGCGAATAGCTGGGCTATCCAGGGACCGTGATATCCCTAGATACCATGGATCCTACTTCCAGAAACATGCCAGCAACAATCCTAGGTCCTCTACAGCTGCTGCACCGCAGCTGTCCCTAGTAATTCCCAGTATTTGTTTCAGCTTCGGACCTTTGTGATGCGCCAACATTTCCACGATCCAAAGGTTTTTTTTTTGCCGCTTTCACCATTTTCGGATGTTCAGAACATACTGCAGTGTGTGGAGCCGAGCCTCCCAGTGGATACCTTTGTTGTTGAGGTGTGCCTGCCGCCGAATCCGAGCCAAAGCGCGCTAGTCACCTTGTGAGGTTCGACTTGAGGGGCAAGTCATAATTCTTACCCGAAAACCGGAAAGAACCGATTTAAAAAAGTGTGGTTTTATTTGTTAGGTTCCTGTTCCCAAAAGTTATATACCATATGCCATAAACTGAAGCATGAACCTGAAAAATTGCCGTTGACAAAAGCCACAAATGCTCACCCCCACTGGTGAGGGGCCATTTGGTACCCAGTTTGGAGGCAGAGCGGCCCGGCCTTCGTATTGAGGACACCTTCCTGAGAAGATTGTGCGAACAGACGGGGAGAAGTCAAACTTGAAAAACGCAACAACTAGTTGGGGAAAACTTGATTTTACCAACCGTAACGCGGTAGATCCAGTAATATACACCAAGTATTCAACATTTTGGTATGGGTCAAAATTAGGTACCCCAAAAATTGGATGGTTAATACTAAACTAGACTAACATCTGTGGTCCCCTAGGTCTTCCATTTTGACCCACATCCATTTATCATAAAGCACATGGATTCGAATGGTAACAAACTGTCTATGGAGGAGCTGGAACTGGGCATCATGGAGCGCGCAGCTTCGGAGTGATGATGATGGTGATGATGATTTCGCCAGAGATCAGCAATCCCATCCATGAATCGTATAGCTTAATTGATGCTAAGTTACTATACCATAAGTTACTGGTTGGTGGTTGAGCCAACCCCTCTGAAAAATATGAGTTCGTCAGTTGGGATGATGAAATTCCCAATATATGGAAAAATAACATTCATGTTCCAAACCACCAACCAGGTTAATTTATCTCTAACAAATCCTATTCTCTTTCTGATTTGGAATGAAGTTGTGTTTAGTTCCCACTTTGATCATGGTTTCACCGTACCAGGTCCGGGTTCCAGCCACCTGCCCTAATAGAGCTGGGCACTGACATGTACCAAATCACCCACACTTGTCTAATCGTTTGGGGGGTAATCCGATAATGATGGTGTTCACTGATGTTCAGAAACACCTAAGTAATAATTGGCTTGCCCTAGCCCAAGCCAGTTATATCGAAATTTACGACTTTGCAACTAGAATTCACTGGATTATCGTCATGTTCTCACCAAAACGGCTAAGAAGAAAAAGATTGGGACCCAGCAAACCATGCGACAAGGGCCAACCATGGCTAGCCATGGTTTCAACCAGGAACTAAACACCCTGAGAAATATAGATTTTCCAGCCGGTCATGTATGACTGTCCTTTTGTCATGTTTAGTTAAGTTTAGTTTGTCGGAGAAAATTGGATACCAACAATCCCAGTGCTTTTTTTAACTGTTCCTCCCCGCATTTCTGTACAATTGCCATGTCTTAGAGGTAAATCGGACCCAGTTTTGAGGGAGCCCATGGCTGAACCCAGTCGTTCCGAACGCTGAACCCAGTCTCTAATTTCAATCGAGCAGTAGAATCTGTCAGAATCTTTTCCTGATTGCTTGGTCTGGTGCTGTTGGTGTCCGGGCTCAAATCGGAGGCCATGGTCGAGTTGGGATAACATTGGAAGATTCATCCAAATATGAAGGTGATCCCAAAAACCTAAAATGGTCTAATGACTTGGATGATTCAGGGGTACCCCCATTTTAGCAAGCCTCCATATGTTTGAATGGAATCGAAGTTTAAAAAATATCGCAGTACCGAACACCCTCGCTGTCATCCTTTGTGATGCAGATTCTCAAATTCCCAGTTGACTAACCTCGATTAACCTCGTCTCATCAATTGTTGGTACCCTCTGGTGATCAAACGTGACAATAGAGAATCCCTGAACTAAAAGGAGCTGCTAGGTGGGAAAAATCCTCGAACTAAATGCTGGATTTCCTTTTTTGCTATGTTTGATGACACCGGAGGGTAAATCAGTAGAACGTCAAAGCCCACTTTTGCGTTTAAACATCTTTAAACCCCGGTGGAAATAGCCTCATTAGTCGATCCCCTATCTGATAGTAACTGGGCCTCATCCCATCCCGTGGCCAACACAAAATCATGGATTCACATCCCCAAGTTCCGTAAAAATCCAAGGATACCCTACGGTGTCATCAACATAGCAATGGGAAATTCCCGAACTTTTGAAGATTTTTTCAGTTTCAATGGGAAAAATCAAAAATCGATCAATGGTGTTTTGAATATCGCCACGACTGAGAAATTACCGGAGGGTAGGACAGGGACTGCAGGGAACCTCCATGTTGCCTAAAATCTAAAAGCCATCGTTCCCTGAAGATGTTCCAAATCGCTAATCCATTCAAGGGTAGAATGTGATTTTAACATCATGAAATCACAAACCAATCATATCCGTAGATTTATTGGATCTATCCGGCTATCGCTAGTCAGTATTGTTGGTGATTGTTCGTTGATATGCCCCCAGCCAGCTACTTGGGTCTGTCTGAAAATAGGGTGCCCCAAAATCAAGACGTTGATCATCGTTTTTATCTTAAATTAAAACTGCTTTGTTTATGTGAATTAATTTACCCTCTGATTATTTAACATAGCCATGGTATAGATGGCCCATTTATAGATAGTTTACCTATTAAAAATAAGGATTTTCCATGGCTATGTGAAAAATAACCAGATGGTAAATTCTACCTTCCATTCCAAGTCCCAAAATCTATGGCTATGTTAAATAACCAGAGGGTACCATTTTTGGACTGACTAACCCATTTGCAAATGGCGTGTTACCACCACGCCATTTCTGATGGTGAAATCCGTCTTGTCCTCCATCAAAACGGGACCAAGTGAGGCAAGTTACCACCACGCCACTTGGCACGTTCTCAGCATCCCTTGCACGCAACTCCCTGACGTGCAACGTGTTTTTCGTGGTCTGTGGTCAAAAGAAAAGGGGAATGTGCTATTTAGGCTACATAACGTGCAATCTCATGGGATAAATATTGAATAAGTATTGTATTTGTCTGTTTATACTTGGGTCTATATACGTATATATCATATTATATATATACATATATATATATTGTAATATAATTATATATACATATACCACATTGCTTTAAGAGATTGGTGTAATGAGGGTTGACCCAATCATATGCGATGGCTGTGGGTCAAACCCTGTGCCCCTTCTGTTCACATCAAATAGCCGGGATTATGGATGGTTAGTCCTCAAAAAACGCACAGTTGTATGGTGTTTATGCTATATTTATCCTATGTAATACAAGATAAAGATGGGATAAGTATGAGATAGTTATGTAGTAAGGGATGTGGGATAATTGTGGTATATATAAACAAGAAGGGCCCCCTAGTTAGTGAAGTTGGATTTTAACTAGGTTAACTGGGGATATATGTGCTGTTAGATGGGGCTATAAACCGATTAATGGTTGGGAGGGCTTCCTATGATTGTGGGATAATTGTGCAACCAATGGGGGAATATGTTTGATTGTGCGACAATTTTGCATCATTTAAATGTGAGCTAGGATTTAGCTGACCAAATTGGGATGAAACATATCAACGGAATCAGCAAAGCAGTTTATGGGGATAAAGCAGCAACCAAAGAATTATCCTCTTAGCAAGATTTACTTCTTGAAATGACTGGCATATGATGGGGAGATCATGGGATATGACCAACAACAATGTGATATAATCAACAATGTAGGCTATAGGGGAGTTGTTTATTATTGTTGAACAGTATACGCTGAAAAAAACTATATAATAAATAACCTTTCATAATTCAGCATGGTTTCATATGGTGTCTGAAGTGTCTGAACTCATAAATCCCACACTGGCACAAACGCGGTCCGGCAGGTTGCATGGCATCATCAAATTATTCTGGCCCTGCGGCCTGGAAATTATGACAGTCGACCCAGTTCTGGGAATCAGTGAAACAGCTGGAACCCGCGATTTTCCAAATGGCTCAACAAAAGGACCAGTGCTTGTAAAGTCGATCTGGGATGTCTAGAAACCCTAAGATGACTAAAATGATCAACAGGTCTTGGCAAATGTTAGCTGGAAAAGTTTCCTCCTGTTCTCAGAAACCTGGGTGCATCCAAGTCATTTGGGCCTCGAATTGAAAGCATCCGGAACTGACTGGAACCAAAACTTTCTGGCCACAGAAAGAAGTACATTGTAACATATCCTGCCTTAGCACACCACCACAACAAAACATTATCCTCTGTTCTTGTTGTTCTCAATGCTGATATGTGCATTTCATCTCATTTCCAAAGGCCCTCACCATATTGCTTGGCTAAATCAAGATATGGCATCTTATTGCTACATGATCGTCGATGAAATAATCCCAAGTTCTTGGTGAAATCTCTGTGTTTATCGCGCTTAAATCCACCATTTTTGGTGGTGAAAAATTGCAGCATTTTGGGTGGTTAAATCATGTTAAATCCAGTTGCTGCTGCTTCGATCCCTGTGTTTTTTTCGTTCGAAAGCTCTCACCATACACCACTCATACACCACGCAGCTCCGCAGGGTTGCGCCTCTGCTTGTCAGCAAATTTCTCGATTTTCAACACACGATCGGCCTGGTCCGGTAGGGAAGCTGCTAAGGTTGAAATATGACTTGGTCATTTGGGGCTCATACTACCAGGTGGTGTGGAAAACTACAATACCTTCGACCCATCAGAGATAATCAGTTTCTTTGGCTATGCAGGAGTGTATATCATCATATCATACGGTGGATGGAAGAAATCCGGCACCAGTTTATAGGTGTTTTATCCCATTATTCATAGGGTTTCAACCATCCAAGGTGATGCAGGAATTCTTCCATCCACAGTATGTACATGCATAAATTGGAATGGTTGATGCTGTCTTTGAAACACCCCGAAGCTGGTGTCAAAGGTATTAACCCTGAAAATTGCGAGAAACCCCTACAAAATCCGATGTCTTTTCATCCCTGTCCCAAATTGTCCCACATCTTCCCCATTGAAATTGCCATGAGGAGCACATCCTTGATTCTTGGACATTCTGGTGCTTCATCCACATATTTCCGAACTAATTGGCCACATATTTCCGACAAATTGGCCACGTATTTCCCATATATTTCCGCATATTTCCCACATGTTTCCCACATTTTCTTCACAAATTGGTGGTTGATCGACACGTTGGCACCTCTTCCATCAGAGCCTTTGACACCTCTGGGTCCAGTGGGCAACAGCCCAAATCCTGGTCGGCAAAGGTAGCAAAGGCATAGCAAGGTTTAGACAGAACTGCCGATGTGCATATATATATATAGCATACACCATGTGTATGTATATATATGTGTGTGTGTCAGTGTATATGTATGTGTATATGTGTATGTATATGTATATGTGTATGTATATGTATATCTATATGTATATGTATATGTATTTGTATATGTATACATATATACATATATATATATGTATATACATATATATATATGTATGTATACATATATATATGTATATATATATGTACATATATATATACATATATATGTATATACATATATATATATATATACATATGTATTGTATATGTACATATATATATATACATACATATATACATATGTATACATATATATATATATGTATATACACACACCACGTATGTATACATGTATATACGTGGAATCCAAATAACTCCAACAAGTGACTCTTATTGCGAGGCCGAAGCAGGTAGGTATTCCCACCCCGCCGGGCCCGTCCTGACATCCCAACTTCCATGAGAGAGGCATGGCCATATCCTCCGGCTGCCAGTTTTGCAGAGGGATGATAGGAAAATGATGGGAAAATGATGGGAAAATGATGGGAAAAATCGGAACACTATGGTTACCCTCTAGCAATTTAACCTTGCTGGAAATTCAGCCATTTATGGATGATTTAACACAGCTTTACAGCCAGCGGTAAGGGTCCCATGGTTCTAGGGTTCCGTTGTGGTTCAGTTCCTTGAGTTTCTCACCTAGCACTGCTGAGATTGTCCATTGTCAAGTTAAATTACCAGGTACGGTAGACTCCGCAAAAATGTGTACAGAATTTTGCAGATGAAAGCAGGAATTGTGGAGATACACTGAAGCAAGAGCCTATCACAACAAAATCGAATCAGTATATACACATGGCTGGGCCATTTTGGGTCAATTTCACCTCAGGTGCAGATCCACTTGCCCGTGAACTGACCATGTCGAAAAGTGACCCCCTTTTTTTGGTTTCACGACCTTTTCCTGGATAGATGCCAATTCTTCATTTCCTGTTTGGGGGAATAAATGGACTTGTCATCCCTAATATAGGAATACAAAATATTATGTGAATCCAAGTTAATCCCGTTAACTAAATATCGAATATAGAAATACAGTACTACTATACCAAATAAAAAAATAGAAATACTAATATAGAAATACTTATACTTAAATATACCAAATACCTATATATATATACTAAATACATATACTTATGCTTATCCTTTCGAAATCTTTGAAACCACCAACCAGTTGCGGATCGGCTGGTTGCCCGGGAGGATCATCCCACCCCTAAGTCACGTGGCCCTTATTTGTTTTTTTTCCCATGAGCTAACCCTTACCAGGCAGCTCCCAGCAAGTTTCTGATACTATGTTGCTAGCTATACATATTATATATATATATTAATTATATTACATTATATTGTATTATATATATATACCCGTGATATCCTGATATGGCTATGAATCAATACCTATTAATACCATTTTTAGAGGGATGAACATCCATTTACCAGCTATTTTGATGTTCACCACAGGTACAAGGTTTTGACCCACTGCCATATCCAGATCATAGCTTCCATTTTACCGGCCGCCCTCACCTTCGCTTGCTGCCAGCTGCTCTGGATGCTGGAGACCACTAGCTCCAGCACGCCTTCCTGAAACGAAGCCGAGCTCGGGCTGAGCACGAAAGGACTGAAAATTTCACCAACCAAAATGAAGATTTCAGTGGCAAATCCATTATACATATACATATACATATACATATACATATCCATATACGTATATGTATCTGTATCTGTATATGTATTTATATATGTGTGTGTATATGTATCCAATCCATAATTATATTTTGATATCCATAATTATAAGTTGGTAATCCGCAATTACCAAGGAAAAATAATGATGCTTTATGATATCCGGTAAAATCAACTCCAATGGAACATATTTCGAACTCGTGGCGATGAAATAATCGCCTCAACCCGTAAGACCTGGCCTTGCCCCGAGCTATGGCAGCTATGGTTCAAAACTGTGTACCCGGCCTGGTAAACATACAAAAAGCTATGGAAAGTCACCATTTTTAATGGCAATTTTCAATCGTTACGTTAAATTACCAGAGGGTAGCCCCAAATATTGCGGGTTTTGTACTAAAAGTGATCCATTTTCTGGTTCCATTGGTGGATTAATACCCATTTCTACCTATCCAACCTGCCCGGAGCAGTGCCCGGAACCCTCTGTTGTCCTAACTCCTGGTTGCTTTTTCCAGATTTGTCCATCCCCGTCAAACCAGACGGTGAGTAGAATCCCAGTATCAAGCATCATGTTTAGTGAAATATGTTCTAATCATTCTAATCTCCATACGCATTTGCCAGTGCATCGCCAATTTCTTGTGCTGTTTCATCACCCACTTAAGAATCATAGTTCTTGTCTCCAGAAATTGGGGATGCCCTCCAAGATCTGGTCGAAAATTTCGGGAAAATCCTTAGGATCTGGGAAAACTCTAACAGTTGGAAAATCTTGGAAACTCATGGGAAACACTTGGCAGATCTTTTTCGAACTGAACCCAGCAACCCAGTTCCAACCATCTGACCACAACATCGACTCACCCGACTGAGACCGCCCCGCCTTGGCCATACCGTTGGCGAAGACTTTGCATCGAAGATTGCTGGCCGACCTGGGTCGGAACGCAGGCCCGGAATGGCAACCGTTGGGCGGAAAAAAAGGGATACACCAAACTTAGCACCGAACATAATCCATGTGTACTGGAAAAAATACTGGAGACTAGTCTTCCAACCCCGGCATACATGGTCCTCAGGTATCCTAATATACAAAAAGTGCGATGGTCACCAAAAATGGTGGTATAACACCAACCACTGGGGATATCATGGAAATATCATGGGAGAAGCGCCAAGGTGGACGCGTCATAAGCTACCAATATCAATGTGGGAATATATGTGCAATGGTCAACATACATGGGATTTATGGGGTATGGTCATCAAACATCATGAATGGGATTCCTTAAACTTATATTGTTGGCCAGAAGAACTGGACCATGGCACATCTACAACTGGGGATATCGCATATAAAACTAAGTTGCGTTTACATCCTTTTTTGTTGATTCTACCGCTATCGTTGGTGCCACCGTTGGCCAAAACCATCCAAAACCCTGGTAGTCCAACATGCCAAGCTGGAAATGGAGGAAAATACCTCGATATTCCTGGGAAGTTCATCCGAATACGATGGAATTCGATGGTTAACAACAAGACTGCCCAAAATGTCTGGCTCCAAATTATTACCCAGGCTATAAAATACGGTTTATCCTGATTGGTGTAGATCCCATGTTTTTTGGTGGTTCAACCCCAACGTTTACGGGTTCAACCCCAATTTGCAGTGGTTCAAGCCCATTTTTTGGTGGTTCAACTCCAAATTTAGCCCACCCCAGTGGCAGCACGGCTTGGTCCAGTGGCGTTGTGGCGCTGTCGCAGAGCTCGGTCCCCTGACAGACCGCTGTGGAAAAGACGGTCATCAAACATGGAGGGAGAAATCCTCCAAACGACGGTTATAACTATGGTTCACCTAAGGATATTACGGACCAAGCATGATTATAACTGAGTTATAACTTAGTTATAACTATCATAAACAGATATAAACAGACATAAACTATGGTTATAACTCTGGTTACTAACCAGTTAGTTAAACGATTGAAGTGGGATGATCCTCGATGTTGAATGGAGGGCTGGGGGAAATCGTCGGACCTTAACTCGCTTGGTTAGTATAACTATAACCCTATAAGTTTCGATAAATATATGGTAGGTTAATGATGATGAATGATGATTAATGGTGATTTAATGATGGTTAAAGATGATTTAATGATGGTTAATGATGATTAATTTATGGTAGATTAATATGTGGTTCATATTAACTGTTCATTTGATGGTTAATAAACTGAATGGTGATTTAATGATGGTTAATGATTGTTAAGCATAATCTGGTTGGTGCTTGGAGCCACCTACCCCTCTGAAAAATGATGGAGTGAAAGTCAGTTGGGATCATGAAATTCCCAACTGTTTCTGGAAAGTCTCATAAAATGCCATGGTTCCAGTCACCACCAACCAGATCAACAGCGGAAAAACATGACCTCACTTAGTATCACTTAGTGACTGGATGTGATTGGTATTTTTTCTCTCCATTTCTTCAGGTATTCCATGTATGATCCTCTGCGGACTCGACAAGACTCGACTCGATGTGTAGATCAAGCCATCAACGACTCACCAAATTTATGTAGGGGCTGTGATCTATCATTTGATGGTAATTTGATGGTAATTTCATTGTTTCTATCATCAATGACTCACCAAATCTCAATAGTTATCGCAGTTATTCAACAATAGTCATTTTTCTGATGGGAAGTTCTCAGTCTGATCCAAACAATCTGGATGTTGCCTGGGGATTCTGCCCTGGTGAACCGAACCCTGCCCTGGCCTTGATCTTGCTCTCTAGAAGGTTCTGGCATGCGCTACACTCCTGCGCGCCAAAAAAGCCTCACAAAAAGACGCGAGCCGAATGCGAAAGAGAAATCCTGGCGAAACGAAACTCAAATCATAAGCTCTTTGGCTTCCCATCAAATTGGGAAATTTCGGGTGGATAACCATGCCCGGCCCGTCAGGATCAGACCTTTTTTTTGGTTTTGGAAAGGAAACAAAAAGGTTGAAAATCAAGAAGACTGAACTTGGATCATGTACTTTCCTATTTTTTTTGCAGAGCATCTTTTCAGATTGTGCAAACTTTCAGGCTCCATCTGGCTCATTCAGAAAGCCGCAGAGGTACCTTTGACCTGGCAGAACATCTTCCCAATGTAAACCATCAATGGAAAATACCCTCTGGTAATTTAACATAGCTATTGAAAATGGCAATAGAAATAGTGGATTTTCCCATGAAAAATGGTGATTTTCCATAGCTATGTTAACTTACCAGAGGGTACCCATGTCTAATTTTAGGGGGATGAAGAGAAAATCTCCAACTCACGTCGTGAAACCGCAAACGATGCCAAGGGACTCGCGTTCTGCGTCGTTGACTTGAAGATGTCGTCCCGGTCATCAGGGAGGCAACTGGCCTGGAAATCATCCCTGGCCAGTTCAGGAAGGGTTAACCGTTTAACCTCCAATAGATGGCCAAAAATATGGTACTATGGTTCCTCCAGTTGAGGTACCTGAAATGGCCTCAAAGGCCATTGATATATATATATATATTGATATGATATCATGAGGATATAATTTGGATTATAGTGGGATGCAATATGGTATATTTTCATCAACAATATCAATGGATTATCAGTATTTTTCTTGGCAGAATTGGGGACTTCGCCTGGGGTCAACTGATCAAAAAAGATTCGAGCCTCGGATCCTCCAGATTTTTCACCACCAGAAATCCTATGGAGAAGTGGCCAGTATCCATCTCTCGGTGAGATGTCCCAACGTGTGATTGATTGTAGTCTAGTTTGTTGGTGAAAATCCAATTGTACTGTGATCCCGGTTCTGTTGATAAAAACATCATAAATCATATAAAATCATATGAAATCATATAAAATCATATGAAATCATATGAAATCCCCTCAAATTTGCTTGGTTCTAAGTCCAGTGAAATCCGACGATGGGCCATCTCATCTAAAAAACCATCTGAGCGCCCAGGCCACTTTCGGCACCTGCGCAAAGAAGCGGATGTTGTTTGGGTCCGCGAGCTGCTCCTGGGGATGGCAGATGGGGGTTTTCATGAACCAACCAGAACTGGTTGGTGGTGCAATAACCATCTTGAAAAATATGAAAGTCAGTTGGGATGATTTTCCTATATATGAAATGGAAAATCAAATTCATGTTCCAAAGCACCAACTGTTTTTTGGTGCAAAATTTGGACAGTTCCACCCTGAAAGTCGGCCCAAGATAACTGGAAACTCATGTTCCAACCCCCGACTCCCACACTCCTCCAGGGTGGGTGGTGACACCAGCCTTCAGCGTGGGTGTCTGGGCAAGTTTCGTCGGTTTCGAACGTGTTTTGCGACCAAGATGGGTCAGAGTCCCATCATTGTGTAGACAGCCTCCAATTTTTGCATTACTTAGTTGCTTCGGTTCGAAACATTCATGGCCAAAGATTTCCAGGTCTAGCAACCGAAAAAAGAAACAAAAAACTGCACAAAAACCAAGATTCCACAGAATTTCACCAAGCTATAGCAACTTCACCAAACTACACTAACCTAATAGGACCTATACCCCAAACTCTACCTATATCAATCTCCCTGTTTCGGCATCCTTTCAGGTGCGTGGCAAATCTCCCGCAAAAGCGCCTGAAGGTAACCTTGGAGCCATCCTGGGTCATCCTACGATGTCGGAATCGTTGGAATTCGATGGGATTACCTACTAAGAATGGGTTTGGTACTAGTTAATATCGATAACAATGATAATAATAACAATGATAACGATTAATAATGTATATAAGATGAAATGAAGAATCTAACAATAACAATAATGATGATAACAATAACAATAATAATGAGAATAAGAATAAGAGTATGTATACAGGGACATGATACTTTGGGACGTGATATTGTGGGGTACGATATTGATGTAATATCTAAGCGAAGCATGTTGATAAAGGTAAAATATCTAAGGATGATCATGGGGATACAAGCAACATTTCTAGGGGTACAGTGTGGGGAATAAACAACAAATAAAAGCGATATACTGGGAATATTGGCTCACAAAGGAAGGGACCACTGGACCCGGTTGCTTAGCACAGAATATGAAAAAACACTGCAAGTCATGTGCTACCTTCGTTGACCAGAGTTAGAACTGGACGATCACCCTGCTTAGCCAATTTACACCCAGGGTTGTAATCCATTTACCCTCTGGTAATTTAACATAGCAATGGAAAATCACCATTTTAATGGGAAAATCCACTATAAATGGCCATTTTCCATTGCTATGTTAGTTCACCAGAGGGTACTTGGTAGGATGAGCCACCAAGTACCAACCAGGAGGATTTCCATTGGCAGAATCTCCAGGCTGAACAGGCTGGTATCAACGAGCAAGCTCCCTGCTGGTTGCTCGTTGCCATTCACCGGTGAATAGCCAGCAACCCCCAGCCACTGCCCGTTTTTTTGCGCAAAAAGATGCTCCAAACTACACAACTTGGAGCATCCTGTTGAAATATCATTGGATTGGTTTTGTTGGGAAAATCTACACCGGAAACCCATGGGTTTTTACCATCAAATTGGTTGGGCTTTCCGGTTAAAATTTTCCCATCATCCAATTCTATGGAAATAACCATAGCCATTTCGGAATCCTACGACTTCCAACGAGGAAATCGATACACCGAATTCCAACGTGTGAATCTTCTCGGCGGAATCAGAATCTTCCGATGCCTCAACCATCTTCAGATCCATTTGTAGTGGAAGAATGTGGCAACTTCCAAACAGTAAACTTCATAAACTATCCCAGCAACCAGCCATTTGGAGATCATTTTACATCACAAATCCAGTGTATACCCACTAGAAAACCTTCAACTGGGGATGGTTTTGTACTTGGGTTTACCTCATGAGGCAGAAAAGAAGCAATTTTGACCATACTGAGGGCTGATGGATGTCTCTACATCCAGCTGGCGATGAATCAAAAGCCACCCAAACGCTAGCCCCAAAATCGCTCGTTTTTTTTATGTCTCTATTTCCCCATATGGAAAGGGATGTTCATGGATGTTACCCTCTGGTAATCAAACATGGCAATGGAAAATCCTCTATATAAAAATGATGTGTTCAGTGAACAATTATATATATATACGGCAGGGGGCGGGGGTTCCCCGAGAGGATGTCAATCAGGATCATTGAATTGGAGAAAAAACAGTGTTTCACTGTGGTAAAATGGAGATTTTTCATGTTGTTCTTTTCATTGTTGGTGTCTTTTAATTACGGATCAATTTTTTTTCGTCCGTCGAAGTTGAACTTCGTTATGGACCCTCACATTTTTGTTTTTTTGGTGCTCTCATTTTCTCCATTGGAATTACGAGGTGGACTTTTTGTTTTATATCAAAGATCATTGGAAAAGGGTATAATATACTGTGTTTCCACAGGTATTTTGATGTGATGCTGTTTTTCATTGGTAATTCACAGTGTTTTTGCATAGCATCAAAAGTTCCGAATGCTGACAGTCAGCTGTTTTTTTCTGTTTTTATACAAAAGCATTAGTACAAGACATATCAACCACTATAGAAGGCACAAACCCGACCAATTCAAATGTTATTCTATGCAACAAGATACCATCGTAGAACATTAAAATAAAATATAGCTGTGCACTAGCGTAGCAGGACTCATGCATGACAAGTACAAGAGACATCACACTAGCGTAGCTTGACGTATGCGTGACAAGTACAAGATAACTTACACTAGCGTAGCAGGACTCATGCATGACAAGTACAAGAGACAACACACTAGCGTAGCATGACGTGTGCGTGACAAGTACAAGATAACTTACACTAGCGTAGCAGGACTCATGCATGACAAGTACAAGAGACATCACACTAGCGTAGCTTGACGTATGCGTGACAAGTACAAGAGACATCACACTAGCGTAGCTTGCCGTATGCGTGACAAGTACAAGAGACAACACACTAGCGTAGCTTGCCGTATGCGTGATAAGTACAAGAGACAACACACTAGCGTAGCATGACGTTATCACACCCCACCCCACCCCACCCCACCCGAACCCTTCACGCAAGTTCCATGAACGTTATCACACCCCACCCCACCCGAACCCTTCCCGCAAGTTACATGAACGTTATCACACCCCACCCCACCCCACCCTAACCCTTCACGCAACTTACATGAACGTTATCACACCCCACCCACCCCACCCAACCTTTCACGCAAGTTACATGAACGTTATCACCCCACCCCACCCCACCCCACCCCACCCCACCCCTTCCCCCCCTCGGGGAACCCCCGCCCCCTAGGGTATATATATATAAATGGGTTATTTAATAATTTTATTGCCACGTGTTTTTTTCCCAGAGGCTACTGCTTCATTTTGTTCATAGCTTCAGGGTGGAATCCCTTCCACCTGACCTGCGGCCCTCCTGATGGAACGATGCTGGCTCGCCAGGAAGACCTTCAAGATCAACTCGTGGCCCTTTCGCCAGGGATGCAGCCACCTGGTCGTGGCGGCATAGATTAAAAACGAAATACATATCTAATCTGAATATGTTTATGTATATGTATTGTATAAATATATATACATAATCATATATCATATAGAATATGTATATAATATAATATAATATAATATACTATAATATAATATAATATACTATAATATAATATAATATAATATAATATGATGTAATATTATATTATATAATCTTATATTATATTATATCATATTATATTATATTAGATTATATTGCATTATAGTAAATTATATTAAATTATATTATATTAAAATATATTATATTATATCATATTAAACTGTATAATATATAGAATTGTGTACACATATGTGCCATTGGCCATCATCATTCCCATTTCCAACGGTGCTTCGAGCCCAGTTCCTCCAGGTGCCCGGGCGACTTCTCCATGTGGAGTTCGGTGCTTCGAGCAAACCACAGGGACCTGCGGCGCTGGGAATTTGTTACATTTTTAATGGTGGTTTAATATGAGTTTATGGGAGTTAATTGGGATTTAATTGGGATTTTATGGGATTTTTCATGGTGATTTAATGGTGGTTTAATTGGGATTTAATGGGATTTAATGGTAGTTTAATGGGATTTAATGAGATTTAATGGGATTTAATGGTGATTTAATGGTAGTTTAATGGGATTTAATGGTGATTTAATGGTGATTTAATGGTGATTTAATGGTGATTTAATGGTGGTTTAATGGGATTTACTAGGATTTAATGGTGATTTAATGGTGATTTAATGGTGATTTAATGGTGATTTAATGGTGATTTAATGGGATTTAATAGGATTTAATGGTGATTTAATGGTGATTTAATGGGATTTAATAGGATTTAATGGTGATTTAATGGTGGTTTAATGGGATTTTTCATGGTGATTTAATGGTGGTTTCATGGGATTTAATGGGATTTAATGGTGATTAGTGGGATTTCATGGATTTAATATGTCATGGTGATTTTAAGATGGTAATTTTCAGTGGGATGAAAATGGTGGTTTATTATGGTTTAATGGGATTTAATTAGTGGTGATTATAGGGGTTTTAAAAAAAAAAACGGGGATGTTAGTGGATATACCCTCTGGTAAACATACAAAAAACTATGGAAAATCAGCAATTTTAATGGGCAAATCAACTATTTCTATGGCCATTTTCAATAGCTATAATAGCTATGTGGCTGTTTACCAGAGGGTTACCAGAGGGCCCATTCAGTAACCGATGTTTACCTACTGAAATGGTGATTTTTCAATAGCTATGTTGGTTGACCAGAGGGTAGATCTAAAGAGAAAGTACCATCTGGTTATGACTAACATAGCCATGGAAAATCACCATTCTTAAGTTCGGTAAACCATCTATTTCTATGGGCCATCTATACCATGGCTATGTTAAATAACCAGAGGGTATGATCCATTTTGGCCCCAAACTTGACTACCATTCACCTATAGTGGGTTGGAGTAACCCTGAACTAGCTTGTTGACCAACACAGAGATGATCAAAACTTTGGAGAAACAAATTGTGATATGGATTTTTTTTGGTTTTCCAAAGCTAACGTGAAATGTCAACCTTAAGGATAATAAACATTAATCAACTCCTTGTGGCACATTGCAGGGAAGGAATCTCCCCCAACCGGTGACCATGTCCAGTCCGACCTGTTGTCGGAGCGCTCACCACAGGAGTCCGTCAGCTTCAAAACCGCGTCTTTGCCGCTGCAGTGTACCGCATAGTCCACAACGCAAGAGCCTCATTCAGATGAGAAAAATGTCAAGAAAAATGGGATAAAATCCAAGTGTTTGCAGCAATGAACGGGGAAAATGGTGTCTTTGAAATGTCTTAACCAATGAATTTTGAATGATTTGGGGGGTCTATTTTGATACCAACCCAAGTTGGGCAATTGTTCAGAGGACTAGGGTGGAGATATCAGTATGCAATCATAGACCCCAATGATTTTTTGTACTAATGTGGGTAAAACAATGTCATAAATAACCCATGACTGGGAATGGTAACCATACCACCTATAGTTGTTTGGGGGATGGTTTATTATTGTTTAACCACATTATCAAATATATATATATATACATAAATCTGAGATCTTCAAGCCTGACTACCTGTGAGGACATGAAGAGGCTAATGACGGGGTGATGATCGTTTTGCTCACACTTTTTTCGGTGGTGTACCGATTCTGCTTCCCCAACTACAACCAACACACTGGGTCAGCCAGAGGTGCAAAGTTAATCCTACATATCTTCCTTTCTACAGTAAATCAAGCATGTAGAAAACCCCATCAGTTGTATTCATGCGTGTTTTTTGTTTTTTGTTGGGTTACCAATGGCTTTCTACATCTGTGTTTTTTACTGGAGGGTGTCCTATCTGGCACCCAAGGATCTCACAATTCCGAAATGTCACAAGTGGCCTTGTCAGAAAATATGGTACCCCAATTCCAGTGAACGATCATCATTTAGCCCAGTATCCATTTGGAAATATACCCCGTTTCCAGATATACCCTACAGGCAAGTGATAAAACGGTGAAGAAATTTTCGGAATTCGCTTCCGCCAGATGAAATAGGATCATCCGCAAGGACCAATAAAGACTCCAAATCATGCGCAAGGTGAAAATGGGTACCTGGGGGGTTTTACGTTAGATCTGAAACAACACACTGTTTCCCGTTCAGAAAAAGATCCACCTTTACGGTGGGGGACAACCCAAAACCTCATCGTTTTCTTGTGCCGTCACCGGGCCGTCACCGTGGTCATGCCAGCTTTATTGGTCCCAATCCACGGCCCCAACGGGCGGCTGCCTAGTACTCCATAGAACTTCTGGGCCAATGTTACACCTTGGTGATCTGAACGATCGGCAGTTTTTGGAGAACGACCAATCATAAATAGCCCCTTCAAAAAGATGCGAGCTTTAGTGAGATACCATATTCCTCCATCAAGATGGAATACATATATATATATTATTATATACACATATGTATGTATATATAGAATGTCAACCCTCCCAATTGATACTTAAATGGTACCCTCCCAATTGAACAGCCTTAAACGGGGTTTATTAATCCAGGGTTGACACCAATGAGTCCCATCCAGCGGACCGGCATCGACCATTTCCATGGGGATTTCCAAATGACAATGGACTCCCAATGGCATGTAATTTCATGAAAATACAATGTAATGTTATGTATGTAATGTAATTTCTAAACCAACAATAAGAGTGGTTAAGAAATGAGATTGATTGATAAATTATTTTCCATTTCCATCAATGAGATATAAACCAACAACAAGAGTGATGACAACAATAAGAGTGATTATATAACATTGATTCACCAACAGTGAAAACTTGATATATAAACCAACAATAATTAAGAGTGATGCACATTGGTTAACCAATAAATGTAATAAATAACGGATAGTGAGATGTTGGGTGATGGGCATCATGCCAAACCCCAGTTGGGACATGGGACGCTACTACTCCCGCTGGTCAACTGGTCAACTTCCGCGCCATCGAAAAATTTCAGCTGGGTTGAAGTCACACGCGATTTGGATCATGCAAAAAAATCCATGGAAATCATCCTTGACACGTTTTCTGATGCATGTCAAAATGAGCAATCCCCCTTGGTCCGCGGTACCGTTTAACAATTCTTTCACGTTGAAGCGCAAAAAATGGTACAAAAGCATCCAAATCAGGGTTTTCAAAGTCAAGCGCATGTCAGCGCCGTTGTCCCAGTATCATATGGCACTTGCTGCGGCCAGAAAAGTGCTACACCTCTCCACAGTTGGATCAATGAATCCAAAAAATGGATTGGGGGCTAGTGAAAATCTACAGTAAATCGTAGTACATCCAATATGTGATTTTTATATTTAATGATAATTAAAGAATAAATTTAAAAAAACAAAACTCGGGACTCCTCATCTTGAAACCAAGCTGAAGCCCCAAAGCCCCAAAGCAGTTTACCATGTTTACTTTCGACGGGCGGCCATTCCAAGCGCTGGGGCGAATAAAGTCGAACTGCCCTGAACGCTTTACGCCTGCGACTGGTGACATGGCCAAAGCCTAGAGCCTCACACCCTAGAGGGACAAGCATCGAATCAAAAGTGTGGGTCCAGAAACCTCATATGGCTTCTCCCTCCAAAAAGAACCATGATTTTTGGGATCCGACACGTCCATTCAGATCCCAGATAGGCCATTCGCGTTCGAGAAAAAGATGGGCTGCTTCCGAATCTTTGGGACCCTTAGTGTCCCAAAAAATGTCTTGAATCTGCCCATGACCGGTTGGGACATTGTACATTTGCCTCGCATCTTCTGACAAAACTTCGGGATGTCCAAGAAACATCGAGAAACTATCTGATGTGACTCACAGTCCACCATTCACAGAATTGATTTACAAGAAATGGGAAATGTTCCACGAAACCATGGTTTCCACATGTCCATCATCGAAGTGTTGGTGGAAAAGGTTTAAAAACACATTTGGAATATATAATATCATAATATATATATATATATATACATCATTATATATATACTACATTATATACATATATATATATACACATATAATGTAAACATATATGTATATATTTGACCCCCATGATATTTCTCCAAAGTTTTTGTTCACCAAACTGCGCAGTCGCTTTTCCAATCTCAAAGGGCCTGTGAGCCCAACTGGCCCCTGAATGGGCTCCAGATAGGTGACCCGTAACGCCTCCTAGCCGCCAATCAGATATGGCGATATAATAAAAATAAGCCTTGTTAACAGTGTGAATTAACTAGGGCTACTTGTAGGCTTCGTGTATGTATATATATATATACATATGTATATATATGTGTGTGTGTGTTATGGTCCGTGTATATAATAATATATATATAGTGTATATATATAATATATACATATACCAACTATGAAGTGGTTACCCCGCTATTGTTTGTGACAAGGATGAGGGCAAACGTTGGCGATGCCCATTCCATTGCATGGTGGTATTGTGGCCTATACCCTCTGGTTATTTAACATAGCCATGGTCCATGGTATAGATGGCCCATTTATAGATGATTGTCCCAGCTAGAAACCTCCATTTATAAGGGATTGTCCATGGCTATGTTAAATAACCAGATGGTACATATAACATGCATACACATATACATATATATATATTATATACTGTACAAAGGAAAAAAAAAAGACACCGTGATGAAAAAGACAGGGCCCAATGTCACCAACAAATATCATCAAGAATTGATGAAGAAATTTCTGTACCAATGTCTTCCACTTCCCGGCTGCCCTGAAAAGTTCAGCCATTTGTACTAAGTTACTAAGCAATACTAAGCATAATTTACCCAGATCAATGGATTTCCATTGTCCCAAGATCTTGAAACCATCGAAACCAGCGTCCATTGACTGGCATTGACTGGCGCTCAGACTGAGGCCTAAGGATTTCCCCCAAGCCGTTCCACCCTCCAAAGTAATTACAGTAAGCGTCTGGTGGAAGAGGTATGTTGGAGGGTGGAAAAGGCCATAAAAAGGCCATCAATCTATTCTGTCTATCTTAGGGTTTGAAGTGGGGCACCAGGTTGACCCGTCCACACGTGAGATGTATGATCGGCATGTGTGTCTCACCCAAAAGTTCAACGCCATCATCCAATCATCCAAAATCAATCCTACAAGCGCAGAACTTCGGAGAACTTCGAGTCCAAATGCTCCACCCAAGTATCCTGTATCCAGGTATACACCCACGACCCGCTGCCGACCCTCCTTGATGCTGCATGCTTCCCTCTCTCCCAGAGTTGTGCGAACTGCCAAGGTCCTGGAAAAGCTAGGCCCTGGGGCGCTTGCAACTTGAACTTGTTATGCTTGCTGGTTTCCCGTTAAAATAAAAGAGTTGGTGCTTCCTAGATCTTTCATCATGAAAAATAAGATTGTTTTTGCCTGCTTAAGTCACTAGAGTCACTTCGAGTTTATGAAGATTTTATAGGAGTACACCCACAGGTACGACAATAGTAAATTTATACAATGAAATTTCATAAACATCATCAAACGTACGTTTTCAACTGTGGGTTATGAATCAGAAACTTAGCTTTCTCCAAATCAGGCTTGAGTACTATGAATGCTGGTTCCTCATCTTCTTGGTGCAGTCCAACAAAAATACAACTCTCCGAAAGTCTCCCAAGTGCAAATCTCCAGCACCATCTTAAACCATTTTCAGGATGATCTTGCTGCATCTGTCAGGTATCCGATACCGTTCTTGACGTTGAGATGTATGGAGTCACGCGCAGAACGGTTATGTTCACCCATGCCTGCAACGAAGGGTCCAACTCCTGAAAGGGGTGGGGGGTTCCATAAATGGGGGTACCCCTTTATCGCTGGATGGTTTATAAGGGAAAATCCTATTGAAATGGATGATTTGGGGGTACCCCCATTTTAGGAAACCTCCAAATGATAATATGCTCTGACCCTAGTACTTCAAGAATGTGTGGGTGTGTGTTGCCATAGCATCACCCTCAGTTGTTCAGTCGGCTTCAGCTTCAAACTTTACGACCCTCCCCGCTCCCATCTCCTGGAAATGGCCACCAGCAGCAACCAACGCCAGACCATGGATGAAAAAAATGAAGTGTCACAGGCAACGATCAACCCCAAATTGGCTGCAGATGTCATCAACAACTGAATAGCAGAAAGTATCTGTCGGACCAGACCCTATTCAGGGTGGTGCCCCATATGTTCCAAATCATAGTATGGATTTCAAGACCACTCTTAGATATTCGGAAGAAAAGGAAACTTCACCTGCTAAACCTAGGTGTTTCCCCGGCTCAGGCATCCCTAACAAAAGCTTTTGCCAGCAGATAATTGACCAGGGGTTTGGCTCCACACATTTTTTCAGAGCAGCCTGGTACCGGGCAACCTGTACCTACAAAATGTGCCACCCACACTGCCGAAGCGGAAGCGTCACCTGCATCTGTTCGCAGCACCCCACTTCTGCAATCCGCAGAAAATGGTGAGCAGCTACCACACCAGTCCGGTGCGTGAGAATATATATAGGTGGTCCAAACCCCAACTGGCAGACCAAGATCCCTTAAACTAAAGAAGCTGAACAAAAAAGAAACGAGAAACGATCGACTTCACCGAAACGGCTTCAGATTTTCCCCCTGCAGTTGTGGTTCACAGTGGGATGGAAGCCACCACAAAAGAATCCATGAATTAACGCTGGGACCGCGCCAGTCAGAGTCGGAAAGCCCTGTCAGAGCGGTCAAAAGTGGTGCTTGGTGGTTAATAGGCCTTATCTATAGGTACTGGTTGGTGGTATACCTACCCCTCTGAAAAATATGAGTTCGTCAGTTGGGATGATTATTCCCAATATATGGAAAGTCATAAAGTTCCATGGTTCCAAACCACCAACCAGGATATGTTCCACTCACTATTGAAGGGGTCACCTTTTCAGGGGTTGACCGAATCCCCGAAATACACATTTCAAGCTGTGAAACGAAACTTCGCTGTATTGCAACGGGTGCCGTGAGATTGTTCATGTGTTTCGTTAAATGTAGGGATGTCCAAAACATGCGTTTCAATAGCAGCAAACCCACCCCGACTGGAGGTATCCACCACTTCTTCGCAAAGCAGTGCTTGATTGGCCATTTTTCATTGGTTACGCACCTTTTTCGCTGACAACATTAACATCCTCATCGCTATGGTTTCCAGGCGCAGTCGTGGTAGTTTTGCTTTCCATGTGTGTCCACATGCGTATGTCCAACATTCAAGTCTATCCAACTAGTATTGTTAACCTTCATGTTTCTTGTCTGTGTAAATACAACACGTGTTATTTACCCTCTAGATCCTCTAGTGATTCAACATGGCTATGGGAAATGGCCATATTTATACATGATTTAGCTTTTGGAAAATGGTAATTTTCCAAAGCTATGATAAATTGCGAGAGGGTATGTCTGACAAGGAAACTGTGTCACTTCAGGCCACACTTCTACGGTCAAGGGGATCAGGGCCTACAGCTATCCCAAGTGTCTGCACTGGTAGGGTCTTGGACCCGAAATGACAACTCCTTGAAATCACCAGATCAAACCAGTATCTCCATGTATCTTATTATATTACAATGTATCTCCTATTGATTTTTGGGTAATTCTCCATGTTTCCCCGCGTTCGGGAACCAGCCATGGGCGGCCGCTCCGGCCTCCGCATCTCACTTGCCCATCAGCTCCTATGCCATGGGGATGATCATAATTTTCATCGGTGAGTGGTGACACCAACCGCAGGCCTTTCCCACCCACCCGAGCACCTAAGGGTTCCTCAAAATTGCTAGCAGAAAACATAGGCATCAAATGTGGGAAAACCATCTTCGGTTTTCACCAGCCACACACATTGTGGAGTCTAAACCTATCCGAAACTAACAAAAAAATGTCAGTGTTCGAGACTTGGTATGAAAAATTTGGTGTCCAACAAAATTGGATGGTTCGATGATGGTGCGTTTTTTTCTGCGTGTATCATATCTAGAAAATGTGGTCCCAGATCTTTGAATATGTCTGCGGTCGGGAGCGCGGCACTGACCACGTCTCGAATGGAGCCTTCGTTTGGCAATTGGTGTCTTGATGTACTGACCTCGTCTTTCTTTTCCCATTTCCAAATTTTCATCCAAGGTCAATCTTTGCCTACCTCGTTTTCTAAGCGCCCCCACCTCGTCTTGCACCTCAATCTGATGCTAAAACAGAATGTACGACCAACAATAGACTACTTTAAATGTGCACAAATAGAAGCGGTTTGCTCATACCAGTAGAGATATCAAAGGCTGAAGCTCAAAGTTGGCATCGAAGCAGAGCACATTCGCTTACAACATCTTACAACCCATCATTTTTGTCTGAAATGCATGGGTTCTAAATGCTTCGAAACCATTCACCATCGACTTAGCCACCCCTTCGAACTACTCAGTCCTTGATCTTTCCGTTCTTCAGCAGGGGAAGGGTGCCTCCCATGCCACCATCGTTGCAGCCTGGAACGCTGGGGGGGCCTTGAGGCTATGGCTCAAAATGAAAAGGCGGGGATTACATGTAGA